AATTTCACATTTCAAGTGGGATAAGGTGCCATTAGTGTCGACAAACAAATAAAAACCTTAGACGATTTATTAATTATTACGTACGTTATTTACAGATCCTTAATAAAACGTTCTGGTTTATTAACTAGAATGGGCTGAGACGGGAGATAAACCTATGATACCGGGATGGAAATAATAGCGTGGAACGGCGGGCGGCTTATGAAGAAAAGGGGGGGGGTTAGGGGTGCAGTTTGGGCCGGGGCTGTGTCCGGGGTGATAAATATTAGTTTAGGCAGGGGTTGCTCCCGAGGGTGGAATAAACACTCTTTCGGCCGGGCGGCCCTCCCGGTCAAAGGGAAGTCGCAAGTGGCAATGGACGGTGTTGCCCGCACCCCATATAAACCGAGATATTCCAGTGCGGAAGAAAAAAAAATTCAACTAGGCTGAGGCTAATCTCCTCGACCAGTGAAAAAAACAGGGTTTACTGCCGAGCCTAAAAAAAAGTTTCTATTTTATACTATAAGCACCCACAACCACCTTCCGTGAACATTTTCCTTTATTTTTGCGTAAATATAAAATATCGCGTGCTTTTCTTTCAAACTCATAGAAAATTATTACAATTCTGAAAAATCCGAAATTTAGGGGTGAAAATATCAAACATCACATCACACTTCATTCACCTTTCATTGAGTCCCTGTTCTCTTGAAAACCGAAGATCCTTTCTTCTCTTTCACCGAGATTTAATAGTTTTATGGATCGACCATCTGCATCTACCTCTACAATTGGCTCTTCGGATCATAACAGACATAAAAAACAAGTGGAAGATGAGCTGAAGTCGAGCCTTTCTAACTGCCAAGGCAATCATCCCAACCCGGTCATTATTAACCGAGGAGTAAACTCGCCCCATACAAAAGACAACCGAAATCGCCTGAAAGTCATTAATAAAAAGTTTATAGTGTTTTTATATATTATTGTATTATTTGCTTGATAATTATTTAAGTGATTCACTCGCGGGTCTGTAACAGTGATCACTGAAGATGGCGCATTGCCGAAACGCGTTTGAGTAATTCAGCAAACCAGCGAGTGAAGACGGACCCAATAAGTGACCTAATGCGGTTCAGCATGAGTTCACCGACTCGCAGACCAACACCCAACATCATCTATGCTATACGGTAGCCTTTGTCAGAAATGTTCGTTTGGATATTTATCCTTTTTTCTTCTTATTTTTGTAATTTGGTTTCTGATCGTTTTGGTCAGTCTATCCCGCTGGGTTGATCTGCAAGACGCATCCTCAGTGTGTCATGATATGTACAATCATATTTATCAAACGCTTGATTTTTAGTGCAGATCATTGGTTTTGAATGCGTTGAAAACCTGTGCTAATGTAAATGCACATGGAGATGTAAAAACGCAGGACTAATTTGGCAAATGATGCACTTTGAAATCTATTGTAACGTCTGTTCTGTTTAGCCTATTTCTTCCACGGTTAAAAGCATTTCCTTCTAAGAAGTTAAGCATCACAATCTGTTAGTAGGTGCATTGGGTAGCTTCTGCTTTCTTTCGTGCATTTTGTTTCTTTCTTTCCAAATCTCGCCAGGTTTTTAGATTATTTGTTAGTTTCCTTTTTAACTGTCTTCTTTTCTTTCTATAATCTCCTTTGTTATTATCCCTTATCACATAAATGTTCAGGACTATCTGTAGTGTAGCCTCATTCTTTTCAAGGGCATTAGCACCCTATACTCATGCGTGACCTGCTACCCAAACAAGGGCACTTTTGTAGTTTCCCAAATGTCTGACATGGTCTCGATGCCATCCCAAACTGCTCTGAACTTTACTATCGATGAGGTGTTGAATTATTTTTTTCTAATAATTATATATTCCTTTGTCGGTAATAGCCCCAGTCTGTTGATCTCTCTATGGCACAGAGTTCAATAGCCACTTATTCCTCCTGAAAGACAGTATATTGCCCAATGCAAATACTATAAAGAATTATTTTCTTTTTTCTTGTTTTTCCTTAGACACCAGTCCCATAACCGACAATCAGTCTTAAAGCCGTATGTTACCAGAAGGCATTTACTGAGATCCCTTTCTCCCTTTTTTATTTTGAAATTGTTATTGGCATCTTGTTAAAGAATGGGATTCTTTTTCACAAGACGAAATCCAATCGCTTAGTTAATCGGTGCCTAGGAGACTTAAGCCCATCTGCATTAAGTCCCCCCAGAGAGCATGCATTATTAAGAGCAAAACTAGGTATACTGATTTTCCAATATGTTTGAGTGTATACCGTGGCATCCCCCATGCAGTACTGTCAAAGGTGATCTTTTATTACTCTTCCTACCAATTCATAAATAACGCCGAAGCTCATTTATGAAAATCGATCGATGGATTAATCATAACCTCTTTGATAAAGGATCACCTTTTCTATAGGGCTGTCATAGGGTGAAACATTTAGTGTTTCCAACTATTTTAACTGACTTTGAAGATTTAACCTTTTCTAGTTGACGTTTCTCTTCTGGAAAGCAAGAACGTAAATCACAAAAGAAGAGCTTTTCATAAATTACATCAAGGTAAAAAGTAGTCCATACCCTGCGTTTGACATACTTCGTCCTCCGGCTGGTTGAAAAATTGTTGTCGGGTTATTGGAATGACAAGGAACGAACCCGCCTTGGGCTGCGTTGCGATAAAATCGGTTTTACAGTTACGACAGGTAAATCGTTTCCTCTCCGGATTAAAACGATCTAAACCTAAGATTTATTTTACCGACCAAAACCATAAACTGTTCCTTAAGTCTAGAAGTCGCTTCAAGTCGTATTCATATTAATTACGCCAGTGGGCAAAATAAACAGGAAAAAAAACGGTTTAATTGGCAAGTACGGGTTTCCCTTCATGTCCAGGGCAGGCTTCTGTCACCATTGTCCACGGCATATCAACAGACAGGTTGTCGAGTGCCCCCCGACCTTCGTAGCATAGGGTAGTCGACTTGTTTCTCCCTTTTCACCGATTTTCCGCTCAAATGTATCACCTCTCAAAAACGGCTGTCATCATCAGAAACCGAAATATCTCTAATTTAAGAGCGTTTTTATGTCACCGGTTGAAATTAAAGTCAACCTTTTTGATTAACGTCCTTTTTTCGCCTGTAACGAAAATAACATTCAACAGGATCGTGTTTCAAACTTAGGTTTTCCTCGTACGACCCAGGCCCAAACTAATTTACTGAAATATTCTTTTACTTTAAAATATTCTATTTCATGTTCATTTTGCCTAATTTACTGGACTTTAGAAAACGACTAAAATGGATGCCAAAGGAGGGTCCATCAGGACGTGGTCGAGTGGTTAAGGTGTCGATTGGCCACACTAGCGGTCCTGGGTTCGAATCCCGGCACATCCCATAGAATTTTTAATTGTGTATAATATGAAGAAAGTATTTTAAAGTGGTTTGACCACTCCTCCGTGAAACTTAGTGGGTAGTTGGATATTAAGCCCTCCTTTATGTCCATTCCATATTCTTATTCAAAACTCTACAAACTATTTCAAAATTTTTCCTCTATCTCTTCCTTCTCTTCTCATTTATGTTTATTTAATCCTGCTATATGTTAATTTGTGGCCTTGTACTGTTTGTAATTTTTTAAGGTTAAGGTTAAAAAGAATCTGACTTTGCGACCTTTTGCAGCACGACTAATATTGGTCTATTGTGCAATCTCCATAATTATTTTTAACTTTTTTATTACAAACTGGCGAACTCCTTGCCTTCAGGCTTTGGGTTTTCCTTTTCCAGGTGTAGGAGCCTGCATAGGCCTTCAAACTTTTTTCTTATTCCTGGCAGTATATACACAGGCTTGTTTCAGCTGCTCCAAGTCTATACATTTGCCTCCGGAGTCTACAGTATCCAGTCAGCAGTCCTACTATCATTCTAGTAATAAGATGTCCTAGGTTTAGCAGTTCTGCCATTATTAGATCTGAATTTTGGGTCATGGCATCAGTAGGCTACTGAAGCTTTAATTCCTTTTTTTTTTTTTTGCAAATAGGCTATTGGAGTTTGCCCTGCATTAGTCAATCTAGCATCTCCCTGGATGAAGATGTAGTGGTTATAGATTGAAGAGGACTATCAGGGCCCCAAGAGTCTGCAGTGTCCATAGCAGTCCAAAGATCACTCTGGTCCTAACACATCCTAGGTTTAATAGTCCTGTGGTTAGAATGATGGTCGTTCAATGAACTTTTTTACGTGCCTCTATCCCGGAATACTCTCATTGAATCGAGGACTTATTCTTAATCCATTGTCCGATGGATCCACATGTTTGGCAATTGCAAAAGGGTTCTGGGGTGATGATAGGTGTCCTCATCGAACTTTCTTTAGCCAATTTATTGGTCTCTTCATTACTCTGGTACCCAAACAAGTAATTCTGTTGTTGCCAATGCCTGACATCTTGATTGGAATTGGCTACCTACCGATGAGGTACTTGCTTTAAGTGCTGCCTTTATGGGTATCTCCCTGAAACGGTGTTCATTAGCCGGCCGGTCTCCATCTGAAAAACAGGACCTCCTTACGAACAGTACATAACTAACTATTCAGAAAACTGAAATAGCATCAATGGTTGCTGGCTCCCCCACAGTATACATGTAAACGATAATATTGTATCTTTATGTAATGAGTGATAGTAATAAAAAATAATAAAAAATTCTAGATGGGTTGTCTGAGCAACTTAATTTTTTGATATTGTATCTAGTTGAATCCACTCCAGGCTTGTTTCAGTCTGACAGGTTTCAGCATTAAGTTTTACCATTTTCCATGGACCTTCTTATTTATAGGTTTATTTATTATTCATTGATGGCCCATTCAGTATTCACTATTGCGATTAAGATAAAATTGATTTTTTGACGTTTATTCAATTAAACTGTTTGATTTGATCATTCAGCAAATAAACCATTTGGGGTTTATTCTTCTCTCTTCAGAACTGATGTGTTTGGATCCCATGAAGATCTGCTGTTTTACTAATCACAATGTGTCAAATGTTTCATTTCAGTTTTTGCGAGATATCAGAGCGGGTGTACTCGTCGGGGCTGGGCGTGGAGATGACACGTACATGTATGATGAAGACATGGCTCGTCTGGGTCATCACTGGTACGATGAGCCACCATACGAAAGTGACCCTGAGGATTTTTTAATGGGCGACAACCCGGCTCTTCATAATTCAAGGCTTTGCTTCACCATGGGTACACGAGGCGACCAGCTCGGAGCTGAAAGTGAAGTCATTTCTCTCAGGTCGGCGGGAGACATCTCATTGCCTCCACAGAGGGCCCTTCTAGTTACAAGACCGTCTTCCAGGAGCAGGGGACACAACAGGGAAAGCGGCGATTATGCTACTTCGGACGTCAACAGTATATGGTACGTCAAAATTTCATATTACTGTTTCAGTATTCTTTGACTTATTTACCAAGTACATTTTAAATAAAAATCTTATGCAGTTCAAGATTATCTTCACTCTCGATGGAAACAAGTCGTTCGGAGCACCTTGAGATGGACATATATCACCGACTAAGATCTTACAATGTAAGTTCAAAATAAAATCAACCATTTGTATATTTCTGCGTATTTCATCTTTGTTTCATTTTTATTTAGGGAATCGACCCTCCAATATCACCTGCGCACAGCTCAGACTATGCAGACCATGAAGAGCTTGTTACTTTGCAGCCTAGTGTAAGTTTCAAATAAAAATCAGCTTGAAATTTAATTAATTGTGATTGTTTTAATAGTGTTCAGGATCTGCGACGACTCAGAGGTTGAGAAGCCTGAAAAGCGACCCGGCCTCGAGTGGGAAAAGTCTGGGTAGGAGGCATCACCACCACCACCACCATCATCATCACCATGTTCACCACAGGCATAAAACCCACCATCATTCTTCTGCTGAAAGTCTTCCCAGTGCATCAAGTAAGTCCTTTAATTTATTGTATGATGGGGTAAGAGAATATTAATTTCTGTGGGGTGGTGGAAGTGTGTATTTTTCTAACTTTTTTCTCTGTTTATAGGTACGCAAGCGTTAGTTAGTAATATGGAAGATTACAGTCCTCAAGGTCAAATGGTTCCTCTCGCACGAGCTTTAGTCGATTCTAATCCAAGCCCATATGATAAAGAAGCGCTTAGATTTAAGGTATTTAAAACAAAAAACAATACATTTAGTAAAACTAAATTTGATATTCGGGCAAATTTATTATTGTAGAAAGGAGATATAATTGAAGTCATCAGCATGAGCGGCTGTGGCTTGTGGAGAGGTCGGGTGCACAACAGAATCGGTCACTTCAAGTTCACGAATGTCGAGCTTCTCAACGATCCACAGGATGAAGCGGGAAGTAGCGCGTGCGGAGGGCACAGTACAAAAAGACATCCACCTCCACAAGGGGTCACCAATCGGCCCCACACTCTTGAACAAATGCTTCAAGCCATACATATGGAGGTACTGAATTGATATTTAAACTCAATGAAAAAGAAAAATTAATTATTAACTTTTCAGGAACACATGTCTCTATTCGTTTTAAATGGATATGAAGATCTTGAGTCTTTCTGCGAGATCAAAGAAGAAGATCTGGATTATCTAGGTCTTACGGATCCCGAACATCGAGCCAAGATTCTTGCGGCAGTCCAAGTGCTACAGGAATTCGAGCGTATGTAATCACAAGCAAGTTTGACTTTCTGTTTATTATAGTTCCAGCGCTCATTTTGTATTTCTGTTGGCAGAAGTCGAAGAGGAATGGAACGGGAGTGAATCTGGCTCGGTGAACCAGCAGACCAAGGAGGCGAATAATCTCAGCCAGCAAAATTCATTGAACACACACCAAACAAGTGAGTCACACAGAGTATATTGGTTTTTTGTTTTTAATAATCATTTAAAGCATTTAAAAATTTATGCGGCGGTAGCTGAGTGGTCAGCAGACAGACCTCAGTTTGTAAACCCTGAGGTTGTAGATTCTATTCCCAACAACATAACTGGCCTTTTTTCAAGCTGCCCTATAAATAAATATGTTACATACTACAATACTCTCTGTTCTGGGAAAAAAATTAATACTACTAAATAAACAATTTTTGTAAATAATATATTGTTTTAGTTGGTGAGAAAGGTTCATCCGATGCGACATTCCTGCCGAACATTCCTGTTTCTTCGTCAGTACCACCGCCGATGCCAGCGCCCGATTGTAACCCCGGGCTCATTCAAGGGTCGTCGTCGAAAGGCGGCTCCGAGAAGTCCAGCGACTCGGGCGTGAGCAGTTCTTCTGCGTCGAGCAGTCGGCTCGGAGGGAACGGCGGCACTCGTAGCAATACAAGGGGCCGCCCGCCGCCGCCGCCCAAGCCTTCGCCGAGCTACGTCAACCAGCTCCCGCAAACAACAACCCCTGACTAACTCCTTGCCGATAACTTTTGAACGAGATTTGAAACACCAAATTCAACATCGACTGAATTTTAGAATTAATAGACAATACGATTAAAGAAGTGTTTTTCATTTTTTTCATTTTAGGGGTTTCAACGTTGTTATAGATAAAATTGTTCATATTCTAATCTTACATGTGGTCAATGGAATTTATTAGGCCAAATTAGATTAGACGCTTTCAGTGATACCCTTATCATCTTAGAAGAAAGAAATTAAAACAGTGGTACACATTTATGCCGATTAATCAGAGTTTTCTAAATGACTATCACAGTTAAAAAGTGAAACGAGGATATAATTACTTCTTCATTTTTGTTTTGGTTTTTGACAGCATTGCTGAAAAGTGTTTTTAATGCCAAAAAATTTGTTTTTGTTTTTTTGTTCAAAATGCTGAACCCAATGCTACAGACGTGTATTAAGAAAAAAAGCTGATTTTCCTCAGATTTATATTTATTATTTTTTAAAAACATACTCAGTATCATGTCCGAGCGGTTGAAACTCATGAGGAAGAAGAGTGAATTTCTTCGTTTAGATTAATTATTTAAATAGGAATTTAATACTGTAATTTATTTGTGTATTTTAAGATGGATTTATTTTTTTATTATGAAACAGAAGATTGGAAAAATGGAAAGCCAAAAGAAAGGATGGGGGCGTTGAAACAAACAACTTACGTAGTTAAAGTCAATTACCCTGTTTCAATTTCATACTAACAACTTTCCATATCATTTAGTAGGTACAATTTTGTATTTCATAAAAGAAAATTATGTATCAATATATGGAAAATGTTTATAAAAAATTTTTGACGATGTTATTGTTACTTAGTTAGGTAGCGGAAATGTTCTTATATTAACAGAATGTTATTTTTCTTAGATCCATTTTTCGCCAAAAGTTTAAACATTAACGATTTTATATATAAAAAAAAGGGTTGCATTGCATTTAATTTTTTTTTTATTACGCATTTAAAACTAAATAGACCAAATCAATTAGATTGTTTTCCCCAATATAGAAGTTGTCATACATATCTAAATTTGGAAGTTAGAAAGTTATTTATTAATTATTTATAGCATGAGTAAACAAAAGAAACCCTTTTTTAAATAGCTAGTCGATATTAGTTTTGAAGGTGTGTAGAAGCTATTAAATTTAAATTCATGTACATGTGTATATATTGTAATAATACAAGGTTTGTACGTACCAACGAATACAAGACAATTGAAAACCATCTCGTGCTATTTTCCCAACCCTCTTACCACAACAATGTTTATTGGCATTTTGTTAAAGTAAATTTCCATTGGGATTCGATCAATTTCTGGCATTTTTTTCTCTTTTTTTAGGAATTTAACTACTTGTTTTCTCTGTTGTTGTGTATGGAATTTCCTATGAGTTTATGCTCTATCCATCTCCCCCTGCATGTTGATTTCTTTCGCAAGTGTAAGTTTCTCATAGGACAAAGTGACACTTGCTAGAATGTTACTTATGTCCTGATGGTGTTCCTCGCCTTCCAGGAGGCTGGCTGCTTCCCTGTCAACTGTTTTAACCACTTTGCCTAACCACAATTTTCCTCCTCCTTCAGGCTCCTTTTTTCACTGATGAAGTTGTAGTGTTTTGACAGGGATCGGACCTGCTTCTTCACCATTACTGATCCGTGAAGAGAACCACCTTTGGCTACCCTCACATCATTTCTCACATTTGCCAATTGGCAAAAAAAAATTACTCCTTTGTTTAATCTTATTCTAAATACTAACTCCCCACACTTTTTGTTCCCACTCAGGGAAATTTTCAAACATTGGCCTTACCATCATCAACTCTTCCTCAGCTGATTTTCTTTCACTGTCTACTACAGCAAAGATCATTTTCCCAACTTTATCAAATCCTCTCTAAAAACTAATTCTTACTCTTTACCTAGCTGCTGGAAACTCCAGAACGATGGGCAACATTCCAAAACAATGTACAGCTTGAATTACCCTAAATTTCCGAAAATAATATCCCGAAAAGAAAAAAAGTTTACAAACGTTCAAAAATAATCTCATCCCTTTGCAATAAATATGTAGATTAGGTAAATATGTATGTATGAATTTAAAGAACAGAAATGCAACAATATATGTATCATAATTTTTCCTTGAAAGCCTCATTAAATGTATAAAAATAAAATTTATGACGCATACGAAAGATTTCAATGTTAAAAACATTAAAAAGTAACGATAGCTCAAGTAGTTAGAGTAGTGGCATATTTGAGACAAAGTTCATAGGTTCGAATCCCACTCGTGACACTAATTTTTCATCTCAACCAAAAACCGTAAATAATAAGAAAAAATTAATTATTTATAAAATATTTATTTTATTTTACTTTTATTTATTTACAGTCCAAACAGGTCAGGTACCCAAGCATAGGACAGCAAGCAACCCAACAAAACAATCATTATGATATAAACTACTACAAAAGGATATAAAAATAACAGCAAAGAAGCGCTTACACTTTTAACAAAAAATCAATATTATAAATAGATAATTAAATAGCACAACAAAAGTAATAAATAAACCCTCAATTACATTTTAAAGCATGTTCAATATTTTTTTTCAAGATCTGAAGGGACAAGGAGAAGGGGTCCGCACTGATATCGAATTTATTTAAGTAATGCACAGCTGTGGAGACTAAAGAACAACCCGTATTTGGTCATGTGCCGTGAAGTACCAAACAATTCATGGGTCCGTAGTTGACATTGGCGAACCCTAAAGCCAATACAAGATAATATCTCCGGGGAGTCGATAAAATTATTTAGGATCTTCCACAGAAACACAACGGAAGCAAAAAAACTCTTCTATCCAGAGAATCCAGGCCTACTAGAGCAAGTCTGGCTTCATAGGAGCAATGATGGAAGTTCCTGTGATTGCATAATTTGTAATACAAGTATTTCATGGCCTTTCTATCATGTAAGACCCAACTAAAGAACTCGACGACGAAACTGGCATACTCTAGGTGACTGCGCACCAGAGATTGATAGAGTAATTTTATTGCAAAAGGGTTCTTAAAGTTAGCAGTTTGCCTGAGTACGAATCCTAAATTTTTAAAGGTTTTATTTCTAATGGCATGGATATGGTCCCGGAAATCACAGTTCTTACTAAAAATAACCCCAAGATAGTATCTACCTTGTCAATGTGATAACCTTCGATACTATAAACGAATTGGTCGTAATTGTGAATTATTTTTTTCTTGCTGAACTTCAAAATCTTACATTTATTTCCGTTTAATTTCAAATTATTGCGCTACACCAAAGCTAAAAGCGACTCGAATCATTTTGTAAAATATGGTCAATTATGACCACTAAACAAATATGGAGGAGTTAAAAATATTATTTCAAACACAATTGTAAAATCTGTATTCTAAAATTATTAAGGCATTAGGATTCTTTTTATCAACACATGCATATTCGTTTTCAGGTTTCCATACAATGATAAAACTATTAGAAAGTTGGGGGCCACGGTAGCCGAGTGGTTAAGGCGTCAGACTCTCGGCTAATAGATCCCATGGTCTATGAGTTTCTTCAATGGAAGAACACCCGCACACCGGGGGCTCAAATTCGCACTTGTGTTGCGAGCCCCCAAAAATGGAGCCAGGGATAAAGTACAATAAGCTGTACGCTGCAGTGCTCAGGAGGGAACTCCTCCCAGTTCCTGGTATCCATTGTAAAAAAAAAAATTATATAATATATAGTATATTATAGTATTATGTATATAGTAGTTAAATATATTTTTATTTACATTTTTTAATGACCCTAGACAAAGTCATTGGTCAGAGACTAACTCAAACCGCGACAGTGCCCGAGGCACGCACCACAGAGACCCACCACCACCGGAATCTGAAAGAACAAAGCCTCTAAAAGAAAAGGCTCAAATTGTAACAGTAAACCAGGAAGAATTATAATGAAATTTGTCTCTTGCATATTTCATACAAAATTTTGTAGATTGCTGTACTTCCTGTACTTAAGAGAGTCCCTAGATTGAAGGGTCTCTAGATCGAGTATCTTAATAAAGCTTGAAGCACATCTCTTCTCTGCATTTCGAATTTTTTGCAGCTCATCAGAATGTGGTTGAGATCTTTTAGTTCGTCGCAGGATTCACATTTTGGGGAAGACCTACACCCACGTCCAGTGCAGAGACTCAATTCATAGTTTCCTTACAACCCCGACAAGGATAAATTTGCATTTAGTGTTGGAGAAGTTCTTTAGCTGCTTTATTGTGCTCAGACTATTAGAATCTACTAATACATACTCTTGAGCTTTCAGGTTAGCGACCATTTCAGCTGAATAGACCAAGTATAGCCAATTTTATTCTAAGGAAAGTTAAGAGGATGGTTAAAATTGACCCCACAAATAAAGAGCACACAGACTTGCAAATGAGCTGCGTGAACAAAGGTATCACGGCAAAAGGAGCAAGAAAGAAAGGGAGAAAAAAGTGGTTGACTTGTGAGAGAACAATATGCGGGATGTAAACCCCTCAGCCTGTTTTCTACAGTGGAGGCAAAATTACTTGAACGAGGATCAGCAGGACTGCTGACCTCCAAGAAACTCTGAGAGGATGGCAACGTTTCAATGAGAAATATGCAAGATGCAGTTCTGGGTTAGCGTAAACCTGTGTACCACCACTACATCTCTGTGACCCTGAATTTGAACTTAAATTTTTTTTTTAACACTAGCTCTCAGGTGTGGCCTTTCCTCGAGTTTGAAAGAGGTTTTACAAAACAGCAATGACAACAGCAAGAAAGTAATCGAATATCTGAAGCAAATAAATGCATATGGTCGCCTTTAATGCTTCTCCACGCATGGTTTCGTTTTCCATTCCTGAAGTGAGTGTATTTATTGGCGAGAATGTGTGAGTATATGGTAGTGGTCGGAATATCGAGTACACCGCAGACCCACCAAACTAGGATAGATATCTCTTTATGTGTTTTGGATAGAATGAATGTATTTATTGGCGCGAAAGTGTCTGGGTGGGTTGTGCAGGAATATAGAGTACTCCACAGACCCACCGATTTAGGTTAGTATTAGGCTATAATATCTTTTAGAGTGAATGGGCGGAGGCACTGTTGTAATATTAAATGCGCCAGTGGCTCCGCATTTTTTTTATTTGTAAATACAGAATGATTGGTTACTGTTTGAGTGAATGTATTTATTAGTGCGATAGTATTGTATGCATGGGTGGGTCTATGGTGGAATATCAAGTACCCCATAAACCCACCAACCTAGGTTAATATTTTAGATTAATTGTAATGTTAATTGTAAATAATGTATGGATGTATTTATTAGCGTGAACGAGGGCGGGTTTTCAGAGGAATATTGAGTACTCGGAAACCCGCATATAGGCTAGGCTAGGATTGAATGTTAGTGAATGAGATAGTTTCAGAGCGTTTTCACCACATGTAATGTAGAAATAACGTCCTGGGACACAACCAGAAAGATCGCCAGACTTCCTACAGAAAAGCTAACTTCAAAAAATAAATAAATAAAAATAAATTTTTAAAACGTGAGGTGGAACAAATGTGAGGTGCCGGCAATAGCCCAGGTAACAGGGGAGGGGAAGGAAAAATAAAAAAAATAGGTTCCAGGTTGAATATACCTCTGCTGTTACAAACCCCAATAAAATATATATATATAAATAAAATAAAATAGTTTATATGGATTGGTTTAGAGTGCTATTTGTCTAGCAATACAATCTTCACAATTGGATGTTTTATTTTTAAAATAATTTAAACAACACAAAAATATTGCTGACACTTGTACCATTGATACTAAAGCTTCTTCCTGATTTACTTTCTATTCTTGTTCAAAAACAAATTCCACGTGTGAAGAGATAAAAATGTATTTTTATGCCGTGCTTTATAAAGTATGGTCAATACTTTTTACAAAAGTATAAAAAATTTTTTTGTCCATGGATGAAAGACCATTTTTACAGAATACAAGGTCATTTTTATTGTTAAAGCTTTAATTATTTTGTAATCACATTTTTTAAATATTTTATACAATTACAATGGAAGTTTTTTTAAAAGTTCCACAGCGTCTTCTCCAAGTATTTGCACTATATTGGCTACGATATCAGGAAAACTTGCATTAACCATTTGAATTAAAGAAACAATAACTTCTTTCGTCTCTGAAAAATTTAAACAATTAACTCTCTAAATTCAAAACTGTTTTAAATACAAATTACCGTTATCAGGATGATGACTTTGCAAAGAAACAAGTGCAGCATTAAATATATCGCCAACGAAAGGTTTCATATCTTCTATTTCAAGTTTAAGTAAATGACACAATGACTTAAATATCCATTTGTCCTCTTCAAAATCTTCTTTCAATGGCAATTGATTTATGTAACTGGGTAAAATCTAAAAAAAAAATTATTTACGTTTAAATATTTTACATTAAGAACATTTATTTCATTTAATATAAATGAAAATGTATAATGGGTGTTCGGCTACTCGCGTTACAAACTTTGCCAGTACATTCTATATTCCAATTAGAACCAAAAAGTCCTAATTTAACTATGGCCCAAATCTCAACAGTTTCAGAGTTGATTTTTTCTGACTTTTTAAGATTTCACGACCTTGTTTCAAATAAACAATGATAACTCCAAAACTAAAAGGTTTTGGACAAATCCGTTGATACCATTGAAAACTACGTTAAATATCCAATAAGATGTGATGAAGAAATTGACAAAGTAAAGGGAAAAAAAACATGGTTGAAGGATTGGTAAGATAGAACAATTAATAATAATAAAAAATAAGAAGGAAATTTTGAATAAATTTATTAAACGTTTTTTTCATTTTGATGCAAAACCTTATAAAGTTGTACATCAGCAAATTCTTAATTAGAAAAAGTAGCCATAGTATTAGCAAGTTATCACATAGATAATTAAAAACGTTTTGAATCTTAAAACTCTTTTATTCCAGAGAATAATAATACAATAATTCTTTAATCAAAGTTGCAGTCATGTTGGTAAACACTCGTGCACTATTTCGGTTTCGAACCCAAATTAAAAAATCGTTTAATAAATTTATTTCAAAATTACCGTTTTTTTTTTTTTTTTTTTTTTTTTTTTTTTTTAATTTTCCACCTTACCAATCCGTCAGCCACGGTTTTTCTTTTCCTCCATCAGTTTCTTCATCTTTGAAAAAAATAACTACAACAGAAATTACACCACTAAAAAGGATTTTAAATGGAGTACGTTTTCTGAAATTTGTTGGTTTCTACGTGTGGAAATAGTAGTTTAGAATTACCAGAGTAAGCTTTTCAACATTGAAAAAAAAAAATTTTCAAAGTTCTCACTACTAAAACACTTATTTCACGAGCATTTACAAATTTAACATTGATCCTATCTAATTGGAAATTTAACATAGTTTTCAATGGTATCAACAGATTTGTTCCTTCCTTAATTACTTTTTTCAAAGATGAAGAAAGTGATGAAGGAAAGGAAAAAACCGTGGTTGAAGGATGGGTAAGGTGAGAAATTAAAAAAAAAAAATCAGCAGTCGTGTTGGTAAATAAGTAAACACTTGCACTATTTCGGTTTCGAACCTAAATTAAAAAAACGTTTGATAAATTCATTGAAAATTTCCTAACTTTTTTTTTTTAATTTCTCACTTTACCAATCCATCAGCCACGGTTTTTTCCTTTCCTTCATCACTTTCTTTATCTTTGAAAAAAGTAATTAAGGAAGGAATTACACCACTAAAAAGGATATTAAATGGAGTATGTTTTCTGAAATTTCCTGGTTTCTACGTGTGGAAATAGTAGTTTAGAATTACCATAGTAAGTTTTTCAACATTGGAAAAAAAAATATTTTTCAAAGTTCTCACTACTAAAACGCTTATTTCATGAGCATTACAAGTTTAATATTGATCATTTCTTATTGGAAATTTAACGTAGTTGTCAATGGTATCAACGGATTTGTCCAAAACCTTTTAGTTTTGGAGTTATCGTTGTTTATTTGAAGCAAGGTCGTGAAATCTTGAAAAAATCAGAAAAATTGGGATAAATCCAAAACTGCTGAGATTCGGACCATAGTTAATTGGACTTTTTGGTTCCATTTTGAATGTAGACTCTTCTGGCATAGTTTGTAACACAAGTAGCCGAACACCCTGTATATTATAATAAAACTATACTTAAGAAAATAGGAAGAAAATTAAATAAAATATTAAAATAATAATGAAATAATTAAATTTTTGAACCTGTTTTAAAGGAAGATCCTTCGCACTGACAAGAATAAGTCTTGCAATAACTCCACATGCATTATCCATGACTTTACTTATCTTTTCATTTCCTATCACATCAGAAAGGGCCCGAAGTATTGCACCGTAGTGCCTATTTATTGTCATTAAGAAAAATAGTACATCATTAAACAAAACTATTTATTCTACAATGAAAAATTACAATTAATTAAGGTTTTTTAGTTGAGATAAAAAAGTCAATGGCACGAGCGGGATTCGAACCCATGATCTTTGGCCAGATATGCCGCTGCTCTACCACTTGAGCTATCATGACCTCGATCCACTCGGACACTAACTTCCCATCTCAACCCCACCTTTTGAATTTTCCCTCCTTTTTGCCATTTTTCGATATAATGAATTTAATGAATTTTTGAATATAATATGAAAAATATTGGCAATAATTTTCTTGTGATTTTTAAACATATTAGTCTGGTCACATTGAACAAATAAATAAATTCACTGCCATAATACAATAAGTAGCCAAGAAATGGCACAACAACATTTTCGCGGGCTTTGGCCCAATTGCAATCTACAAAGGATACGGTACAATATCATCTTTCACATGATAGGCCATCTCGCCTATTGTGAATAGAGCGTTATTTCTAACATCGGGATCCGCATCATTTATACTGTGCATAAGAAATGGAAGAAGTACCGGTAAGTATTCACTTATTTTACCGCTTAATCCCGGCATACATTCCGCGATAACTCCAAGAGCATTTGCCTTTCTCCCGTCATCAGAGTCGTCATCATCTGCATTTTCCTAGAAATAACAATAATAAAATAAGACATTTTTAGGTATGCAATTATTTACTAAATATTTATAGAAAAAAAATAAATTAGAAAAAAAAATTTCATCAGATACAGAACATTAGCTAGCACGGCTAATGTCATCTCAATTTACTAAATTTTTAGCTTTTTAAATTTAGCTCAGGAAAATAATATATATACAGGACAACAATTATCCAAACTAATGTTGAAGGGTGAATGAAAAGTGAACATAAAATGTCAAAGCCTTCTGAATTTTTTTTTTTTTTTATTCTAATTTGTCAACATAAAACAACATAAGACTAGAAAACAAGCAATCATACAATGTGTGTAAATTGTTATACAGTTAAATCCCGATATGCCCTATTTTCAAATGATTATTCAGAAATCGTAAGATGTGGTCTGGTGTGATGTAGGTTGCAGAAAAGCATTTTCTTTATCGTGCCAACGTTTCGATCTTTATTGAGATCATCTTCAGGGCCTGGGATTTACAAACATTGTTTAAATTGAACAAATACATGTAGGATGTGGAAAATGTATATATTTATTAAATTTAAACAATGTTTGTAAATCCCAAGCCCTGAAGATGATCTCAATAAAGATCGACACGTTGGTCACTAATCACCACACATTTCTATTTTCAAATATTGGGATACAAAATATTGAGATTTTTCTGTATACGATCGATAAATATATCAATTCATAACACTGCATTATAATATTATAATAACCTCATTTTTAAAATTCACTTTTTACATAATGCAAACTTACAATGATCCTTTTTCTAATAACTGGAAAAATTTGTGAAAATATTGAAAAAAATTCATCTTCAGTCGTGATATGCATAAGGGAAGGGAGAACATACGCCGCCGTATCTAAAAGCTCGGCGACTTCGTTCGATTCGACGCTGCAGTCTTCCCACTGTTGAACTCTAAGCTAAACATACACAAACAACGGATATATTAGATTTTTAGATTTTAAAAATTAAATATTGCTGAAAACCACGTTGTTTTATTTACTTGTGACCTTTTTCTTCGCTGTTCTTCTAAAGGGAGGCTCGAAGAACTTTTTTTTTAATATGTGATTGGGTGATCAAGCTCCCCTCACAATTTAAATAAATACAAACTTATGGATTATTCACTTAGACGATTAAGTATATTAAATGTGGCCCATGTTAAAGTCTAATTTCAAGGACTTCACACTTCAGCAATTAAAACTTTTCGCTGACTTTTTATAGAATAGAAGAGCCAAATATTAAAACAAAATCCAAATTAACAAGTACAGTGGAATTCGCTTATAATGATGTTGATACAATGATATTCTGGGTATAACGACTTTCTGCAATGTTTTTGGTTAGTTTTCTACCTCATGTGCAGAAATTTTGTTCAGATGATGCAAGTTACAATGACAATCCGGAAATATCAATACATTTTTTTGAAATGAAAACAAATCTTTTAATTAATTTCCTTACAATTAATCAATTTTAGGAGATTTCCCTCCGCTTAAATTTTCTGAGTAATATAATAAATAATAAGATGGTTTATTTAAGAATGATTATGAATATAGGTAATAAAAAAGAAGCTATATAAAAACATTGGATATCCATCAGCTGAAGAGGGATACATAGTTTTGCTATAAAAATAATAATTAATAAAAATATTACAGATATTAACAATCTATATTACATTGAAACAAAAACTACATTATGATCTTGGGTTTAATTAAAAATTAAATTATACTAAATATGTAAAAAATAGTTGACTAAAGCATACATAACATAAAAGAATGTTTTATATGATCAATGATGATTTTTTTTTTTTTTTTTTTTTTTTTTTTTTTTTTTTTTTAACCTGTAATCATAAGTTACACAAAAGCATGGATCAACCCACCTCTTCAACCCAAGGGGTGAAATTAAGGTAAAGTAATTCACCCCCTCATTTTAAATATCCAACACAGATCCCTCAAGTTAATCGGCAGTTCATTTCTGAATGAAAATAATTTACATTCAAAGTTTCTTTTTCATTCAAAATTTTCTGGGTGGTAATGAATGAACATCTCGTGTTCGCTCAGTTGAATCTTGAATTTGTGGAATCTTCTATTCGGTCAACAAATACATACAATTTTTTTTAGCTCTCAGTCTCAGTCACCATTTTGGTTTTTCACAAGTTTGAGTTTAAAATATTGAATAAAAAGCGCCGTTCTTTTTCTATTGCCAAGTTCCAAAAATGTCAGAAGTTTTTTTTTTTTTTAATGATCAAGTTAATAGTTAATACTTCTGTTTTGGTAAATAATGAAATTAATACCAGATATACCAATGGAATTAAAAAGTACTGAGAATTTTGTGAGAAAAAAAATCTTATGTGATAATACATATACATGAGTATAACAAGTACATACTTGTTTTATACATATGTAATAAATGATAATTTTTCTTTCATCATAACCACTTTTCTCAAATATGTTTTTTTTTTTTTAAATACAAATGAAGATATAACAAATTTCAGATTTAACGATCTGATTCCCTAGGTCCCTTGAAGATTGTTATAAGTGAAAACCAATCTATTTTCTCAACCACAGTTGCAATTTCTAATCAATAAAACGCCAATGAATTTGACAATAACATAATTTTTTAAATTAAAAAAAAAGAAATTAATAAATATTACCTGCCCATGTAAGACTAGCAAAATAGAATTGACAACGTTTTGTTTTATGCTTTGACTAGGTTGAAGACGTCTGCCTATCTCTTTAAGTAAATTTTGAAATCCATGAAACCCAGCCAGAAGGACATCTATTTCATCGTCGATTTGAATCATTTCATAAGTTTTGGCCACAAGGGTTTCAGTCACTTGGATTAAATTTGTGTCATCTAAAAATATATGGGGCTAGAGAAAAAAAATTTTAAAAAATAAATAAATAAATAAAAAAGATCGACCTTTATTTTCTGCACTTTCCGTTACTTTAGCAAATGAAATACAAAACTGAAATTCGGCATCCAAAGCTGCTCTTCTTACATCGCTATTTGCAAAGGTTAGCAATTTAAAAACCTCTTCAAAGCTAGTTTGTAAATATGGAAAAAATGCGATACTGAAAAAAAAACCGTTCGCTCAAGTTTAATTTAGAACGATATACATAATTTAAGATAAATTAATTAAATACCCAGTGTGTGTTGCAAGCTCACTCAATGCGAAGCAGGCTTCTTCTTTTTCTTCGATATAGTCATTTTCAATGGTCATGTCTGAAAGCAAATATTTGCTGAAAAATTCCCAACAATACAAAATTTTGGCTGTATTTTTTGTTTTACTACTTTAAGAAGGATTTAATAATTATAAATAAGCCAAAAGTATTTGTTTTTGTCGGTGATTATGAGGCAAAATTCTTAATTTGATTTCAAATTTAAATCATCAACAAGAGCATTTAATCCTTTAAAAATGCCTTTATTCACTTTTGTGTTGGTGGCATGAAACTTAACAATTACCAAAATGCCCATAATCAGCTAGCAAGTTTCCTGTTCCACACTCTTATTGAAGATGCAGAAAAAATCAGCGTTACATGGCGCGAATTTTAGGTTTGTGTGAAACAACATTTTGTCGGGCACTCTACCAGAATCGAGATGCTAAATAAACAATTTTTTTATGAATTCACTAGTTTTTGTGGTTCCAATTAATATCATTCAATTAATTAAGGTTTTTAGTGGAGATAAAAAAGTCAGTGTCACGAGCAGGATTCGAACCCATGACCTTACCTTCGGCTTGATACGTCGCTACTCTACCATCTGAGCTATCGTGACTTCGACCCACTCGGGCACTAAGTTCCCATCTCAACCCCCACCTTTTGAATTTTCCCTACTTTTTGTCATTTTTCAAATGTCGTGTAATCTATTTGATTCTCGGCGACAAATGAAATGGCCACGGAGAGCTTTTAGTGAAGTATACTTCATTTTAGCTCATTAAATTCACTAAAAACCTTAATTAATTGAATGATATTAATTGGTCAAGAGGACCAAGAAAACTAGTGAATTTAATGAGTATCAAGCTGAAGGTCGTGGGTTCGAATCCTGCTCGTGACACTGACTTTTTTATCTCAACTAAAAACCTTAATTACTTGAATTTTTTATGTATATTTTTCTTTTTTAATTTTTTTTCCAAGAAGTATTTTTATTTTCACACTAATCAAACCTTTTTAATAAATACCCATATTATAAAATAAAAAATATATATGTTAATATTACAACAAAAGGCAAGTACATAACTGTGAAAATGCTTACCGTCATCTGATTCATCGTCTTCTTTTTCATCTTCAGAGTCTTCTATTAAAGGAAAATCGGAGTTCTTTTTATCATCATGAACCTAAGTAACAAACATGTTCTTTACAGCTTTTAGATTTACACATTATAAATGCAACCCGTGTTGTGTGTAAAAGTTGGTAAGCGGTGCACACAACAAAGGTGGAAAAAAAACTACTTACAATATAACCATCGTCTTGAATGGATTTGATAATAGGTTCTACAATTCCTGGTAAAAGTGGGCCAATGGAATCTTTCAGGACAGTCGATACGGCAGCAAAGAGGCCGTAACTGCTTTTACGAATATCCGGATTGTCGGTGGAAGAGACAAGACTGAGACCAAGATTAATACTGTCCAACGCTAAGGGCTGGAAAATCTGTTCGCCCACATTACGCGCCAGCATTGCCAAAGTATCTAAAATGTAAATTTTAATGTAATGAAAGTTCTTGTTTATTCCTGCTTCAGTGCAATACCTAAAGCTTCTACTTGCAAGGAAACATCATCATCATTAGCTTGTTTCATCAGGTATATATTTAAGTGATTCATTATTTCAGGGAAATAAGGTACAATATCTTCTTTGACTGCTCCAGCTTGAAAATAAAAATTTATTCAATAATGCATTACTTCAAAATTAACTCGATCCAGTTACCGATTGCTCCTATGGTAGATATTGCTAACTCTCTAATATGTAGATGGTAAGGATCTTTGCAGAGAGGCAGTAGTTGACTAATAAGAGAATGTACATAAGGTGCTAAGGCACTTTCTAGATTTTCGGAAAACCTATCTAGAGCGTAAAACAGTCGATCGACTCTATTACTGAATCTGGTGCCAGATTTACCTCTCTCGACTAGCTCTGATATTTGTGAAATTAGAATCGGCATCAATTCATTTGCACTTACACTTATTTCTGGCTTTAATGAACAGAAAATAAAAACAGTTAAACAAAATGCAATGTAAAATATAAAAAATAAATAAATTAGCAATCTTATAACAACTACCTGAAGATGTTCAGCGAATTGCCCTATTGAAAAAAGAGCGGCTCCTCTTACGACTGGGTGCGGATGTGAAACACCTCCTTGAACACATTTAACAAACTGATCTAAGCAGTTGTATCGAATATAAGCTTCACAACCTTGGCTTATAATCCCAAGAACTAAATATCCGGCCTTAATCTCATAAGGATTTGTTCCTTCAATTGCTGGTTTAACAAATTCCATCTGAAATGTAATTAAAAAAACTATATTGTCTTATATTGATAATATTGTTGTTATTTTATTCAGGAGGTTGTTATTAAAATTTATTTTTCCTCTTGATTCACTCTATTCCACATATGTAGACAACCAAAAACACACATAAAAAGTAGTCTTTATTGTTTGTTTTTTTAAACAATTATCAATTTCAAGCCAACATTTTTTATGGTTTTTTATGAAAATGTGATTTTGGTTTCTACATCTGTGGAATAGAGTCAACCAGGATAAAAAATGAAATATAATACTTTATCATAAGTAATAATAAAAATAATAAGTATATGGAAGAATAAAATGATAAGGATGAGCTTATACTCATGCTGAACTGTTGCTAGTCTGACTCCATTATTATTATTAGCCATACAAGCCTATGGGATATGTTTAAATTGTGGAACAAAAATTTAAAATTCTAATTAAAAAACAGGAATAAATTTTATATGTAATTTAAAATGGGGTTTTTGCATACATTTGGCCTTACAAATTAAGAATTTTAAAAGGATAAATTAAAGCTTTGGACGGCAATAGGATAAATTAGTTTATGAGTGAATGTATGGAGTCAGAGCCTTATACTCAGAAGGGGTATAGCTAACCTAAGATAGAAGGTTTGGATGTTAGGGTGTGAAATGACCTTAGCCGTTAAAACGCCCTTAAATAATAATAATAACTTCACTATTTTTCGTGGTCCGTTTGACCAATTAATAACATTCAATTAATGTTAACCTTCAGCTAGATGGCTGCTCTACCACTTGAGCTATCATGACTTCGATCCCCTCGGGAACTAACTTCCCATCTCAACCGCACCTTTTGAATTTTCCCTCCTTTTGCCATTTTCAAATTTAATTAAGGTTTTAAGTCGAGTTAAAAATTACAATTAATTAATTGAATGTTATTAATTGGTCAAGCGGACCATAAAAAATAGTGAATTTAATGAATTAAAATGAAGTACACTTCTCTAAAGCTCTCCGTGGCAATTTCATTTGTCGCCGAGAATCCAATCTGATTACACGACATTTGAAAATGGCCAAAAGGAGGGAAAATTCAAAAGGTGGGGTTGAGATGGGAAGTTAGTGCCCGAGGGGATCGAAGTCACAATAGCTCAAGTGGTAGAGTAGCGGCGCATCAAGCCGAAGGTTGTGGGTTCGAATCACGCTCGTGACACTGACTTTTTTATCTCGACTTAAAACCTTAATTTAATTTGAAAATGGCAAAAAGGAGGGAAAATTCAAAAGGTGCTGTGAACCTTAGTTTGAAAAAATTAAGAAGTGAGAATTTTAAAGGAGAATGAAACATTACTGGGGGGGAGGGAGGAAAGAGAGAGAAAGAGAGAAAGAGAGAGAAAGAGAGAGAAAGAGAGAGAGAGAGAGAGAGCGTGTGAGTGAGGGATGTGAGAAAAAAAAAATCGTGAATGGTGAGTAAGATTGAGTGAGTGAATGAGAGTGCGTGGGGGAGCATATGACACCAAGACCAGCTTAATTTCAAGACTTTCTTTCATTCAGTAAATCCCTCACCTCCCTTCACTATTAAAAAATGGAATGTTAAGGTGGCTCCAGACACGTGGCATTCACCGAATGGCGATGGGTGCCTCGAGATGCTGACAACCAGGCCAGTTTGAGTGCCATGCAACTCCTCAATGTTACTGTTTTGTTTAGTGGCAACAAACTCAGTCACAAATCAGTCACACAATACTGTTGCCCGGTACTTTCAATCCATTTCCGTCGAAACCCTCGTTCTGATTTTTGCGATTCGAAAGAGAACTGTTTCAAATTATTGGTTCAGCTTGATACAGAATTCCAAGACTGTTATGTTACGTCAATCCAGACAAAACCAACACTGTTCTTTTATTAATATATTTACACTAGTTAGGAATCGTTTATTATCGAAAAATAAATAGCAGTGTTGGTTGATAATTACAGTGTTGATTTATGTGTTTACAGTTGATTCCCAAAGTGTGGATACTTTGAGGATGGCTACTTCTTGAATATTTGTGCACTTTGAACTGGACAAAAAAACCTACAATTAGCCGAGCAAAACGAGCACCGAATATTGTTGCTCAGCGAATAACCGGGCGTACATCCCCATTAGTCAGGATTCGGCGAAATTTTACTCAGCATTCGGCGAATCCCTCATCTGAAGCCACCTTTAGATAAGTCTAAATTTTACTAGTGTTAAGTATACTAGTGTTGAAAATGAGTGATAAGTGGAAGAAGCAATGAAAAAAATGTTTCATAAATTTAAAAAAAAAAAGTTAAATGAAAATTGTATATATGTATTTTAATAGGTTAACATTTTGCGTTTGCAATAATAAAACACCCTCTGTAATCCATATTTTTCAATAACTTGAATACGACTGAATTACTCTGGATTACTGAGAGAGCACTGTATATACACAAAATAATACTTTTATTTTTTTATAATTCATTACTTTTGTATATCTTAAATTCAATGAATCGCTAACTAAGAAATAAATAATGTTTCTAGGATAAAACAATAGCCCAAATAACAAAACAAATTTACATTAAGGTAAAGATCTCAAAAATCATGGAAAATTTGTCACATTAAAGCAAGGGTTGTCATCAATTCAAATTTGTTTTTGTCGTGGGGGCGGGCCATTGACATAAAATTTATTTTCATCTCCACCAAACCAAAGCTGTGTGTGTATATGTATACAGAAAGGTAATGAAATAAAATTAAATAATATCAACTAATTTTCCCCCTCATAAAGTTTCCCCCTAGTCAAGATAGAAGTTATATATTTTAAGGTTTTTCTAAATATATAAAAGTAATGGAATCAAATCATTAGGTTGTGAAACAGATTTGCTTAGGGTGGTAAAGAGGCTTGTACACAGGATCTAGGAAATAGTATTATTTTCCTTCAAAATGAATAAGACCTGTGCTGAGAGGTAGTTTATTCAACTCAGAAATTGGTAGTGGTTGGGTGGTTAGGGAATTTTACTCATAATCACCAGTCTGGATTCGAAGCCCGGCAAGACCTTTGGTATTTTATTTGAGAATAACTTGTAAAAAAATTTTTTAAAGGTGATTCTGAACACTCGTCTACGACCTGCAATAGGTAATTGGACATTAAACACTCCTCTACGACAGGAATTACTTTTTTTAACTCAGAAATTGTCTATTACAAAATCTACTGAAAATCATTAGTTAACCCATTTTCAGAGGAATTATTAAAGTAATAATTTTTTGTACATTGAAATTATAATAATAAATCAAATATTGCAATAAATAAAATGTTACTTACAACAGGGTGAATTAGTTTCTTTGCATCCATATTCATAGCAATAGTATCTAACACTTCACAGGCACAAGTCAATAATGTATCTTCATCAGGATCAGAAGTGAAATATTCTTCATTTTCATCATCTTCAGGTTTTGAACACATTAGTTTAAAAATTACCAATAATATTTGTGGAATCAAACCCAATTTAACAATAGTCTAAAAATTTTGACAAAGATTAAAATTAATCCATCAAAGCATGTTTAAAAATATCTATTAAAAAAATTATGTATATAAAATATATCATGAAACCAAAAATAATATACAATTATTATACCCCTATGGGCAATCAAGTCCAATTTTTCAAGTTGAGTTATTAAAATTTAAGATTACTATGTATAAACAGTGAAAGGAAATTTTATAACTAGGAGTGAAATGAGAAATTTTGCCTTTTCTTTTAATAAGTAAAATTGGTAAATATACAGGGTCAGGCTACTCGAGTCACAAACTTTGCCAGTGAATTTCACACTTCTAGAGTGTAAAATAATCGTATGGACCATGGTTCAATTATCAACCCTTTCGCAGATTTTTTTTTTTAACTATCTATTTTTCTTCATAAATCTACTCATTGCTCTTGAACTGTTCATTTTTGAGAAAATTCCTCTGGAATTAAATTCACTATTTTTCGTGGTCCGCTTGACCAATTAATACAATTCAATTAATTAAGGTTTTTTAAGTTGAGATAAAAAAAGTCAGTGTCGCGAGCGGGATTCGAACCCACGACATTCGGCTTGATACAAATGGCAAAAAGGAGGGAAAATTCGAAGGTGGGGTTGAGATGGGAAGTTAGTGCCCGAATGGATCGAAGTCACGATAAATCAAGTGGTAGAGTAGCGGCGTATCAAGTCGAAGGTCGTGGGTTTGACACTGACTTTTTTATCTCAACTTAAAAAACCATTCCTCTGTAACTTTCAATTTATTTTTTGGTAAAAAAAAAACACTAAAACTTTCAAAAACTGCATCAATTAAAATTTGTAAAAAAAAAGACTAAATTTGCAACCTTTATTGGAAAAATTCACGGTAGAGCTTGGCAAATTATGTGATGATTTCTTCCTTTTGATAACCTTTCTAGTGGTATGTACTTTTCTTTAATTACATCAGACCAAAATCCATAAATTTTATGCTAAAAGGGAGAATGGGGTTAATCTAGTAATTCAACTTTTTGTCCTGTGCAATTTCTCTCACAACGTTAACTTAATAAAAAAGTACAAAAACGAAAGAAAATGAAACAAAACATAAAAAGTGACAATAAACATAGTGAAGATCCAAAGCAGAAAGTTGGACAAAATATCTACACTAAATACAGATAAAAGGGGAAAAAATAGAGAAGCAGTAAAATTAAAGGGCAAAAAATTTAGCAGTTTTTGAAAGATTTAGTGTTTGTTTTTGTACCGAAAATTGAAGTGGAAGTTCTAAAATGGTGCAATCTTAAATGAAATGCAACGCACTTTTTAATGCTTTTTTGGGATTTTCATAAAAAATGCACAGTTCAAGAGCTACGAGTTGATTCATGATGAAAACTCTAAATAGTTGAAAAATTCGTAAAATGTTGAATATCCGCAAAAGAGTTGAGAATTGGACAGTAGGTAGCCCCCTTTATAATCAACACAACAAAATTGGTAAAAAATAAATAATTTTAAAAAATAAAAAAAGTTGTTTCAACATTATTATATTGATTAATGATTAATATTTTGTACACAGTTGACTCTTGTTATCTCCATTTTCAATCATATGCGGTTAGCCCTGGTTGAGGTGTAGAGGAGAGTGGGAATCCTGCATAGAATAAACTTTGTGTTTATCCTTACATTGTATTTTTCTTGGTTTAAAGAAAAAAAATTATAGCCTTATACTAGCCAGAATACTCAAGAGAATGCGATAGTTTTTATTCTTGGGGGCAGGGAATTGTGAAAAAAAAAAGTATTACACTGGCCATTTGGCTACCGTGATCCCCTGTATATAAGTATACGTAACATTGACGAAATTACCTCTCATTATCGAGTGTACCTACTGAGAGGTATTTATTTAGAGAGTCTACTGAAATTATTTATGGATTGATAGATGTCCTAATAAAATTTATATACCCCAGAAGCAATAAAATTTTTAGTATAATAAATTTCAATAAAAAAGTAAGGTTTGTTTACTATAGACAAAAGAGAAGTTAGATGTAGGATATATAGTTAATATCATCATGGATAAATAAGATAAATAGCAATAAAAAATAAATTTCATTTTACCTTAACTCGGACATTGATAAAATTCGAAATAACGCTTAAAGATTTTATTCTCAAATCTTCGATTTTGTTCTGATCTTCTGCAATCAATAGGCACAGAGTTATAATATCTTTGAAATGCGGAAGGAGTATTCTAATCTCCTCTTTTTCAGAATACTCGTAAAAAAAATCCAAAGCATCGAGCGCACGATAAGGTCTCGCTGTCGCAAGCTCTTGGACAGTTTGAAGTACAAACGGAAGGAGTTCCACAAATTTGTTAGTGATCTGGAACAAAAAATAAACAACTAAATATTTCATTACGCTTCACGCCTGTTTTAACACTACCTCTTTGTTTCCTGAAACTGCAGAACTAAAATGAATCATGCAAAGCACAACAAAATAAGCAACTGGGCACGATTTGTCTTCGAGTGTTTTCATCGTTTCCACAAAGAGCGTGAAAAACTGTTTGGCATCACTAAGAAATTCATTGGGAGAAGTCTCAAGCAACACACTTAATGAATAGAATCCTAGCTGTAAATCAACAAAACCCAATTAAATATTAGTTGATGTAGCTATGTAAAATTTTACAAGACAATAAAAAAAAATTCTAGATAAACTTTCAACACATACAATTGAATCAAAATTATTATGGCATAAAACTGCCAACAAAAATATGCCTGTTACTCCGTGGAGACAAGAGTGGGGGGGAAAATATTAAAAAATAAATAAATATCTGGTGGAAATAAATCAAGATATAAATAATAATGGTTGGGCACATGTTGTTCTATTTTTAACGTAACAAAAAAAATTAAAAAGGAGCTAAAAGTAAACAAATAACAATAATAAAATAAAATAACTCCTTTGTTTTAAAAAAAAAATTAATTTAAATTTAAAAAAAATTAAAAAACAGTAACTCCTCTTAACAGGTAATTAAATTAAGTAAAGCTAATGATTGTGATAAACAAAAAAAGTGCTCTGCACTGCTAAAAAATATAGAGCCTTGTCCAAGTATTACACACAAAATTATCTTCTGATGGTTGCTGTTGCCCATTCTCGGAGCCAATCCAATGGTTATTCCAGAGAATCTTCTTCCATACCCCGACAATGGGAGAGTCGTCTAGATTGCAACAAATCCCCTTCTGGGTCTCCATATTCTGATCCCTCATCCACGCTTCGGCTGCACTTAAGAAGCCTTTGTCTATCACCTCAAGCCTACCAGACTAGATTTCTTACTCGCCCTGGTGAAAAAATTGTCCTCCGGCAAACTTAATTCTCTTCCAGGAACCACTTGATCCAGGACAGTCTCAGTTGCACACGAGGGAGAAAATCAGGACATCTTTTTCCAGTCCATCTCCTCAAGCCTGTCCATCTCCCTAGTAATTATTATCACACTCCCTTTATCAGCTGGCACTAAGTTTATAACAATATTTTCTACAAGGATTACCTCAAAGGATAAGCTAATCCCCAACCGCAGGCTCAGCAGTGCGAGCTGAGACACAAAAGGACAAGGAAAGCACCTGATTTTTTTTTTTTTTTTTTTTTTTTTTTTTTTTTTTTTTTTTTTTTTTTTTTTTTTTAATGGCAAGTTGTGTATGTGACAATCATTTATTTTTATTTCCTAATCTGAATACATTTATTTTTGAAGGTTATTGTTATAATTTATTTGGGTCAGGTTCCGATTTTTTCTTCTTGCGATTAATTTGTTTGAGTTAGTGGCGCAGGTATTTTTTTCATTTTCATTTTACACTATTGAGTGAAACAAGTTGTTTCGTGTGAAGGGGATCCATGCAAAGATCGTAATAAGTTAACATTTTCTTGTACAAAACTAACCCTTGTTTATACGACCAACTTTGGTCCTGACTTGGCAGCCTTCTTTTCACTGGCTTTCCTCTCCTTTCTCCAGGTTCAGCACAATACTTTACAAAGCCGGAAGGTATCAACTTAATTGTGAATAAATTAATAAGGAGTTTTCTACATTTATTTACTTTAAATTAAACCAGCTAGATTTTTTTAGAGGGTGTAGGCTTGCTGCTCAAGAGTGTTGGAATTTCTCCCACAGAAATTGTCCATACATATAAATATTTAGGCTTAAATTTCACCAGTAAACATGCCCTCAACCCCCACTTCAAAAGTGCAAGATTCACATTGTGAAATGTCCTATGAATTCTTATTTGGCTGAATTTCACTTCTAATAATCACATTCCTGTTAGCAGTAAATTCACTGTATCATTGTATGATTTCTTGCTGAATTCTTCTCATTTGTAGTCTGTTGATACTTTATAAACAGTTGTAAAGAGTGTTTCCGGTCAGTTTCTAAGAATGGGTCTGATTTTTCTTAATTATTGTTATATGCCTAAGCGTTTTGTTCCCATCTAATTTGATTGTTTCTGGAGCCTAAATGCTTTTCCTCACTTTTTACATTTCCAATCAAGGTAGGTTTAGCAGTGTATCTAGAGCAATGAGGGTTGTTTTCATTCCATTACCCACGATAACTATAGTTGAATCTGAATAATCATTAATAATAATGTGGTGATTAGTCAGTCGAAGATTATTCAAAAATCGTGAGATGCGGTCTGGTGTGATGTAGGTTTCAGAAAAACATTTTCTTTATCGTGCTAACAAAAACATGTTGGATGTGTAAAAAAATGAATTTATACAATTCAAATAAATATTTTTTATATTAAATCAAATTTGAATTGTATAAATTCACTTTTTCCCACATCCTACATGTATTTGTTAAATTTAAACAATGTTTGTAAATCCCAGGCCCTGAAGATGATCTCAATAAAGATCGAAACGTTGGCACGATANTTTCAGAAAAACATTTTCTTTATCTAGCCAACGTTCGATTGAATATAAAAAAATATTTATTGCATTGTATAAATTCACTTTTTTCCACATCCTACATGCATTTGTTAAATTTAAACAATGTTTGTAAATCCCAGGCCCTGAAGATGATCTCAATAAAGATCGAAACGTTGGCACGATGAAGAAAATGTTTTTCTGAAACTACATCACACCAGACCGCATCTCACGATTTCTGAATAATCATCGACAAACAGTCACTAATCACCACATATTATTATTAATTATTTATTATTTAAATAACAGCCGGTTGAGAGGAGAAATTGGAGTCATGATAGCTCAAGTAGTTAGAGCACTGGTGAACTGAGCTGAAGGTCGTGGGTTCGAGCACCGCTCATGACACTAATTTTCCTTCACAACCATCTTTGCATACAAATTTAAAATAATAATTAATAAACAGTTAACTAATTAAATAAATAGAGGAATAAATAGAGGATATTAATGAAATATGCTTAATTTTAACTAACCTCCTTGTCATCCATACTTTGCGATGTCATCGACTGATGTAAAAACTGTACCAGATCAGGCCATCCGACTTCAGCAGCCATTTCATGTTTTAAAATAATAGAAATAATCTGGGCGATATAATTTTTCACTAGCTTTTCCGGTTCGGCAATGAGCTGTTGCAAAAGCCCAGTTTTTATCCTAATGTTACAAATATTATCTCCTCAATATAAAGATACGTGTACACAATTGAAAAAAAAGATTTTAACAGTTAATACCCTGATTTTGCTTCATTGGACAACTGATTCCAATTTGCAGATTTTGAAAATCTCCTTTTTAATATGACTGCTGCGTATTGTCTAAGTTCATAGTCTTGACTTGTACTTAAGACGTTGCATAGCAGACCGACACAATCGGGATGTGATAAAATCTGCTTCAATTCTTTTGTGCCCTGAAATCAAATTTATACATTTAAAAATGTTTTTCATATATTTAAATAATTATTAAAGTAACAAACAACAGGTTTTGTAAGAAAGAATAACAATGTAAAGTAAGACTATGGCTTCCCGCGGTCGTGGGTTCGATCCCCACCGTGGCCTCTGGACTTTTTCTGACGCCTTCAGGGGACCAGTGGCCGCAATTGAAAGAAATTGACACGGCACTCATCAATGGAAGGAGCGGGATCAGATCTCAGTGACCCTGAATTTGGTCCCAACCCCCTTCAAAAATGAGTTTCTTCGATGGAAGAACACCGGGGGCTCAAATTCACACAAAAAATGGAGCCAGGAATAAAGTACAATAAGCTGTACAGCTGCAGTGCTCAGGAGGGAACTCCTCCAGCTCCTGGTATCCATTGTTAAAAAAAAAAAAATAAATAAATAAAAAAATTTAAAAAAATCTAAATGCCAAAATGCAATTCTTGAGAGCAGATTATTATTTTTTTTTTTTTTTTGCTTTACTTAACACATTAGCCATTTAGCCATAATGTAAGAGGGGCACCAGAAAGATAGTCTGGCCGCCACTTCGTTGTTATATTTGTTAGCACTACATCATCTCATCAAGATGAGGTAAGTATTGGTATATTCCTTAGAAATTTCATGTTTTGATTTCAGGAATTGTGTTGCAGCTTTCTGTAGTGTTTTTGAGAGCTTCTACGCCTGATTATGGAATGCGGAGGTAAAAAACTGTATGAACGATACCTAGCTTTACATTGCTGAGGGAAGCATTCCCCTCACTTATCGGCGCCACGTCAACGACCAAGCGAAAATAGAGAGAGATTAAAGTTTATGGAGGTTTTCATATCTACCCCGGCAGAACAGGGTGTGGTTCAAAGTTTTCTTTTTAGAATGATGTCGACTCAAATGGCAGGTGGATATTTAAGTAGTGATCACATTCTAGAATGAAATTCACTGCCAACATCTGAATAGGCTGGATACATTGTCTAGATGTGTTGCAGCTCTAATGAACAAAATTCAAAAAGCACAATTTTCCCAACCTCAACTCTTCGCATATAGATTGGAATCCATTGCAGTCTCATTTCTTTAAGGATCTATACAACACTGTAAATGCTATTATTGTCATCCAACTGTGGACGGACACAAATGATATCGGGAACATGCTGGATTGATGTGAACATTCACGTCCCTCCTAAAGCCGGAGCGTTTATCAAGAAATATATGAACATACAATTTTTATCCTAAGATAACTGAGGTTCATGCCGAGTCAGCCAAACAACACCAATGTCCTCACTCTTTGAATTTGCCATCTTTACGCTTCACAATAATGTACAACTAATTAAGGTTTTAAGTTGAGATAAAAAAGTCTGTGCGGGATTCGAAAAAAAAAAAGTAGGGTTGAGATGAGAAGTTAGTGCCCGAGAGGATCAAAGTCACGATAGCTCAAGTGGTAGAGAAGCGGTAAATCAAGCCGAAGGTCATGGGTTCAAATCGCGCTCGTGACACTGACTTTTTTATCTCAACTAAAAACCTTAATTAATTGAAGTTTTTTATTACGTTAAAAAAAATTATTATATTGGTATCTCGGGCTTTTATGTCTTTCAGCGAATTTTATGAATTTGATTTTTAAATTTTAATGTTATTTATATACAATTTTTATGTGGATATTTTGAGTATAATGCCAAACGCTTGTGGCTAAAATAAATGCTATTCTTTTCTACTAATCCGGATAGTATGAAGCATTTAATAAATTTTTTTCTGAATATTGTTTGGCGGAAGAATAAGTTTTATAAGAAAGCGAATTATTATTTTCTTTAAAATTAAAATTATTTCGAGTTAAATTGTAATTTAAAAGCGGTGAACGGTCAGTCGATGATGGTTACAGGGTGATGAATGATTTAAAATGAAGTACACTTCACTAAAGCTCTCCGTGGCCATTTCATTTGTCGCCGAGAATCCAATACGATTACACGACTTTTGAAAAATGGCAAAAAGGAGGGAAAATTTAAAACAAAAAATGCGTTGAGATGGGAAGTTAGTGCCCGAGGGGATCAAAGTCACAACAGCCCAAGTGGTAGAAGTAGTGGCAACTCAAGCCGAAGGTCGTGGGTTCAAATCCCGCTTGTGACACTGACTTTTTTATCTCAACTTAAAACCTTAATTAATTGAATGTTATTAATTGGTCAAGCGGACCACGAAAAATAGTGGATATAATGTACAACACTGAAGGAAGGACCGAGCAAGCATGTCTCTTGATGCACGTATCTTACGACACATTGTATCATACAAGTTTGAACTAATTTTGTCGGTCCTTTTCGTTTTTTATAGGCCTGAGCATTGCGTATCTTAGAAGATAATTATCATATTTCGTTTATGATTAAAGATGTGGATGTTATCGCTCTGTGCAAACCCGGCTTATATTATGCAGGGTGGGTGACCAAGACCCGAGGAGTTAAATGCCTGGGTAGACTCGTACCCCATAAACCCGTGAACCCGGTGTCAGTTACTGCCGGTTAACAAGCCTAATACACTAACGCTGTCGTACAAAATAACGAAATTTATTGGTTTTCAGTCCTTGATATACTTCAGGGCCTCTCTTATTGCGATTGCTTCTGTTGAAAAGATAAGAGAAGCTTCATATGCTTGTTCGTGCTTTTCTAACGGTTAAAGCCACAAAATCTTTTACTGAGAAAACGTATTTTTTTATTTATTACCAAAAACCTGTTGAAGTTACAATAGACATACACATACTCACTTCATGTATCAAACATTTATCATTTGCGAGGAGTTTTTTCAAAGTCTGCTCCATGTTCTCGTGATGTTCGAGGCGTTTAGAGTTTTATGTTGTCGTCTTAGCAATATCACGTCGTAATCGATCCGAAATTCATAAAATAAATTGGACCATATTCCGGTGAAATAGAAACAGTACTCACGTGGTTTAGTCGAAGAATTGCAATAACCTATTTACACCGTACTTAAAACAGTATCGATACGTTGCATAGAGTACATCATAAGCATAAAAAATATACCATATATTTCACCGACGCAACTGCTTTATTGGACTGTCATGTATGAATTTTATTGCATATAATTTTTGATTTATGGTATTTGTTTGCATAGTTGTATTTAACAAGGCTTCAGGGCATTATTGCACCTTTTCACCTAGACTCCATTAATTATAACATACATTTTTACATTATACATAAAATAGTTCAGGGGGAAAATATATTTTAAAAAACCCAGGTGTAACAGAGCAATAAAGGTATATTAAACACATTAGATGCAAGTAAACGAGTTCAATAAAAAAATATTCAAATACATGATTTTCTTTTAACGCAAGTTGAAGTCATAAAGAATCATGGTGTACTTTTTGATCAAAAGCTCGTTTTTTTTTTGTTTTTTTTTTTTAATTATAAAAGGCGATCAACCTTTGGGTCATTTTCCGCCTTAAAAACTTTCATGCTGGGTGGTGAGTGGGCCACAGCTCAGGAACCCCCAATAGCGGAAACCAGGGCCCCGGCAGTATCACCCAAACCGCACCCCAAGACACCTCCCAACATTGAGTGGATTTCAGATTATTGCATACTGAACTTGAATGATTTTGCATTAAATAATATCATTTTACCTTCATATTTCCAAAATTAGTTTAGTTTTTTTAAGGAAAGTTACTAGTTTGTCTATTTGGTCAAAGTCATCACCAAGCGAGTCTTTGATGTTGGTTGGAATTTCCAACCGATGTCTTTCTTCTACAAATTTTTTGCAATTTGTCAAAATGTGTTTAACTGTTGTTCTTTCTGTGCAAACATCACAAAGCGGAGTCTCTTTTTTGCCATGAGATAAGAATGAGTAAGCCTACAATGACCAATTCTGAGCCTAGCAAGGACAACTTCGTCGTGCCTGGAACCTCTATGAGATGAGGTCCAAGGTTTTACGCTGTTTTTTATCTCCCTAAGTTTGACATTAGAAGTCTTTCCCACTTTGTTTGCCATAACTGCCAAGACTTTCTTTTATGCCAAGCTGTCACATCGGATTTTGGTGTTTTTGTAATTTTAACTCCATTAAGGACGGCCTGCTTTGCCAAATGGTCCACCTTCTCATTGCCAAATATTCCACAGTGTCCAGGAATCCACATGAAAACTACTCTATTTCCATGATTTTGCAGAGATTCAATGGTAAATAGGATGTCTTGTATCAATGGATGTACTGAAAAGTTGTTTTTAAGGGCCAATAGCGCCGACAAAGAGTCAGTACAGATCACAATTGTTTCCCTGGATGGGGCTAATGTAGTTAAGCTACAAAAAAAAAAAAAAAAATAGATCTATGAAAATGCTAGGTTTTATCATCCAGAACACCTGTGATTTTAAAAATCCTCTGTTTTGTCCATCTTTATAAAGTTTTTGTACAATCTATAATAGAATACACTACACCTGTTTGGAACCCATACTACTACTACTATACGTCTTTATTCTTTAATATATATACAAAGTTTACAAATCAGCAGTATATATTACAGAGCAAGAAAGACGTTCCTCATGGTTTAAAACCGTTTGAGGGAGTCTAGCACATAAATGTATATAACTAAAATCTCTCTTATTACAATATACAATATTTACAAGTAATTATAATTAGTATTTACAGCCTCCCTGGGGAAAAAAGATGTAGACCAAACCACATCTAGATGGATTGGAGAACTACAACGAACTAGAATAGCTGAAACAAATATAGGAAAAGACACTATAGAAGTTAGCACAACAAAAGGATGTCCTCAAGGAGGGATATTATCACCCCTTCTATGGAGCCTAACAGTTGATGAACTGCTCGAAACCCTGGACCATTCAGGAATAAAATGTCAGGGATATGTGGATGACATAGTCCTGACTGCCAGGGGAAAATTCGAGGAAACTCTCTGCGATATAATCCAAGAGGGACTAAAAATCACAGAAGAATGGTGTAAAAGTGCTGGCTTTGGGATCAATCCCAACAAAACAGCTATAGTCGCTTCTACATGGAAAAGGAAACTTGATCACTTGAGGGAATAATACTCAATAAATGAAGTGATAGAAATCAAAAATGAAGTCAAATATCTGGGCATCACACTAGATAAAACACTAACATTTAAGAAACACATCAGCTCTATCATCACAAAGGCAACATGAGCTTTGATGGTGTGCAGAAGAATAGCAGGAAGAAACTGGGGATGCAGACCGGAAACCCTGTTATGGATGTACACCATGATAGTAAGACCTTTACTTACATACGGAACTATAGCCTGGGATGATAAAGAAAAACAAATGACCAAAAGGAAAAAACTCACAAAAATACAGACTTGCATGCATCTGCATAACGGGAGCAATGAGAACATGTCCTACAATTAGCATGGAAAAAATACTAGGATTAATCCCTAGATAGTAGGTAGAAAGGACAGCGCAGAAAACCATCATCAACTTTATCAAAGAGAAACCTCCAACAGGAATAAAACTGAAATGGAGAGATAGGAACAAACTATGGAAAGCCATCTGTCACACATGGCTCCAAGAGACGACATGAACAGGATGTTTTAATTTAACCAAAAATTCTGAATAAATCTGGGTGCCAAAAAAGAATGGGAAAGAAAGAGAAATAGCTCCTTTAAAAATGGCACCATCCTCTGGAACACAGATGGATCTAGAGCACAAGAAGGTACGGGGGCAGGAGTATTTGGACCCGGAACCAAATACTCAGAACCCATGGGAAAACACACCATCATCTTCCACGCTGAGATTCATGCAATTGAAAGATGTACCCAATTCAATCTAAGTAAAGGGTACAAAAACAAGAATATAGCTATCATGTCAGATAGCCAAGCAGCCATCAAAGCACTAAGCTCAAATATCATTAGTTCAAGAATGGTGCTGAACTGCAAAACCAAATTAAACATATTAGGTATGCAGAATAAAGTCAGCCTCTGCTGGGTCCCAGGCACATGGGAGTAGAAGGCAATGAGAAAGCGGACACCCTTGCAAGGCAAGGAGCTGCTACACCGCTGACAGGACCTGAACCCTTCTGTGGCATAGGAATCCACACTATTAACGAATATCTCAGACAGAAGGACAAAAAGAAAATGAAGGAACCATGGAATTCACTCATTGGACATAGACAATCCAATAATCTTCTAACCAATTTTGGTAAGAAAGAAATCACAGAATGTGTCAAAGGAAGCAGGAACAGACTGCGAATCCTAACAGGACACTTAAAGAAAATTGGAACAATCCAAGATGGCACATGCAGATTCTGCAAGGAGGCAGAAGATACACCAACACATTTACTAACAAACTGCAGAGCTACATTAGCCCGCAGGAGGAAATGTTTTGGGATGTATAATGTGACCATAGAAGAGCTTCAACCACTGAAACCGGGCCTATTAATCAAATTTCTTGATGAAATAGGGCTCACCGATGTGCTTTAGGCAGAGAACGGGGGATACAATAGCTCTTACAGGGCGCCATACCATACCTTGAAAAATTACATCTACATCTACATTTACAAAAGGAGTATATACTTTCTTCTAAAATGTCAGTAATGTAATAATAGAACATAATTATATAATAATAGCTGAAACATGATTACAAATATATACATCTCTTATTTATGATTACCTATAATGCACATAACTCAATAATAAACTAAACTAAAGTAAATGTAAATAATATAAGTAAAAATAAATAATAATGAAGTATATTATCTACCACAAGAAATAATAGTAAAAAACAAAACAAATAATAAATGTTTAATATACAATATTCAGGTCGAAGATGAGCTTTTCACCTATTCAGGGGAATCCGACAAAAGAAGCTGCCTCCACCCTCACCAGTTGCCTCTGATTCTGGCTCTAAGATAATAAGTCTCTTTGCAGAAATTTACCAACACATCCTTGCCATTAATATATTCTAGCAGAATCTCACTAGACAGAGTTTCCCTACCAAAATATTGTTTCCTGACAGCGGCCAGTGCAGGGTAAGTTGCCAAGAAATGGAACAAATCCTCCCGCTCTGTACCAATCCAAAGTTCACAGTTAATATCCTGCTGCTTGAAATGTTTGTAGTTTAAGTTAAACAGATCCCCCCGACACTTAATTATCTACCGCATGCTATCTAAGGGTAGCGAGAGATCCATTAGATAATTTGGGGATTTGAATAGAAGCTCTCTAAGGAGTGGGAAACTGTCTGAATTGACGATATTGTCTCTTTATATTGTCACAAATGGACCGTCTAACTAGTCTCAAACCATCCCTCCACAGTTCAACTCTGTCGATATTGTTCCAGTCTAAGGACAAGTTCAAATTAAACTGCATAATATGCCTTTTTATTTCCTTAAACCAATACATTTCTTTATCTACAATCTGCTAGGCAAGGATCTTCGGGAGTTTATTATCTGGTAGGGATAAAATTCTTATTATGTAATCGAAGTGGTTTTATAGTGTAGAGAAGGCTGTGGGTTTGTACTGAGGCAGCCTAAATAGCCTCCTGATGAAGAACCGTAGAAACCCCTCTACCTGTCCAAACATCTCTCCTCCCCAAACCTGAGCGCCGTAGCATAAAATAGACCTGTTGACTGTTAAATATTTTTAGCTGTTGGGTACACAATATCGCTGTTGTCTATAAGAGGTCTCCAGATAGAATTTAGTCCCATCCTTGCTTTATCCACCGTAACCGTAACATGTTTCTTCATTGACAGTGCCGGCATGAGTCGGATTCCCAAATATCTATACTCATTCACCACCTCTATCTCCTCAGTTTCTAAATACCACCTCTCACTCTTCGCAGGTCCCTAACCCACACTATCTAAAATATCAAAAATTTCTTCAATCTGTACAAAATAAATTGTTAAAAAAAACTTGCACTCAATCTTCCTCCGAACTCTGCCTATCCTAGAATCCGCTCTGTATTTAAACTTTTTGAACTGGTACTAAGAAGGGATTACTTTGATATTGTTTTTGTATTTAAATTATTAAACAATCTCATTGATAGTCCTTTTCTCCTCTCTCAGCTACAGCTACACGTCCCTTCGCACTCTCCCAAAACCTGCAAACTATTTTATATTGAATTCCAAAGCTTTTAACCCCATGCTCTCTTCTCTTCTACACCGCATGATGATTAAAAGTAACATCTGCAATAGCATTGACATCTTCAATAGTTCTGGGCAATCTGTGAAAAACCTACAACCCTACTCTAGTTGAATTTTCTTACCAATTTATTTATTTTTTAATGCTTTTATATTTCACTGTTAAAAGTTTATTACAATTTATTTCATTTGCTGGTTTACCTAAATCTTGCACTCTAGTCTTATTATGTAACTACAAAGAGCATTATTTTCATTAAACATGTATCTAAATATTGTAGTTTTGTCTTTCAGATTTATTTTGTTTACTTTGCCTTCATTTACTTAATAATTACGTCTTTTGTTGTCAGAGAACACTGCAGGTCCAAATATATAATAACGTTTAATGAAAAAATTTGCTTTCTGTGGGGAATGATAGGTTGCCAAAATTGTGTTATTAAAATCTGTAATTCATGCTGAATCGGCACTGGGTTTATGTAATATTAGCCCTTGTCTGGCTTTTGTTTTATTCATTTCAAAGTTTTTAATCAATTTTCTGTTTCAGATAAAACAAACTGAAGTAAAAGGTTAATGAAAAATTCAGTCGAGTGCCAATATTTTCTATACCACGAATATTGACATAAACTTTTTAAAGAATTTTTAGATTTATACAATTTCACATTGTTGCAAATCCATATAAACATGGAATGCACATTTTGAATTCCAGAGAATAATTTAATTAAATTAACAGAGTTCTCAAAACCTCACTTGAATTTAGTGGTAGAATTTTATCTTTTGCATCTTTCACAATTTAAAAAAAAAAAAACACATGGAGTCATGCTTATCGATCACTTCACAGCAAAAATCTTCATTTTTATAAAATGTTTTTGTCAATATTGTTGAAAGAAATTATAATCTGTTGATAGCCTGGGTGTCTTATTTGCAGAAAGGTGGGGGTTAGGAACAAGTATGTTTTCAGAATTTAAAAGTGCAAAAAAAACAGTTGAAATTTTCTATGATCAATAAAAGTCAAGACAAATAAAAATTAATATATTTTATTTTAACAAAACTTTTTATCATACCTGGACTATTTATTATTAGCTCATGTACAATATTCTTACCTTGTATTTATACAGTCATTTATTTAATTAATTTCTTTAAATTCTGTACATAAAAGCAATTTACAAAACAATACGTTAAAAAACAAAAACAAAAAACAAATTCTGCGACTAATAAATTTTTTAATACGTTAATTTTATAAAAATTTGTATTCACATTTTGTCTCGACCCCAGGTGGCGGAAAAGCAACTAGTAAAAATTGTATTAATTTTGTAAATGTAATTTTTGATATTATTCATTTGTTTAAGTATTCAACACTATATGTACTTTTTAATAAAAATTTGCCAACATAGTATAAATTCCTCTCGGTAAAAAGAAACAATGATAGAATACCGAACACATTAATAATATCTTGATTAAATAATTTTACTTGATGAAAATTAATACATTCAGTTGGAAAACAATTATTTTAATTGGATACACCATAAAAATAGTTTTATAAAGTCATACATAATTTATGGAAAGTTTATGTACACATGAAAAAATAATAATATATATGTATAATTAGTTACATAAGAAGTATTAGCGTAAAGAGAATGTGAAATTTTCACAAATAAAGTTTTGTTCTTTGTATTAATGAACTAAAAACCTTGTTTAGTATGCATAAGCAAAGAATTCCAAGTCCACTTGTTTCTGGAACATATAAAACATATAGCATTATTCATGACCAATCTACAAATTGCATTGATTTTTTAAACCAATACAAAAATACTATTATGTATTTATGTAACTTCTTCAGACTAGAATGATCGGTAGAAGGTAGAAAACCATTTTAAAAATCAAATTTTGCCCTAGCATTATGAAAGAAATAATTAATAAAAGTTTCATTGAAATTTTAAATTTCACAAGAATGCTAAAAATTAACCGTCGGATAGGGAATTTTGCATAATTGCCATACAAGCCAAATAATGCCAATGTAAAAACAAATATTATATGAATAGACGACATGTGTAAGGCAAAACTACTATCAATTCATGCAGGCCAATGTCAGCCTCTCAGTTAGTTGGACCACGTGGTTAAGGGTTTTATGTCCCAGATTCACGACCCAATGCAATTTCACAAAGGCTTAAGTAAAAAAAAAAAAAAAGAAGGAAGCCAAGCCCAGAATAGTTATTTATATAAAAACATTATCTATAGTATATATAAAATCAAACTTACTTAGGAAATACTTATAAAGGAACCTCAATTATCGGATGTTTTTGCTTGTCTCTTTTGTAATGCTGCAGCAAGATCTTGCCGTAATGCTGCTTGCGCTCTTTGTCCTGATAATGGTTCTACTGATCTAAGACCATTTACTATATCTTTTGTTTTTCCAAAATAAATTTCATTAAGTGTATTTCTTATTTTATTTTCCATGTCTTCCACCATTCTTCCAATGTTGGCTATGTGTGGAGAAACCTCCGAAACTATTGAGTCTTGTTCCGCCTAAAAAGAAAAAATGTAATACCAGTATAAGAGCTGTTAAAAGAAGCAATAATTTAAATCACAGTGTTATCTCTCCCTAGTCAAACTTCGGTACTTCAAACATTCCAGTAATCAGAAATGTACAAAAATTCAAGAAATCTGAATTTTAGAAGGAAAAATGAAACAATATTTGGGAGGGGGGAGAAAAAAGAAATGGAGATACCACTGTAAAATGGTGATGGAAATAGTTAAATAAATTTTCCTTAAAGTAATAAAAAGTATCTCATTTTATTGACCAAATTTATAAAAAGATCTGTGTAAGATTGAAGAAAGTACATGAAATAAAGAATTCTAGTACAATTAATTACCTGACGTGTTAGACTTCCACCTAAATTCATAGTTCCGGACCCCGTTTTATTCGTCTGAAGCCAAAGCATAACAGTAGAAGTAAGTTTGTAATGTGCATTTTTACCACTACTTTTTTCTTGAACTTCGACAACATGAATAGAATCCCAGCAACCCTTGATTTTTTTTGACCCGTCTCCAGCCTTTTTTATTAATATGGCACCTAAATTACAAAGGTTTACAAAACAAACCAAAAATCACAATTTAAGATTGTATGAAAATTTACCGGCAAATCCATTGATTTCAAGGTCCCAGAGATAAACCGACGAAACTCCACCTTCAAAATACATCTCCCTGTACTGTTCGAACGCAGTGTTCGCTTCCATTTCTAATTTTCTTAACCTCTCTGATGGCATAGAACCATCTTCTAATGTCGGATAATATATATTACTCCAAGGAGACCTACAAAACATTAAATAAAAGGCATTTAAATCGATTTTTCATTTAAAAAAACTTTTTTTTAAGGAGGTGGGTAATTTTTTCTAAAAAATAATATGATGCAAGTAATCTATTTTAATTTAATTAGGCCTCAAAAAGTGTATCAATGTTGTCTATTGCTACTGATATGATTTTCATAATTTTTAACATATTTGCTAAGTATTAAATGTGCAATTTTCCTGTTCATTCGCTAGTTTACCACCAAATTTTATTGCAGAGTAGTCATTAATTTACATTATTTAAAAAAAAATATCCTTCCATGCATCCTCTTTTGTTCTTATGACTTTTATCTTTAGTATGCCACAAAAATTGATAGATCTGATACAGATGGATAAATAGAATGCTGTCCTCCTGGTTCATTCTGAAGCTAGAGAAACGTGTGCATTTACACGGTGTCTGAATTGCACAGACAATGCGAAGCACTTTGATGTGCACTAAAAACCAACAACCGGTCAGCTCACCTCGAAGCATCCTCATGCAAAATTTTGAAGTCTCAGCTATGTATCCACAACATGAGACAAGTTTCACGACTGATTTTCTCTGCTTTATGCTGAGGTGTAAGTTGGTAATTTAGGATTTGACTAGTAAATTTAAAAAAAATTGTAAATAAAATTAATTAATTATATACACAAACATAAGTACTAATTGTTGTACAATTCCTCTTTAATCTGGCTTTAGATGTATTATTAATTATACTAATATATAATTAATAGTATTAATTCTGTACATGGAAGAGCGAGAAATGTAATTGGTATGGGAAAATTGGTGGTAGAATACTGTTTTACCACAGGTGCAGACAGATGGGACGTGAAAATTGAGGTATGATAGCAATTTTGGGGAATAAATATTATTTTTAAAAAGGAAAAATGTTACATCGGACATCTTATATTGAAAAGAAACATTTGTAACTTTATGGGAGTAAGTGATAATAAAGCATGTTCAAAGACATGTTATTTTCATAGCACCACTTTATAACATTGCTACTATCTCAGGTAAGCAACTATGCTGAGGTGTAAATTGGTGATTTTGCTACTACCTCAGGTGTGAATGAGTGATAGATAGTGAGTGAATGAAAGAGGGAGAGAGTGAGTGAGTGAGAGATAGTAAATGAGGGATGAGAGAGACAGTAAGTGAGCGAATGAAAAAGAGATAATGGGTGAGTGAGATTTTTCTCTTTTACGTGAGAAAAATCTCTCATTTTCTCTCTCTCTCTCTCTCTCTCATTCCCTCACTATAATATACCTAAGAGGAAGAAGCAAGGAAGAAATCTTTCCTGAGGTGTAAATTGCTAATTTTGCTACTACCTCAGGTAGGCAACTATGCTGACACGTAATTGGAAATTTTGCTACTATCTCAGGTAGGAACTATGCTGAGGTGTAAATTGGTAATTTTGCTACTACCTCAGATAGACAACTATGCTGAGGTGTAAATTGGTAATTTTGCTTTAAAGTAGTTTAAAGGGTTAGATGTATCGACCAGTTTTTATTCACAAATAATTTTAACCTGAATTGTTTTTTTATTAAAAAACTTTTTTTAAGAGGGGTTTGCAACAGTAGAGTTCATGTAAGTCCTTGGGGGTGCCAGTGTTTTTGGGTGAAAAAAAGCCATGACAGTGATGAACACATGTCAACCTAAATCATTATGGCCACCAACACCTCCTTTTTTTAAAAAAAATATCAATTAATTATTCTTTTATATAAGGTCTCGATTGAGATGAAAAAGTAGTGTCACAGATTTGAACCCACATCCTTTGGCTCAATTCGGCACTGCTCTAACCACTTGAGTTATCGTGAGATCCACTCGAACACCAACTCCCCAACTCAGCCTACAATCTTTTGAATTTTCCCTCTTTTTAACATTTTTTAAATGTCGTGTAATCAGGGTTCGATTCTCAGTGAGTTATTAAGAGGCCACAAGGAGCTGTTAGTGAAGTGATACTTCTTTACTTATTAAATATTAATCCATTTTATGCTTAGTGACAAAATGAACAACTGAACAAAATTGTTATTTCAGTTAAATATTATTTTTATGAAAGGTTGATTGGGATGAAAAGTAGAAGTCACAATAGCTCAAGTGGTTAGAGCAGCGACGTATCAGGCCGAAGGTTGTGGGTTTAAATCCCGCTTATGACACTAACTTGCTCATCTCAACAAAGACCTTATATAAAAAGAATAATTAATTGAAATTGGTAATTTGGTCAATTAGACCACTAAACATAAAAGGGATTAATATGAATATAGTTCAGTTATTATGATACAAACGTCAGTTGTACAATACATCGAGTATAAAAATATCACACGTTTGGCTTATTTTTCTATTTATGGGAATGATAACGTTCAATTCAACAGAGGAGCACACACTTACTGAAAATAGAAATAAAACAAAATTAATCTCTTGTACCTATATGAGTCACCATCCCTGTTGTAGTCACAGAGCAGATAATCTTTGCCGACCTCATCATCGCGCGCAATTTTCAGCGGTTGATCAACGGAAGAAAGGAGATCTTCGCAGAGGGATGGGACCAGATCAATCAAATCACTCAAGTTTTTTTCAATCTCTTGAGGTGGCAGCCTCCTCATCAGATCTAAAGCACAGTCCATCTGTTGATCTGTCTGTAAATCGTAAAAAACACGTAAATGGAACAAATAAATTATCACGAGTGATGGTAAAAAAACCGGATTGTTAAAAATTCAAGCAAGTCCTAACATGAAAACCGACGGGTCCACATAGGGCCGGTCTCAGAAATGACTAATACTTTCTTGCCCTGATAATATATTTACATCGATTACAAAATTTAAGTTTATTTACCATTTTTAAAATTCTTCTCTAGACTTTTTTCTCAGACGTCTCTCGTTTCTCAAAGTTCCCCGATTCGACTGTGTTGAGAAGAAAACGTCCAGAGACTGGAATTTTTATCTACTGAAGAACGACAGAGGATTATTTACTATTGTCCAGAAAGAACATGGAACAATACAAGAAGGTGACCTTGGCAGACCTCATATGATAAATTTCGTTCACGACTTCGTGTTATAAGTAAGTTATTATTTTTCGCTCAGAGAGGGACAAATCAGACGGAAAATTGTTAATAAAAATTGAGAGGAAGTAAATCCGTGGAAAAGGATTCACCCTCGGATCGTATTAATATAAAAATACGTTTATATACGATTGAGTTTGGCCGGTGTGGAAGACTTCAGTGCCATCTGGAATCGTGCCCGTGACTCGGTTCAGAGTTACTCTCGACGTGGTGATTTCTACGCTTGCGCTCCGGCTTCCACTGCCCGTTCTCCTTGTTTCCACTGTTGCCCGTTTTGGCCACATGTGAGTACATAATTTCTATTAATTATTATCTAGTCGATACTCTGGTTTTATTTGAAATTCGGCAATTTCGCCTTCATTTAAGTTCCTTCGGATATTGGACATTTAGGGGAAAATAGGGTTTTTCAGTTTCGAGGAGGAAATTCCATCGGGCAGCCGGCTGTCCGCGAGTCTCACTGGTTTATTGACACCGCACTTCATGGCCGATTCGCGCCATGTTGTTTTATTTCATTTCCTTATTAATTTATAATAGAATTTTACTCGTTTTTATTTCCATTTTTCACTCCGTATTGGGTTGTAACGTCTGAAAATGGACCCGGCCCGATTGTAAATACCCTGTCCCTTCGCTATCGATCCGCACCGACATAGCGCTAAAAACGTGGTCCTTCCAGGTTGGTGAGAAATTTATTTTTTTCCCCCCAAGATTTTAATCGTATCCACAGTTTTGATGCATGTCCGGATTTAATCGTTCCATCGTTTCGTCAGACGAATTTAATATTAATTGTAATCGAAAAATTTTAGCCGACCCTTGAGAAAGAGGATCGACCTCTCTTCCCAGGTGTTCGATGTATTTGGACACACACGTTTCGTTACTGTTCCACTTTCGCCACAAACATCGTCCTTAAGACTCCGTATTTAGAGTATATTTGAAGTTCGACAATATTCTCTCGACTTCTCTCACACTCACTCTTTTCTCATACCCTCACTAACTCTTTTCCTCTCTCGCACTCAACTTTTTTTCTCTCATTCACTCGCAATCTCTCGTTCTCACTCTCACACACTCACCGTTTTCCTCTCTCTCTCACACTCACACACACACCGTTTTCCTCTCTCTCTCTCNCACACACACACACACACACACACACACACTTACTCTTTTTGTGTCTCTCATTCACTCACTCTTTCTTTTTCCCTCTCACTCATTCTTTATTTATTTCTCTTTCACTCTCTCACAGTCACTATCTCTTTTCTCTCTCTTTCTCACTCACTCTCTCACAGTCGCTATCTATCTCAATAAAAATATAAATAATACATACTGATGTATGTATTTTGCCCATATTCTTGGTTTTCGTATTTGCCTTCAGAACTGCGACATCAAACATTCTGCTGATATTGTTATCATATTAAATATAAAATATATTGTGGTACCGTGTTTCTTGAGTTGGATTTTAACAGAACATAGAAGTTGTTTTCAGTACTTATTTGTGATTTTTTGTTTTTTATATTAGAAAAAAATTGCAAAGAAATAACAGTGGTACTTTGAGATACGAGTTCAATATGTTCTTTGACTGTTGTACTCTGACTGACTCTGACAAATCAATTTCCCTGTTGTAATTAATTGTAATGAGATTGATTCGTACCAGCCCTCAAAAAAAAATTTATAATTATGTATTTAAATTGGCAAATTTAGTATACAAGTAAAACAAAATATGTACAAACATATGTGTGTAAAGCAGAATCTAAAGAAATAAAAACGGGATAAGATAATCCAGCATCCCTGAATTCAAACCAGGCATACAAATAGAAATAATGAAGGTGGTGTGAGAAAAGTTATTGCTTAGTGCTAAAAACTAAGCACATAAAAAAACAAACCTAAAATTAAAACTAAAATGTAATTTTTCTACTTTGGGGTAAACATATCAATTAAACAAGCAATTGATCAAGGAATCTGAACAATTTGGTGGTAGCAGACTTGAGACAAAACTTTGACCTTTGTTTGAGTACTCATGTGTATTTCTTTTTAGAATTGCATAGCTTAAGAGTGTGGGAAACGTAAACAGCTCAAATAACTCTTTGATTGCCTACCGTATCATCATTTATGTATATTATTGCCCAGTGCAAATCAATAGGTGTGTTTTTTTTATTATGCGGCACTTTGTTACAACATGGTGAACAAAAAAGGCTTATGGACAAACAATTCTACTATTCGGTAGTTTAAAAGGATGGTTTTAGTCGCAAATAGTTTCCCCCCCTTCTTTCTTTTATTTTACAAACAATATTGTTTCTAATTTTTAAAATGATTTTATTTTTAGTTTCGCTCCGTGACGAAAAAACACTATTAAAATAAAATGGCAGACATCGAGGACACTCATTTTGATACTGGTGATTCAGGAGCATCAGTGACATACCCGATGCAGTGTTCTGCTCTGCGTAAAAACGGGTTTGTTATGCTCAAGGTCAGTTACTTTCTTATTCATCTTCTTAAATTGTGTTTCATTTTAATTTAAATTTACCGTTCTTTAGGCTCGTCCTTGTAAAATTGTTGAGATGTCAACTTCAAAAACTGGTAAACATGGACATGCTAAGGTACATCTTGTAGGGTTAGACATATTCAGCGGAAAAAAATATGAAGATATCTGCCCTTCGACTCATAATATGGATGTTCCCTTTGTCAAAAGAGAAGACTATCAGGTAAAAAGCATGTGTGTGTGTGTTTGGTTAATTTATTGATTGAGTAATTTGAGCACTGAGATATATATATAAGAAGATAATATATAAGTCACCAAAATACAGTCTTCAATTAAGGCGTTCATCACTGTAAGATCAAAGTCCAGGTTCGAATTCAGGGTCGCTGGATTCGAACCCAACATACTCAAAAATGGGTGTTTTTTTCAAAAACGCCGATACCTTGAGGGATCATATAAACCTCATAGTTGAAATACATACCCTTTTTAACAAAAATATATAATAAAAAATAAATAGACAAAAGATTATCTGTTATGTTTTTGCAGTTGACAGACATATCTGATGATGGATATTTATGCCTTATGTCTGATAACGGTGATCTTCGTGAGGATCTCAAAGTCCCTGATGGGGAATTAGGATCTCAACTAAAATCTGAATTTGACGCTGGAAAAGAACTTTTGGTCAGTATAAATTTTTCTAGAGTTGATATTTAATTTAATGCATATTTATTTACTTATGTTTATTTGAAGTGTCAATTAAAAAATATATGTAGTACTTAATAGTTTGATAATATATTATTTTAAATTTTACAAATTTGATATTATTTTGGTTTTGTAATATTCCACCGTTGTTATTGCTAATAGTTGACGCAATATAATTTTTTTCTTATTTTTTATTATAGTGTACTGTCCTCAAGTCATGTGGAGAAGAATGTGTGATTGCGATTAAAACCAACACCGCTCTCGACAAATAATAATTCATCTGTTTCCAAGGAGTTGCTGTTTTTTATTTTGCATTTCGAACGGATGCAAAAATGTTGCACGGACGTTCTTCGGCGGGAGGGGAAAAATATATGGCGTTATTAAACTTGAAGGTTTTGACTAAATTATGCATTTTTATATAGCATATCCATTATAAATCACATTTATTATATAAACTTCTTCTTTTTTTTTTCTTTTTTTTTTTTTCTTCTTTCTCCTAAGAGTAAATATTTATTGTCAGTTACTAAATAAAAAAGGAAAAGTATTTTTATTGATAATTTTCTTCTCTTTTGCCAGAGATAGTCCGTTCGGCCAAGAGGGGGAATAAATGATATAATTAATGAAACCTGATTATTTTTTAGTTTCCCAAAGCACCTTTTCATAATAGTATAATTTTTATGTTACAATAATATGGAACACTGTTTCCTGATAACGATTATTTTATATCTTTTTGTTATTTTTCAACTCAGGCAGCTGTTACGTTTACTTTGCTGTACATTTTACTTTTGGTGGCAGTAAAGTTGTCCAGAATTTGATTTATAAAAGTCACTGCCAGGAACAATTGAATTACATATTTATTTTAATTTTTAACGAATTAATGTCTACGAATTACATACAAAACAAAGCAACAGATTTTGCTATCTCACACACTTTATTTTATTTATTTATTTTTATTTTTTTTAAAATAAACCTTGAGTTAATACACTACATTTTAATTATTCCTTGAAATTCCAGTGAATGTACAACAAAGTTGACCGTTACCAAAATATATAAGTAGCTTAGTGCATTGAACATTATGTTGCAGCAAGTATATTGTGAATTCTTACAGTGGAACTCCAAATTTTACACAGTTGTTTTTTGTTCACATAGAAAGTTTTATTTAACACTTTTAACAAAAACGTGTGGATGTTAAATACGGATTAATTTGGTTAATTAAAGTTAAAATGTTTTATACTCAACATTAATCACCGAATAAGTATAAAAGCTAATACAGCATGAAATGTCAAGATCCTTCAACTATACAGCAATTGTTTTTATTTTTTTCAAATTTATTTTTGCAATCTATTATGACAATTTCTGGTAAGTAGTAAAGAAAACATTTATTTGTATGGTGGCCTATTTTAAATTAAACTAGTGTTTTTTTTAAACCATTGTGCAACTTAATAGCTTTGGGCTATTTTTATGAATTGTAAACCCTTTTTGTTAGATTTGTATTTTTTTATTCTCATTTTGCCCATTGGGCTGAACTGAACAGTTAACTTCAAACAACAGTTTACTCTTAAAAAGGTTATACCGAAACAATTATTTAAAGAAAAAAAACATTTTTTCCATTTATTTTTAAGTATGCAAATAGCTTAAAATTTGTATGTTTGTGATTGTTATATTTTACCAATTATAATGTTTCATTTTTTTAAGTCAGTAAAATATTTTTAACAGTTCTATGTAAGCTTTATTTGCTGTTAATATTTATGACCCAGTAATGCACTGATCCTTGTAATGACTTCATGTGTACGATGTAAGGCTAATCGATTTTGCCCAAGCAATAGTCATCTGTTGGAATATATTTCCGATGCATAATCAGTACCTGTTTCTTTTCCTTTATAAATTGCCCTTAAAATAAAATAATTTGGAGTATTGCATTTTTTTAATACTCTTTGTACAGTTTTTTTTGGTACATTCTCAATAGGTGTTACTTTGGGTTTGCAGCTTGTAAAATTTAAAATAATAATAAAATCTGGGAAGTAGTGCTATATAATTTTATTTATTAGCATGAAATCGGACATTTTAAAGGCGATAAATGTTTTGAATAGTCTATGGACATTTTTATCAAACATGTGTTGATACTCTAGACTTTTTCTCAGTAATCTGAACTAATCACTGCAGGAGGGTTTTTGGATTACAAAGAGTGTTAAAAAAATACCTACGTATAAAAAAATGCTTAATCTTCTTTTTCATTAATTTTTAAGGAGTATGTATTAATACAAGAAAATTGCAGGCTGATGTAACATTTCATTTTTTAGTAGTGAAGAGAGATAAGGGATTCAACAAGCAATAGAAATTGTCGAAAATTCGTAGTTACTAGTCTTGTACTCTCGTATGACACACACACTCATTCACTCACCCTTTTTTCTAGTAGAGATGGAAGATGAGGAATTACTGATAAAATAAAAAATTCATATCTAAGCTGGTTTTTTCTCTCGTATGACTCACTTACACACTCACCCTTTTTCTTTCTAGTAGCGAAGGAAGGTGAGGGATTCACTGAACAATAGAAATTCTCAAAAATTCATTCTCTAAGCTGGTCATGTTCTTTCTGTCGTATGACACACACACACTCTCTCACCCTTTTCCTTTCTAGATGTAAGATGAGAAATTCACCGACAAAAGAAAAAATTCATGAGTCCTAAGCTGGTTTTGTTCTTTAATATGACTGACTCACTCACACACTCATTCACTCACTCATTTTCGTTCTAATATTGAAGGAAGGTGAGATTCACTGACAAAATTCTCGAAAAATCGTGTAGACTACGATGGTCTTGACTTGAATAACTCTCTTTCTCTATCTATCTATCTCTACCTCTCTCTTTCTTTCTCCTTGGTCTTGGTCTTTTGCATGACTCCCTCATACTCAATCACTATCTCTCACACACTTACCTTCTCTCTCTATTTCTCTTACTCATCATTTTTTTACAGAAGTGAAGGAAGGAGACAGAATTATCGAAAATTCATTTAGTCTAATCTGGCCTTGGTCTTTTGGATCACTTACTCACACTCTCTCATACACACACACACACACTCATTCTCACTAACTCACTCCCACACTTTCTCTCTTATGACAAAAGAAAAAATGATTGAAAATTAGTTTTGTCTAAGCTGGTCTTGGTCTTTTGGATCACTCACCACTCACACTCTCTCATACACACACTCATTCTCACTAACTCACTCCCACACTTTCTCTCTCAATCACTCACTTGCTCACTTTTTTCTCTAAAGTAGTGAATGAAGGTGAGAGATTCACTGACAAAAGAAAAAATGATCGAAAATTCGTCTTGTCTTGTCGAAAGCTGGTCTTGGTCTTGTGTATCACTCTCTCACACACATTCTGTCATTCTCACTCACATTCTTTCTCTCTCATTCACCTGATTTTCTCACTCGCTCACTTTTTCTCTTTCCAGTAGTGAAGGAAGGTGAGTGATTTACTGAACAAAAGATATTCTTGAAAATTCCTATGGTATGTCTTGATCTTTTGTACAACTCCCTCACACTCAGTCACTACCACTCACTCACTTCCTCTCTCTCTCGCCTCTTTCCATCCAAATAATATTCGTTTGTTTCCTTTAAATTGCTTATTTCTGTACAGTTCGGATCACTGGAATCTCGGATTAGGGAGAGATCACTGTTCATTCTGCCGATTTTCGAAATTAATAAATATACGAAATAAATTTAAAAAAAAATTCCTTTTTCGTTGTAAGCAGATATTAATCAGTGACAATGAAGATTGTCAAGTATCAGAGAAGGATGATGTCATAATTATCTTTTGTTGAAATTGAACAAAAATAAAATAATAATTGAACTTTGACTGTAAGATCTGCAGACGGCGATCGAACCGGTGACAACGGAAAAAATTAACTCATAATGATAAATATCAATTGGAACTATTTTTTTTTTTTTTAAATATATTTTCGTGATATGAATATAGGTAGGTTAGGTAAAATATTTTATTTTTATTTTTGAATCAGATTGGAATTAATGAAAGAAGGGCATTTTGCGTGAATGCGTCTGGGCCGATGCGCCTCGACGATCCAAATAGTTTTTATAGAAGAATAGGCGATATTTCGTCTTTAATTAAATTAATATTCAATGGGTAGGGCCGAGTAGGAATAGTTGGGGACTAGATACACAGATAGACAATGATGCGGAAGAAAGGCATTTAGTCGAACAGTCACTGTCGGAACATTGCCAGAGGGAAATGCAACAGTGCTGAGGACAACCTCTGTGTTTATCTCGCCCCTTCCAGCTGAGCCGACTCGGTCAAAATGGCCGACCCTTCGACCGACTTGAAAATCGAAAAGGTGAATTCTCAATAGCGATTCTAAAAGACTTCTGTGAAAATTGTCTGTCAGTCTTTTCACTTTCGACACCTTCTCTCTGACAGTTTTTCTCTTTTTCCGTCCCGCCGTCACGGTCACTCGTCCGGCGTGGAGCGTCGTCTTTCGAAACTGTCCGAAAGTGTTTTCAGCCCGAGAAGAGCGTATTTCTTCCGTTTATCTTCTGTCTCGGACGGTTTCCCGTTCTTCTTTTCCCCCCGTCGACACCGCGTTCTTGACAGCGGGCGTAGCGGTTTCTTGGAATAACCGATAAAAATAACCATTACAACTGATTTCGGTTGTTAATCTTATTTGATCCGCTTCGCCGTTTACATTGTCTTTCGGGAGATGTTTCCCCCCGTTGAAGTTTCCGACTGTTGTGTCAAACAACAAATTATGTTGTGAAGATCATGGATAGCTTAAATATCCGTTCTAAAAGTCGAAGTCCGTCGCCTTGTCGCCTTACTTCTACTCCTAAAGGAAACAACGTTGGGTAAGTTTCTTCTTTTTTTCAAATTTAACTCCGTTTATTCTGCTGTTTATTATATACAAAACCTTTCCCACCAATAAAGTTAAAATGATAAAGCATCGAATTTATTTGGGCATGTTATAGTTTGTTTGTGGTCAGTGACTCATAGACTACAAAATAGAACAATTGGAATGTTTCTCACGAATTATTCAGCATTTTTATTTAGTAAGTTTAAATGAAAATTTTATATCGTAGATTGCTTTGCCATTTAAAAGTATTTTTAAAACGCTTTTCCTGTGAATCAGTAAACATAAAAAAATTACAATTACTTAGACAAGACACAATGCTACTCTCTTCAAAGTTACAACGTACTCCAGACCGCATCTCACGACCTTCAAATAATCATTAAGTAACGGTCACTAAACACCACACATTACAACGTACTGTTTAGTTTCTGCGCACTCTGACTTTTCTTACATTGAATTCTTCTTTCTTGGTTCTTCTCCAGACCAAACTCATACTCTTGAGTTGGGATAATAGCTCGCTCAGTTGAGCAGCGATTCGGTTATAGAATCTTGTTCTTGATACCTGCAAGACTGGTTGTGAAACGGGCCTCGGTGCTAAGTGCCGCTATGATGGCATAATCTTTGATGAATCGGCTGTTCTAGCTAGTCAAAAAAACTTCATGCTGATTCCTAAGCCTCAAATCTTAGAAAGTCAGATAAGTCCATTGATCTAAAATCAGTAAATGGCAATGCTACTGAAAACTCGATTTAGCATTCAAGTACTTTGTTACTGCCCATCTTTTATTCTCCAGTATCTGAAGCTTCTGGGTCGATGAAAATAGAAGCGTGCCTTTCCTTTTCCTTACAAAGGATAGGGATAAAAAGCGGCCACAAGGGCTTCTGCACCTCCAGCTGAGTTGATATATTGTCCTCCGTTTTTTTATAACTTACTGGCCAGTTTCAGGTTTTTAATCGACCCCCCTAACCTTGCCAGTGGCTCCTTAGACCTCTTTTAGACGAGGCGCTTTGGTTGATTCAACTAAGCTGCCCAGTAGACTCTCAACTAGTTTACTGCTGTGTGAACTCGTCTTTGCTGGTTTCACACCAAGTAACTTGTGGAATCAACCTCTTTTCCCAGTGGGAGGTCAGTATAATGTTAGAACCCGAGAAAGCAGCAGCACTTCTTGTGCTTGCTCTTTTGCAAAAAGAGAAGCAAAAAAGGAAGAAACCCAGTAAAGAAAAGAGTAGATTTATCTGTTGTTCTAAAATTGGGAAACAGGCGCTTTCTTTCAAATACTGTTGTGCTACTTCCCTCCAAGCTACGCTTCTTATAATTTTTCACTATACTCCTCACAACTCATGCCCCATGTCACGGGACTAATACGAATATCTTCAATGAACTGCTCCACTTTAAAACTTGCAATTGCAATGCTTTCCGAGGTAAACTCAGTTGACTCAACTAGGCGACTGGTGTGAAGGACGAATGCCAAGCAGTGTCTTTTGATTTGAGTCAACCAGAGGGGATGAGTGTCTTCTGGCCACCCACCTAGGAGGATGAGTTGACTGCATGTGAAGGGGTTGGGGTGATTGCCAAACATTTTGCTACCATGTTACACTCCTTGACACCCATCTATTTAACTAGTTGAATCAACCAAGAGTCAAGGCAAGAACCTGCACGTGCATAGACCTTCACAGAAACATAAAATATACTTTGCAGTCTCTTCCCCTTCTTGGCAATATCTACACAACATTTCTTCTATCTATACTTCTATCCGGTGCATGTGCTTTCTTAAGTGACAGTGCCCTGTCATGAGCCCAGCCAGAATCCTGGTTGCGGTTGCCTTCCGTTATTCCTTTGTAAATTTTGGGGATGGCCCTTCTATGAAACTCTTCACGTACCTCATACCTGCGGTATTCTACCAGGTTTTGGACTCTTTAAGGATCCATTTTAAGATGTATCCTCTTTTGTGACTGGATGCTAGGCCGCAGTAGTTTCAGACCGAGAAAGTCCAACATGTCAACCTTTTCGTTGCCCCTATGCCCTGAGTGGCCAGGGACCCATGACAGGGCCGGGAATAATTCCTAGCCTTTTTATTTCCCTGATGCAGTGTTCAATCGCTATGATTTCAGACTAGAAAACTAGCATATTTACCTAGGTTACCATCTATAGTATCCTCCATCACAGAATGGATCCAAACAGAACAAAAGGAGAAGTGGATAAACTCTAGCGGTGGTAGACAGCAAACTTATGATGAAACAACCCTCACCAAGACTGGCACTGCTACAATTGGAGAGGGATAAACTCAGTGGAGTGGTAGGACTACTAACCGGTCACTGGCATCTGAGAAAACATCTACACAACATGGGCATGTACAATGATGATCCCATCTGTAGATTATGTAATGAGGAGGAGGAAACAGCCAACCATATCATCTTCGAATGCGAAGTAACAGCTCAATGGAGATTTAACCTAACATATGAAAAAAATTTAGGGATGAAATTGTAGCAGTGACAGTCAGTGACCTGATACTTCTAAGGAGAAGGATTGAGTCTATTGCACTGAACTAAGGAACTAGGGAGGTACAATAGGCCACAAGGCTGCAGTGCCTGGTAGCACAAACCCTGCTTCTTAGTATCCTTATTACCATACCATAGGTTTATCATCAGCCCTTGTTGGTTTTGGAGCCGTCAGTGTGGTCCATGTTTGACTGTACTGGTATCAGTATCTTGTACTTTTTAGTAAAATTGTATTTTGGAGTAGTGGCATTGATTGACATGCCTAACATGGCATCTGCCTGTATCTCCTCCCTCAGTATCCATTGTTTATTTACATGGCCTATCCTTGCAGATGGTTGTCCATTTATGAGCCTGTAGGCTGCTGCTCTGGCTTCTCCTTGGATTAAAATATGAAGTGGTGGGAGGTTTAACAGCACCTCCAGGGCCACAGTTGTCGTTGTGGTGGGTGGATAATTGGTGAGGCATATTTTGTGAAATAACTGAAGGGAAAAAAAACGGTAGAATTAATTTTGTAATAGTATTGGACCTTTTGCCGGGTTTGCTAATGTAATGAAAGTGTGGTGCAGTACAACTGAAATTACAAAGTTAACCTGATCAGTCTTTATGAAGGTTTGATAATCGCTCCAGTGACATTGAGACAAGCTTGTCTTTGAGTGCCACTTAATAACCTGATTGCTTTGGCCTGCAGAGTCTTCGTCCACCATACCACCAACCCATATGTCAACATTGGTCTTAAGACGCATGTGTATAGCCATAGGGTCAGTTTGGGGTATGATCCCCAGTTTTTGGCGCAAAGCCTTCTCCACCTCACCCAGGCGATTTTGGCTCTCTGGGTGGTTTTTGTTAAATGGGGACTCCATGTGAACCACTGGTCTAGTGTGATCCCTAGAATGCCCTCCTTGGAAAATGGGGTCAGGGTCCCAGTTAGGCTTGGAGACGTTAGGCTTCCTATTGTCCTCTTCCTTGTGAATGGAAACGTTCCTTAGATGTTCCATTTTATTTTTATCTTCTGAGCTTGAAGTATGACTAGCTCTCGATTGATGTTTTAATGACCGAAATATTCCTTGTACATCCCGGGTCATCCTTTGTTAATGCCTCTACATCATTTTGTGTCTTTTCTTTCCCTCAACAGTTTCACAAACTTTTATCGTCTATACTTTTCCTCGACAACTCCCTACATTTTGTGTCTTTCTTTTCCCTTGACAGTTTAGTAAAAATTTGTCGTCTGTCCTCTTCCTTGACAGCTCCGCACATTTTGTGTACTTTTTCTTCCCTTGACAGTTTTGCAAATCTTTGGCTTCTTATCCTTCTGATCCTGATCGCCCAGTCCCTCAGTGGACTATCCTGCGAACATATAAAATCCTTGATAAAGTACCTAAAGAACCGTTCGTTCTTCGTTGCCTTCTATGCATCTTTTTGCTTTCAGTATCTGAATCTTCCAGACAGTGGAAAAATAGTAGCATTTCTTTCCTTTTTCTTAGACTTTCCATTTTGTTCTCTTATATTCTGAGCTTGAAGTATGTCTATCTCGAATGATGTTTTATTGACCAGGATATTCTTTGAGCTATCCCAGGTTGTCCTTTGTTTACATTTTGGCATATGTCCTTCCCCTTGTCAGTTTCATAAACAAATGCTTGGCAACTGTCCTTATTTTTGACAGCTTGCCACATTTTGTGTCTTTTCTTCCCCTCGATAGTTTCGCAAACCTTTGGCATCTGTCCTTTTTGATACCACGACTTATGAATGTCTTGTGTCTGCCCACTCCGACCGCCCTCTTTGTTTACCTCCAGCCCTTCGAACTTTAGAGTGTGGCACCTTCTCCAAGCTATTTTTTCATACCTTACACTAGGGATGTACTGTTACTTGGTCCATATTTCTTTGACTTCTGCAGTGAGTTGAAGTCTTGAGCTTGGTAGTTTCCGATTACTCTGGGTTCACTATACTTACAGTTTTGATCTGTTAAGCATGTTTAGGTATTTCGCCAAATTCAGAAATGGGTCTAATCATCTATTTGGCATGTCCGTTTTGTGTAATGCTACCAACACTCATGATTTTGAATGATTGAAATGAAAAATTGCCTTTTTTATATTATAGTTCTAGAGTGCATAATTTATTTAACTGATGCTTTTACAATAGTAATTTCAAATAAAGTAGAATATAAATCCCATCTATATATCTTTACAGTACAAGATCATCAATTGCACCCAGTTTAAAAATGAGTGAAAAAGAGGTAGAAGCCATGAAGAAAGTTCTATAATTAATGTATTCTAATAAGTTTTGTGTATACAAAAATAATAAAGTGTAGTGTTGAAATTTTTTTTAGATATGTACTTATTTTTTTAAACATCCTCTGTAATCCAAATTTTCAAGTTATCCGAATATCCCCTGCAATAATAAGTTTGGATTACTGAGAGAGCTCTGAATTATATTATTTTTCCTAGGCTGTTTGTTTTAGAAGGCAGGTAATTAAATCAAAAATTTAATTTAATTTGTTAATTAATGGTTTGGTACCTTATGAGCCATAAATCATGCATTTCACTTCTAAAAATTTATAAGGATTCAGTGAGGACTAATGTTTTTGAATAGTTGAAAGAATTTTTGAACTTTTCTCCAACATTAGTTGTATTGTAATAGAAAAAATTAGCTAGAGAATTTTATCTTTTGCACTGATAATTCTGATTACTTTATCTATGAACAAGGCTGCCTTAGATCGTATTGTCTATTAATTGTGCTTTCTATTTATTTCTTTATTGTTATATTATTCAATTGATAATACATTTAAAGATGTTTTATCTTTTTTTAAGACTTATGGTGATTTAAATTTCTTATTTTACATCTTGTACATACTTCATAACTCTACAATGAATATTCTTTATTATATGTGTGTGTCTAATTGTAACGTGTTTTGATTTTAAAAAGGTTAAATGATGGAAGGATGAGTAGATGCAAATCTCCCGTAACTTCAAAGCATGAGAGGTGCAGTTCCACCGACGCCGGAATAATGAGGGATTCTTTCAATCACGGATCTTCTATCGAAGATGCATCGCAACATGTAGTTCAGCATGAAGATGAAATGGTAATAAATGTTGATATGTTAGAATTTTATGTTTAACAACTTGAAAGGTTTAAGTGCAGTTCTTAGTCTTGGATTTCAGTCTATTCTCTTACGTCCTTTGTCTTTTTATTTTTGCACAATACACTAGATTTGAGCATTTTATCCTTTATTCACTCACACACAAAGTATAATCAATTTTGTATTTTTACTTTTAGTTTACATATTTTTTTATATTAATTTTCTTAGGCCTTTTTTTTAGAAGGTAGGTAATTATTTCTAAAAAATAATATACTAACATACTAATAATAACTATAATAATATAATCCATTGATCTGATTTTCATAATTATTACTAATTAGTAAAATTAGTTTAAAATAGTCATTACTTTACTGCATCTGGACCAGATTTGTGATGTTATGTCATAAAAATTAATACCTTTAAATGTCCATTTTTGCAGAGGATTCGCTACTTTGCATGCAAGTTAATTAATTGTTCAAAAAATAATTAAAACAACAGGGGGAAATAGTTAGAAGTTACAATACAGAAATATATTAATCCATTTACGTTTTAGTGGTCAATTGACCAAGTTACTTTTTTCACACTACACGACATTTGAAAATGGCAAAATGAGGGAAAGTTCGAATGGTTGTAGGTTGAAGTCATGATAGCCCAAGTGGTAGAGTAGTGGCGTATTTAGCCGAAGGTCGTGGGTTCGAATCCCGCACGTGACACTTACCTTTTTTATCTGAACCAAGACCTTGCATAGAAAGAATAATTAATTGAAAACAGTAATATATATTATAATATATAAAAAGAAAAAAATGGTTGGCTACTATGGCTTAAATTGGTAACTTTGCTATCACCTCGGGTAGGCAACTATGCTGAAATATAGTAAATGTACTAGTACTATAATTGCCAAATTAGTAGATAAAAAGGAAAACAATAAAAGTATAATAAACTAATGTTGAAATTGTAATTATAACATCGACACCATTGAGATTCATAATTTACCACAAGATAGGTAGACCAACAAAATTGAAAAATGCAATTTTTCACATTTATTACTTTTATTTGGTGCTGACAATATCTTCATGGACATTTTTGAGTTTTTAGAAAGAGCTGTGCACTTAATCTTTAAACAAGTAGTATAAAATTTGTGAGTGAGTTCTCTAAGTTTCCCACAATACAGTAAATTGGCATATATGAAATTGTATTTAAATTTCCAAGAGATATAGAAGTCATTAATTTGTGCGTTAACAGGCCATGTCTCATGTAAAACTTTTGAAAAAATCTTTATTTGTCACTTGCAATAAAATGTAAATATATTTCAATAAGAAAAAACAATGTAATACTAACAGCACTTGTGATATCAGTAGAAGAGTGGTTTAAAAAAATGTTTGGTAAAATATTAATTTTAAACTTTAAATTTTTAATACAATGTTTTTTGTACTACACTAATATCATTAAACATTATGTTAAACTGTATTTTGCTAGGATGGGAGTGTTCTCAATGGATCTATGGACTTGGGAGATGACGGCGATGGGCGCCGGGCAGCTATTGAACACATGCAATCCAAGATCTCTCGTACAAGGGATCTTATTAAAGGAGAACAGACTGCTAGAGATGGTTAGTAAAATTTATTAATAACGGTACGATTTAAAGAGGTAATTATTATCTTTTCCTCCACAAATGTGCATACAGAGTAATATCAGCATAATGAATTTTATGAATTCTTTTGAAAAAAAAAATCATATTTGATCAATTCATTAAAATTTCAAGGTTATTCTATACCGTGCCTTTGAAGAGCATTTATTTTCCAAGGCTATTATATTTTCTAAAAACTCAAAGGCAAAAACAAACCCAGGTACTCATATTTATTTGTTTATTTTCCATAATAACTAGGTATAAAAATTAATAGTTAGCTAAAACATAAAACAAAAATAATTTATATTTTACCTTTATAGGGTGTTACTTATTCTTTTACGCTATTTAGGTGAAAAATAAAGAAAATCTGTTCATTTTCATCACTTCCAGGGCCAACTTGTCGAGTGAATTCAATGGTTTTTTACATTTTCTTTGATGAAACAACAAATTTGAGTAATAAAATTGATTATTAATTTTTTCTTAAAACGTGGATTTAAGTCGAGAAGGCAGATGCTTTGGCACTTAGCATCCGTTACAAGTCCTGAGTGTTCCATGCTGTACCATCCACGAAGGTCTAGTGGTTTAGGGCCACCAGAAATCTCGATTGAAGAGAAGGTTGTGGACGACTGCACTGTACCATAATTAAAGAGTTTCATTGCTCTTACCGCACTACAGAACCATTACAATGGCTTCCTTGATAAGTAAACTCCAGATGATCCTTAATGTAAGGTTGAGCTGTCAAACAGTCAACCGAAGGTTTCTTGTGAAGAGCTAGTCTTTAGACATCCCGCACAGGTTCTAATACTGGAGAGGCATCGATAGAGATGCAACTGTTCATAAATCGTCATTGTTGGACACTTGAACAATGGGGGGGAGTCAATCAACAACATGCATGAGCCACTGCCTTTTCAAACAATAAGTTAAGGTGTGGGGTGAAATCAATGCCCAAGCCTGTCCCGAACTGATTCGTACAGAATGAATCTTTGAAGTTCTTCTGGAAGTTGTGGTCCTATTTGCTCTATTTATTGGGAGAACTTCGTGCTAACACATGACTCCATGTGGCTCGAATTATCATCCATTACTTAGAGGATGTGGGGATTACCACAATGAATTGGGCAGCACATTTTCCTGACATGACAAATTGACGGATTAAACATTATTTGCCGCCTCGAACAATGCCGCTTCATGCCACTCTTGTTGAAGAATGTTTCATAATTCAAAATCTGATTGCTTATTCATCCCATACCTAGGAGACTTAAGGCCCTCAACGAGGCCAGAGGTGGTAATACGTGTTATTAAGAGCAAAACCAGGTAATAATTTGTTAATTAAATTGTAATTTATCACTTATGATTTCCCAGTGTTTTGGTGAATTTTCTTTCGAACCATAATAATTAAATAATTTTTATTAAAACACGAATTGCTGATCTTGATATAATAAATAATTACATAATATAATATAAATTGATATAATAAAAATACATACAGTTTGAAATAAACAAAATATGTGTGTCTGGTTTTGTCTTTAAATGTATTTAAGATATAATCTTACCATCATTATTTAGTGATTTATTACGATTTTATTTTATTTTTATTTTATTAGTGTTTCGCTATTTCAGATAATGTAAATGAATACCTTAAACTGGCATCAAACGCTGATAGAGGACAGGTTCAGCGTATAAAAGCGGTGTTCGAAAAGAAAAACCAAAAATCTGCACAGTCCATACAACAGCTTCAGAAAAAGTTAGAAAGTTATAACAAAAAGCTTAAAGAACTTGAATCAAAAGCTCTCCATGGTGCGAGCCACCATCATCACCGGCAGCCAAGAGAAGTACTTAGAGACATGGGACAGGGTCTGAAGTAAGTACATTGCTTGATTTCTCATTCTTTATTGTAAACCATTTTTTATTTAAAAAAAACATTAATATTTATTCATTTTTATTTATCTTTTTATTTTTAATTGGTGTTTGCAGTATTCGTCTATAAAGCTCTCATTAAATACATATTAAAAATATTTGGTCCATTATCAATTAATTTTTTATTTTTATTTTTTTATTCATATTATGTTTTATTTTATTTTATTTTGCTTTAGACATGTAGGAGGTAACATCAGAGATGGTATTACAGGTTTATCTGGGTAAGTTTACAAATGTTGTGTGTAAAGTTATTGTCAACTTATAGATGATATCAATTACTGTGATTTTTTTTTAACCAATAAAACTTGTAAATGTTTTGTATTCATGAGTGTGCGTTTGGACAAAACACTGTATTTTATTAATAACTGTTTAAGTGCATGATCGATGTGTTGACCAACATGATAAAAATTCTGTACATCTAAATTTTGAATATATGTATATTGTATTGTAATTTTTTCCAGATCAGTAATGTCCAAACCGAGAGAATTTGCTCATTTGATCCGAAACAAATTTGGTAGTGCTGACAACATTAATTCTTTGTCAAGTAAGGTTTTTTACCGTCTTTCTTATTCACCCATTTAACACCATTTACCTCTTTTTGCCTCCCTGGACATCAATATCTGCCAGTGAGATTTAGTTTAGATAAATTACAACTCAAATGATATCCTGTTTTTTTTTTCTTCAATGTGGTACTACATCCGTATATAATTTTGCTGTGATTGGCATTCTCTGGTTCAAAATAATGTAACAGAACTTCAGTCATTTCTTAACCCTTGGGTGTGTTTAATTATCTTTGTTTTTAAAACTATAAACAAATTTTCATCATCTGCAGAGGTCAGTCCTTTCTATGGATCTGCTATTTCAGTTTCTATTAGTTATTTGAAACCCTCTTCGTCGTTATTAAATTTATCATGTCAACATTGATGAAATCTGGAAGATTTGAGGTAATATCAAGAATAGATTCAGTTTCATAAACTTCTGACGTCCTTGATTCAGAAAGTAGAACTCCTGTAACATGTTGACATACACTACTCGGGAATGAGATTTTGTGTGTTTATCGAAATAAAATTCCATTCCTAGATCCACATTCTGGATCAAATTGTAATTCATAGTTCTTTTCTCAAAGAGAAGGTCCTATACTTCACCTTTCTCTTGTCAGATCTTGCTTCAGATGGTTCAGATGTGTGTATTCAGCTGTCGATTTGAAGCACTCAATCAGGCTACAGTATCAATAAGTAAGTCGTTTTTCTTTTGGATCCCATCTCTCATCAGTCGGAGCGCCCTTCTAGGTCTGAGAGTAGGGATAATCTCTGTTGGTCGTCACTTATTGAACTTGACCTAAGTGATGAGAGTCCTATTGGCATATTTTCATATGCAAGCACATTGGAATCAAGCCTCTCAGGGTCCATTTGGATGTTGAAAAATCCATTTTCCACCATAGCTACTTTCACCAGTTAGCGCCCGCCTCCCTGTAGGATATCTCCTATGTGGTGGTGTGGGCCTTGTCTTCTTTTTTGGAATTTTTCTTTTATTACTATCCATTCTTTAACCTTTAAGACATTTTAATAAGGTTGTTGCATATTATTGTTCTTTTCTCATTGAAAAACATATTTTAGAAACTCTGCCTTGAGGTTTTATCTTTTTATTAGGCCCGATGCACACATGCGGCTTTTTGACATTCATTCTCGCTGAGGTGCCGCAGCAACTGAAGTACTGCAAATGTATGCTTATGATCACCAAACAGGATGGATGTCATTGCGTACATTTACAAACAAAATAGACAAAATTTTCATCTTTAACATTCCACATTTCAGATTATTTTTCTATTTTTGCATAAATAACTCGACATCGATTTTATCTGTCAGTGCAAGCAGTTCTGACAGCAGTGAGAAGTCCAAAATTGAAATGGCAAATGGGAAGAATACAAATATGGTGTTCAAAATTGTGCCAAGTGACACCATTTTGTTTAGATGCCACGGCGATCTAGAGGGAAATGCTAGGAAAAAACTGGACAGTGTTGTTTACTTGACATTGTTTTACTGGGCAGTAAAAAATGGCACGTGTGCTTAGGCCCTTGAGATGTTTTGCCTTGAAGAGGGTATATACCTTTTTTGGCAGCGTTGATAGGGGGAGGGTTACAGGTGGTTTTGGTTCATGGGTTTTGTTTGCTTGTTTCATAAAGTTACCCTGACTATATTAGGGTAAGGCTAAATACAGGCTGTTGGCTGGTTCCCGAAATGCTATGTTAAGAGAAACTACTTTACCCTTGTGCCGTTAACTTTGCCATAGTTGTCTTACAACTCAGATTAGGTTCACCAGAGCCCCTTTTTGCCTGCCCTGAGATCTTGACCATTTTTTTTTTCTTGTCAATAGAGGAAAGAGGTACCTAAGCTAAGCTAGGGTTATACATTTATTTCTTATAAGGATACTAGGAATTGGTCGGTGTCTCCCAATCTTATGAAAAATACTCTTAGAATTTTGAGATTATTATGTTTTAATGTTTTTATGTATATTTATACATTTTTGTAGGAAACGGAGAATCTGATTCCCTCGAAGATGAGAAGACACACCATGGTAGTGCTACTCTTCCTGGTGGATGCGGTTTAGGCTCTGGTTTAAAATTTACATCAGAGGTAATATAGACATTTATTATTTAATTTAGTATATAGTTTTGTAGAAAAATTAAAATATTCTAATCCTGAAATAAATATTTAATTTTTAAATATTTAAATGTGAGATTTCCTCCTGGTCTGTGGAGTGATGAGCATGTAATCTCTCTCTCTCTCTCACACACACACACACTCTCTCCTCTCCCTCCCCCACAGTAATGTTTCATTCTCCTTTAAAATTCTCACTTCTTAATTTTTCAAACTAAGGTTCACAGCACCGAAGCCAGGGTTAAGGCAGACAAAATCATCACCCCGTAGTGTAAATAATTTGGCCTATTACCCTAATTAATTATACATGAACGCTTTTTCTTTTTTTTAATTGATTTATTGCCTTTAGAGTTGTTTCATTTGAATAATTTATATTAATTGGTTAATTAGGAAGGCTCAGAGTGTAGTTCAGTAACAAGTGAATCGATGCCATGTGGAGGTACAGGAGGACATGGTGGTGGAGGGCACACGACAACATCACCACCTTCTTCGACTACTCACCCACCTTCTGGTGGTCATACTCCAAGTCTCGAAATGGTTTTCTCTGAGCTCAAGTCGAGAAAACATGAAGCCGACCAATTCAGGGAAAAATTAGATTCTTTAAAGGTTAGAAATGGTTTTGAAATATATCAATTGACAAATTGAATAATTGTAATTTTTTTAGGACATTATTCATAAAGAAGTAGCTTATTTAAACCAAGCTTTAGTCGAAGAGAGATTCAGATGTGAACGCCTCGAAGAACAAGTAAATGACCTAACCGAACTCCACCAAAATGAAGTTGAAAACCTTAAAACAGCAATATCTGATATGGAAGAAAAAGTTCAATACCAAAGTGAAGAAAGACTTAGAGATATCCATGACATTCTAGAATCTTGCCAGACAAAAGTTTGTATAAGTACATTATTTTAATTCTTGTTGTATATTGGAAAAAAAATTTTTTTTTTTTCTAGATATCCAAAATGGAACATCAACAAGCACAGCATCAACAGTATCTTACTCTGGAAGGACTGGACAATTCAAATGCTAGAGCCCTGGTTGTTAAATTAATTAACGTCGTTCTAACTGTACTTCAAGTTGTTCTACTGTTAGTTGCAACTGTAGCTGGGATTATTATGCCATTCCTCAGAACTAGGTAAATATATGTGTTGCCATCGTTATTCTTTTTTTTTTCAATATATTTATAAACAGATTATAAGTGGTTATAATGAAAAGTGGGTTAAGTCCAAAATCGAGTGCTGGATAAAATTTCCAGCAAATTTTTTTTTTCGACTCAACGTTAATTCGTTGAAGTGATTTTGATAGTTTTCCATGTGTATGTATTTAACTCAATTATCACAATTTTTGATTTAACTGACTGTAGAACTATATATTTCTATATGTTATGAACTGTGAAACCTCTCTATAACGGACACAAAAGGAAGTTTTTGTTATAGAAGGGTATCAGGAGGGAGGAGGGGGTCATAAATTTAAAAACAAAATTTGGCCAGGGCTGTGTCGGAGGTACACGGCTGTTGTTTTAACATGAAATGCCTGTGAGTCTCTTTTAGTGTTTTGGATTGAAATGATTGATTCCATATCAAATTTAGTTATAACATAAAACAGACAACGAATGGTATAATTTATTTCAACTTTTGTTCAATGATGATGTCATTTTTGATGACATTGACTTGTTATATGAAAAGTAAGAGGCTTATCAACATAAATATGATTCTATAGGCACGCATTCTGATGAGGTAGCTGTTGTTGTGGATCCACATAGAATGAGTCTTCTAGTGTGGTCAATAGTTTTTCTCAAGTTTGTTGAATATGGTTGGAGCAGTTGATAAGGACATAACTTAACATATTTCACTGACACTTTGTGATCTATATAATATGTGCCATATATTAAGTCACTTTAACTTAATGTCTGACTTTTACGTCCTCCAGGCATATGTTGCCAAATTTTTTCTTGAGACTGAATCACCGCAGAGACTGATGGTATGGCTGATGATTTCTTTGCAGCTAAAGCTCTGTAGGTTTATGTAAATTGCAGAATCTCCAGCTGCAAAAGATCGTGCCATCAGTTGTTCAGACAAGAAAGATGGCCGATCTCTACAATATTTTTTTTTGCTATTACATAATTCAAAGCCAAGGAGCTCAATCCAACTTTTGTTAACTGCCATTACCATTTGTCATTACCAATATGTCCTGAATGAACTACCAGAGTTGATCAAAAACACTGCAATAATCATACCAAATGGATATGAAATAATATTTTCAAGTCTTTGGCTGTTACATTCCAATGATCCTGCATCTCATCAATTTGAGTGCTGATCAGCTGAGAGACGTCTTCAACATCTGTATTTACTCACACGTTCAAATTTTCTTTCTCTTTTCTTAGACACTTTAATTTTTCTAAAATTATTTCTTACGATTATTTGGAAATCGTGAGATCCGGTCTGGTTTGACGTGGGTTTTAGAAAAATATTTTTATCATGCCAACGTTTCAATCTTTATTGATATCATCTTCAGGGCCTAGGATTTACAAACATTGTTTAAATTTAACAAATACGTGTAAGATGTGGAAAAAAAGTGAATTTATACAATTCAAAAAATCCTTTTGTATTCAATCAAAGTATTTCTACTCAAAGTGTTTGTTGTGTTAAGAGTGCCAGTGAGATATTGCTGTTTTATGTTTTTATACGTTGGATTTTGAAGGGGTGGGGAAGGAAGTCGGTATAGAAAGACATTTTTATAAGTCAGCTTCTTTGAGGTGAAAGGAACCGACAATGGAAAAAATGTTGGTAATGGTTCGGCTATATTATCCTTTCAGGATTATATAGACAGGGATTATTAGGGAAAGGAAAGCCAAATTGTTGAAAAATTAGACTATGTAGAAATGTTAGATGTGTGGAATGTGATGATTGTTTTACATGTTATATGTTTTGTGCGATGTGATGATGATATACGTATGTTATTGAATTTGATGATTATTATATTGAATTTGATTAATACTCACACCAGACCGCATCTCACAATTGCCGAATAATCATTGACTAACGGTCACTAATCATCACACATTTCTTACATTGATTTATTAATTTATCATCTATTTATTAATTTCTTAGTTTTATCTTATAATTCTAGAATGAATATAAACTATACTATCCATTTTTATCAATGTAAGTGATAAGAAATACGATGACAATTTGAATTATTAGCATACTTCCCTCTTCTCAATCCTCCTTTAAAATAATCTAATTGTAGAATTTTTTTTCTAAATAATAGTTAACGTTATTATTCCTTAATATTTGTATTTTTTCGGGGATTGCAGTGGCATTTTTTAATTAACTTTTAATTGACAGCCCATGGCTTTTTTAATTGAAAATAAGTTCGAAAGAAGAATTGTAAAGCGGCTAGACCCCTTGCCGACGACTTGTAGTTTGACATTAAGCCCTCCTGTATAGCAGTAATTATTTTACTTATTTTTACTACTACTTACTACTTTCATGAACAGGTTACGAGTGCTGAGTACAACTATGCTTGTTATTGCGTTAATAGTTGTCGCAAAACAATGGCCCGAGATCTCTGATATGTCAGCAAATTTATCAACTCGTTTCCGAATGATGCTGTCTAGGACCTAGTATGAGGTGAGTACCATTAGTAACGTCTATCACAATTGCATTGATTCTTACTAGTTAGTAAGTTGGATGAATTATTTTACACTTACTTTTCTTCTTTTACTTTGTATATACTAGGCAATTCGTTGCATAAACTGGCCCTGTTTTTTTCTTTTTTAATTGTTACCTCTATCTCGAATGTTCTATGCCCGTTTATTGTAATCTGTATTGCCTCTATTGTTCTATATTTCTATACTTTTAATAGTTACATTTAATGAATTGGATGTTTCTGGAGGTGAATGATCCTAGATAATTATTCCTGTCACTCAGACAAAAAACAAACAATTAACAAAATGAAACTTGTTGAAAATGAAAAAAAAAATGTTAGGCACCAGTCATTCTATTTTAACAACTAATACAAAAATAAAGAGGAAGAAACCAAAGATATATAATAAAAATAAATAAATGATTATAACACCCCAGCAAAGGAGGAGAGGAAAGCTGAAACTTAATGTATTCAACTTACCCAGAAACCCCTGGAACCTCATGGAGGGTTGGTTTTTTGTTAAAGAAAGTATAAGTTGTATTAAATTAAATCTTAACAGTTAATTAGTTTAAATAAAATTAACGATTTTGATTAAGCCACAAAATTATTTAAAAAACGAACATAAATATGTGTTCTGCACTACTTACAAACTAAAAAAAAAACCTTATACAAAAGACTTATCCAAGTCGAATACACAAAATTTATTTTTCTGGTGACCGCTGGTTTTTCCGGATAGCTCCCCCCCCTGTGAAAAAGTTGTCTTTATTATAGCCCCAAATCCCGTTCTAGGTATTCCTCCTGATTCCTTGCTCCTGGATGCCTTTGGCTATGCATAAGGAGGAAAACCCGGGGCACCATCAATGTCCTCTTTCTTTCCTTGACTGTTCGCCTCCTGATTTGCCCCAGACGGTGGAAAAATTTTCTCATAGTAGCCACAAATCCTTTTCCGGGGTCTATCCTGATCAGTCAACCACGAGGTGGAAAATACGGTGAAACGATGACACCTATTCCCAATCTCCTTGGGCCTGACAGACTCGACTTCTCCCCAGCCGTTGACCTCTTATCGCTCCTCTTGTCTGCCCTTTCTCTCTACTTGCACTCCACACCTTTTTTTCCCCATTTTTAAGTTTTTTTTTTACAAAACCAACCCTCATTTATATATGACCAACTGTCCTGGCTTGGCTGCTTTCTTGTCCCTGGCTTTCTTCTCCTCTCCAGGGTTAAACAATTCATATGTTTTGTGTACTGGTCAGTGTGCCACCAATGTCGTTGCTTTCTTTTCTTCTTGCACAAAGTAGCCATAATTAAAACTGTATCACTCATATCCACAATCAAATACATACCTTTCTTCACACAGACATGATTATTATTCTATAAACAGAGCAAGACTTTCGTTGTTTTTCTATGGATCAGAAATTCGTTGAGTGAAAATTTTCAAATAACAGCTTGGTTTGCAAAGTATACACAAGCACCTTAACAAGGTAGCATCCTGGCCCCATGTTGTGTACATGCACGCTGACCTCCCTTCCTGTATAACTAACTTTTTTTATAGGTAGGCATGAAGAGTGGGGAAAAAAAATCCCTTGCCTGGTTCTGGACATTGTTAGATATATGTCACATATATTTTTTATTAATTCAACCTTTTATTATTTTTTTTATTATTATTATTTTTTTTTTTTTTTAATTCGGCTTGATTCTTTCCAGTAAATTAGCAAGGAAGTGGTTTTTGTGCTTACAAGGAAACTTCGTTGCAGTGCAATTTTAGTGGACTGAACATGTGATATAAAAAGAATAGTAAGTACATTTGTGTAACAGTACAGTGCTTTTTTGTAACTCAAATAAACAATATAAGTTAAGGGAATGTACATAGCTATAAAACCTCAATTTGTGTATATAAAAGAACTTAGTAATTATTTACCAACAGATTAGTTTCTCATTTTTCATCATTTATACATGTTAAATTAAAATCTTAACACAAAACCGTTCTGACAAAGTTGTGTCAAATTATTAATCGATGAACGAGGTCGTGTCAATAAATAGAAAATAATTTTTAAACCCTATATTTGAATTTCTCTCCTGAGTTAGATAATTTATTATTATTTTTATTTTATTTTATTTTTTTTTTTTTGATGAATTGATAATTTACATTTTAAACATTTCAAGGTTATGCTTTTTATTCATTTTGAACTCTTTGTAAACGGCAATAACAAAAATTTCAGAAAATACACCTATTTTTCTTTATTTTGTCTTATTTACTTGTTTATAGCAATTGTATTCACCAAAAAAAGTCTAATGTTTTGTATTTCAACATACTATTTTACAGCTCAAGCATTTTTCTTTTTTTTAATTTATGTATTTATTTTTTTAAATTATAAATAAATATTTATAATATTACAGACAACCCAAACCATTTACATTGTTATCTACATATATTTTTGTATTATTAATATAATGACACGTATCCAGTTAATTGTAATTGTTGACAGGCCAGTAGGCTATTGATATGGTTTTATTTTAAATACTTGTCATAATTTCAAGTAAAAATCGGTATAAACATAATTATATGTTAATGTTTGATCAATTGCAAATAATTGCAGTTTTCTTTACTTAACTGGCACAACACGATGGCATGCAGTTTGAAATAAATTTCTTTAAAACAATATCTCTGAAATAAATTAAATTAAGAAATCAATTTAGAACAGATTTATAGTTAATAAATTGTATGCTCTTTTATTTTATAATGAATTATTATTTATTTATGGCAATGTGGAAGCTTTATTGAATGTGATATTACAAATATTTCAATTGATTATTGATTAAAATGATTTAATATACAGTTTTTTTATTTATTACCATTGTGCCCATGCTCTGTCTACACTCAATAAAACTAGTATATTATTTATGAGTTGAGCCTATACTTCTCGTAGTAATTCTAGCTTTTGTGTAATTTACAATAAACAAAACCTTGAGAATTACCCGCCCCGGGTGTTGGCAGTCCGGGGTCAGACCTCGGTCTTATCTGTTCAGCCACCAAGAATCTAGGAGCTATTGGTAAATAGGTCATTGCAATTTCAGCTCCCAACGAAATCGTTCCCCGAATCCAAACCCATCCTCACCCTGACTCATTCTTAAACAGATTCTTTCTTATTTAAGGGACAACGTTCACTTAGGATGTTGGAGTACTTGGCATTCCTCCATCACCCCCTACATATATATGACTTATCTAATTGAGAGCTATAAGGTACTAAATATTCCACACTTAGCCCTCATTCCACTCATTCATGGTAATAAATATAGTTAGTCTCAATGTACAAAGAAGTAAAATAAGTTGAACTGGCATACGGCCACTACTGAGTCTGTCTTCATTCGTGGGTTTTTTGTTTGAGTTATTCAAACGCGTTTCGGCATTGCGCCATCTTCAATGAAAAACTGTCATTTTCAGAGACAGTTCACCGATTCACAGATCAAAACCCATCATCTACTATAAATAAAACAAGGTTATTGTAAGCGGGCGCTGATGCTGTATGTAATATTGATTAGCTATAGGAGGACATTTAATCAATTTTTGTGTGATGGGAAGGTAGGTTTGAAAAATGCAACAAACCAGAGAGATAGTACTCATAAAAATTTGTTATTACACTGATCTGTCTTAATATTGCAATAAACAAACAAAAAGACAAGTGGTTAGAGCAGCGGCGTATTGGGGCGGAAGTCGTGGGTTCGAATCCCGCTCATAACATTCAACCAAATAATTTTAGACTCCACACATACACACACTCTCAGCCTGCATTTTTTTGTGTTGAGTACAATATCCTATAAATAGAACTATTAATTTTCTATTAAAGAATCAAAGAAACAGAAAATATAAACATATAATGAAAATAATAAAAGGCGTAGAAGGATTACATACTTAAAAATTTAAATTAATTATGCTTTTTTTTCTAAGGCGTTGGTTGAGGGACATGAGCGGGATTCGAACCCACGACCTCCGGCTCAATACGCTAATCACTCTGTCCACGTGCCGAAAGTCGTGGGTTCAAATCGCGCTCTTGACACAAGCGGTGGTTCATCTCAACCAAGACCTTAAATAAAAAAATAATTAATTTAAATTTTTAAGGATGTAATCCTACACCTTTTATTATTTTCAGTACATGTTTATATTATATTTTCATTTTCTTTGATTCTCTAATAGAAAATTAATAGTTCTATATATAGGATATTGTACGTAACACAAGAAAAAATGCAGACTGAGATAACATTTTATTTTTAGTGATGAAGGGAGGCGAGGATTGACAACAAAAGTAATTCTTATATTCTAGACTCCTCACTCTCTCTCTCTCTCACACACACACACACACACACACACACACACACACTCATCACATTAATTAAAATATTTTGGTCAGTGAATCGGACGGAAAAAGGTCGTTTGCACACAACAGTAAAAAATACTATTTCCTATGAGATTGTAATTAAATTTGTAGGTGGGTAAAGTAAAATGAATAAAAGTATATTAAAAAAGAATTTATTTCCTTACATAATCGACATTTGTAAATTTTATATTTGCCTTTTTATAGAACTTTTTGAAAAAAATAACCCCTAAATGAAACACAATAGAGAAAAATATATTACTGTTTATTATTATTTAATTTATTTGGAATTGTTTTTTGATGTTTCCTTGCATTTAAGGGTCGCTTTTTCTATTGCTTCAATAAAAGACGCTCTAACATTATTCCTTTCGAGATAATAGAGACCTTCACACGTAGAGCCTGTTAAAAAAAAAAATTAAATTTGAAACAGAAAGAACGATTAAATTGTTATTGAGTAATAGTTTGATTAGTGACCTGCTGGTGAAGTTACATTGTCTTTTAACACTCCGGGGTGTTCTCCAGTTTTAACCATCGCTCCAGCACCTACTACAGTTTGTGCAGCCAATTTATAAGCAAGTTCCCTTGTCATGCCCATTCTCACCGCACCGTCAGAAAGTGCTTCTATGACTGTATAAATCTTCACACAAAAAATAATTAAATTATAAGACAAAAATTGTAATATTTCAATATTTTCTTTCTTGATTTAATTATTCAATCTGTAAGGATTTATTTTGTATTTAAAACTTTAACTTAACTTAGTTTATTTAAAATTTTCTTTATTGCTTCTATTTTTTCACTTATTTTTAAGCAGTACGCATATTATTCTTAATACAGGAAAAATGTAGGCTGATCTAACATTTTATTTTTAGTAGTTAAGGGAGGTGAGGCATTCACTGAACGAAAGAAATTTTTGAAAATTCGGACAGTGGAACTTGCTCTTTTTCTGTCTTGCTCAATTACTTCCTCTCTCTCTCTTTCACTCTCTCTCTCTCTCTCTCTCTCTCTCTCTCTCTCTCTCTTCNTATATATATATATTTACATATGCTGGTCCCGATCCGCTTAGAGCAGTTACTGCATCAAATAAGTACTCTGGCACTTCCTCACAAATCCCGACTGAATCAAAAAGCCTTTTTGTTGTGTTGCCATCAGCCTCGGTTGCTTTTTTTCCTTTAGCGAAAACTGTCGCTCCGGACATTACAAGCGCAGGTGTGTTTGGCATCACCCGGATTACTCTCGTTTCCTTTGGTAATGCCTAAAATTAAACTTATAAATAAACAAAATATAAAATTAAATGACAAATTTGATATGGTTTTTAAATAACACCTGTCATTGTAAGAGATTTTACTGATTAATACATTTTAAGATTTATTATCCACGGTTAATTTTGGTATGTAATTTAGACATATTATTTTAAATCCATATTATTATAGAGAAAAGGAATTAATTTGTTATCCTTACATTTTCTATTTGTTCAAGTGTTACACCCATTGCTACTGAAAGTATCAAGTTTTTTGGGGTAACTGTATCCTGTATTTCTTTTAGTACCAAAGGCATAATATTCGGCTTGACTGCAATTATGGTTAAGTCACTTTTATTCACAACGACTTTGTTGTTAAATTCTATGACTGCGCCTATTTTCTAAAAAGTTAGAGATAATGACATTGTTAAATTTCCAATAAAAACAGTTTATACATTTAGGCCGTCCACAGAAAACTTGTCTTCAGGAGCGCAGCTTGCGGTTACATTACTTCCTTTTGTTATGCCTAAACAAAACATTATTATTATTATTAATTAGATATAAAAATTTTCATTGGATATATACTACATAGAGTAACACAGTAGCCAAGTAGTTAGCGTGTCTGACTAGTATTTACCATGCATTTCTGGGTTAAAATCCCAGCAAAGCCTACAAATTCTTAATGAATTATAATATGAAAAATATATTGTAAAGTGGTTCGACCCCTCGTCCATGACACCTGACGAGATAGTTGGAGAATCACTGTATATAACTATCATAATAAATTAAGCTTAATAAATTCAGACAGTTTAAATACATCTAGACGTTATTCTAAGAGAAATAGTTATCATGGAGCAAATATATCAATTTAGTAGTTGAAAAATATTTTCTAAACAATTCAATTTAAATGGAATATAATTTTTATGACTGGATTATTCAAAACGTATTGTCTCCAATAAGTCTGATTGAGTGAAGTATTGTTTAAAAAAATACAAGTGTTGGATATTAATCATTAGAATATTTCTGAATGAAACTTTTTTCTTGTTCTGGAGTTCTTTGAATTTAAATTTTGCTATTCTAAATTGATGGTTAAATCAAAATACATGGCTATCACCATAAACCGTACTTTGGTACTTCGAACTGGCGAACTGGACAAAAATTCAAGAAGTAAGAATTAAAGAAACCATTATTTGGGGGGTGAGAGAGAGAGAGAGAGAGAGAGAGAGAGAGCGTGAGTGAGAGAGGGAGGGAGAGAGAGAATGAGAAAGAGAGAGAGAGAGAGTGAGGAGTCTAGAATATAAGAGTTACTTTTGCTCAGTCAATCCTCGCCTTCATCGCTAAAAATTAAAATATTAGATCAGCCTGCATTTTTTCTTGTGTTAAGTACAATCTCTTATATATAGAACTGTTAATTTTCTATTAGAGAGTCAAAGAAAAGGAAAATATAATATAAACATATAATGAAAATAATAAAAGGCGTAGAAAGAGTGAATGATTGGAGAGCAATGAGAGAAAGAGTGAGAGTGAGAAAGAGAATGAGTTAGAGATAGTAAATGAGGGAGAGTGTGTGAGTGCGTGCGGGAGTGAGTGAGTGAGTTAGAGAGTGAGAGAGAGAGAGAGAGAGAGAGAGAGAGAGAGAGAGAGAGAGAGAGAGAGAGACTCATACAAAAGATCAAGACTGTTTTATGTTATATGAATATTATTTTACTGCACAATTCTTTTATAATTTTATTATCCAAAAATTAGATTTGTCAAGTTCTGAATTAAATTAACATTATTATATTTTTTTCCTTGAATAAATGATATTTAATTTAACAAAATATGACTTAAAAGTAGAAAATAGTTGAAATTCCAATAAATTATGATAATTTACTGCAAGATGATTAATTGATAAGATACGAAATATAAAGTGTGTGGAACTAAATGACCCATCTGTTTGTACAATTTTATTTCAAATTAAAGAGCATTCGCCTCCCCTCGTCAGTCATAAGTTTCTAAACTATACACAATTACATACAATTTCCGTATACAAACAATACTTTTCTTAATGTTTAGAAAATTGTATGTGAATCTGTATGCCATTGAAATCGATATCAAAGAAAGTTGTACAAGCTGACTTTTAGTTCCACCAATACATACTTTATATTTCATAAATTAAATGAAATACCAGCCCAAAAAAGAAGAAGAACTATTAGATATTAAATATTTTTATGTCTACATTAGCTTTACTCAGGGAGAAAATCACTAAATTAAAAAATTTGTTTAATGGAAGTTAACGAAAAAACTTATAATATATAATACCTGCTGCTAAAAACCCTTTAAGAAGGGCTTGAGCCAAACGGCCACCTCCAATAAATCCAATATTCATTTTCTTTTGGCTGATTAACTAGTTATTATACGTCTTCAGACATTTTATCTTATCTCTTACTGTGTTATGATTGATTTTTTTTAAGATATAAAAATAATTGTTCAAATCAATATAAATAGATTGAACCTATTCAGCTCTATTTATTTGGAATAATTTTCTCAAATGTAAAACATTAAATTTTGAAATAATAAACTTTATCAACCTTCAACACCTCTTACTGTCATGAAGATAATTATTTAAATAAAAATACTTTTATGTACAGATGAATATTTTCATTTTAATGTGAAAATATTTTTAAAAAAATTTTATTGTCTATAAACTAAATGTCTTGAAATATGTATATTTTTATTTTTTAAATGTATTATTTAATAACTCATATTAAGCAGACCTTAGTTCTTTGTTCAATTAACAATCAAGTTTATAATAATAAGTGTTGCAGAGGCAACGGTGGCTGCATTTGAACCTGACACACTTACAAATGGGCTTTTTTTTTCCAAAAACACCAACACCCGAAGGGTTCATATAACCTCATAATTAAAATACCCTGGTTAAATAAATAAATAATAAAAATAAGAAGTGTTACAAATTGAGTGTATTAAAGTTGTAAAAGCTCTGGTGTCTAATTAGTGATTATTGATTTCAGTAGTGCTTTATTTAACTGTTTGTTTTTACATAAAAAATTTTAAAATGTCGATTATGCAAGCAAATAAACTCTTTTTTAAAGTACTTTTATTCATTTAACTTTTTTTCAGATGAAATTTTTCTGTTGTACACAAACAACCTTTCCCTGATTCACTGACCACAATATTGTAATATGTGTGTGTGTGTGTGTGTGTGTGTGTGTGTGTGTGTGTGTGTGTGTGTGTGTGTGCGTGCGTGCGTGCGTGGGTGCGTGTGTGTGTGTGTGTGTGTGTGAGAGAGAGAGAGAGAGAGAGAGTGAGAGTGAGAGAGAGAATGAGAGAGAGTGAGGGATCTAGAATATAAGAATTACTTTTGTTCAGTCAATCCTCACCTCCCTTCATCTCTAAAAAATAAAATATTAGATCAGACTGCATTTTTTCTTGTTTTAAATACAATATCGTATATATAGAACTATTAATTTTCTATTAGAGAGTCAAAACAAAGGAAAATATAGTATAAACATATAATGAAAATAATAAAAAGCATAGAAGGATTACATCCTTAAAAATTTAAATTAATTATGCTTTTTTCCAAGGTCTTGGTTAAGGGTCATGAGCGGGATTCGAACCCACGACCTCCGGCTCAATACGCTAACCACTCTGACCACGTGCTGAAGGTCGTGGGTTCGAATCGCGCTCTTGTGCACAAGCTTTTTCATCTCAACCAAGACCTTAGCTAAAAAGTATAATTAATTTAAGTACGGCCAATTATGACTACTAAATACATTTTTTATATTTTTTAACTGTTTTTATTATAGTATCGATATTGTTACTATCGATACTAAGAATATGATGGCGATTGCCGCAGTAACTGAAAAGTGACTGGAGAAGTAGTGAGGCAGTGTGCATGCTACTCTTCACTCATTCTCAGGTTTGCGAGTGTGAAACTGATAGTTGTGTATCTGGATGCCAGATGTACTGATTACCGGTGAGGATTCACGTTAGTAATTGAACTTTTCCCATAAATGTTTGTAACTATTGAGTTTTATTATCTTAGGTTTTCCTTTACGAATTTGCCATTACCCGACAGATACATGATTTCATTGACATACAGTTATATGTAGAGTTAACAAATATCAAAATGAAACTTCTTACACATAATATGTTGTCTTCTAAGTGTTTAAAAGGAGTGACCCAGGGATATCCATTGGGAATTCAGGTAATTATTTAAATCCTATATACGCCTTGTTAACATACTTTTAAGTAACGTTAGTTTTAAATAAAATGAGTGATTTAATGATTAGAGATTATTTGTAGATCGTGAGATGCGGTTTGTAGATGTGTCATTATTGTGTGTGGTGTTGAGTGTGCCCAACACGACACACAATAATGACATCTACATAGAAAACAGACACTGAGTACAAATACTTTGATTGAATCTAAAATTTCTAGCATTGTATACATTTCTTTTTCACATCTTACAGCTATTTGTATAATTTAAACAGGGGGGCCGAGGTAGCCAAGTGGTTAAGGCGTCAGACTCTTGGCTAGTAGATCCCGCAGTCGTGGGTTCGATCCCCACCGTCGCCTCTGGACTTTTTCTGACGCCTAAGGGGAAGGGTGGTCGTAATTGAAGGAAATTGACATGGCACTCATCAATGGAAGGGGCAGGATCGGATCTCAGCGACCCTGAATTTGGTCCCAACCCCCTTCAAAAATGAGTTTCTTTGATGGAAGAACATCGGGGGCTCATATTCACACTTGTGTTGCGAGCCCCCAAAAATGGAGCCAGGGATAAAGTACAATAAGCTGTATGCTCAGCTGCAGTGCTCAGGAGGGAACTCCTCCAGTCCCTGGTATCCAAAAAATTAAACAATGTTAATTAATTATTCAGAAATCGTGAGATGCGGTCTGGTGTGATGTAGGTTTCAGAAAAACATTTTCTTTATCGTGCCAACGTTTCGCTCTTTATTGAGATCATCTTCAGGGCCTGGGATTTACAAACATTGTTTACATTTAACAAATACATTTAGGATATGGAAAAAAGTGAATTTATACAATGCAAAAAATATTTTTTATATTCAATCAAACTATTTCTACTCACTCAAAGTGTTTGTCTTCTGTGTAATTGTGCCGTTCTTGCGTGTCGTTTTGAGAGTGCCAGTGAGATTTTGCTGTTTTATGTTTATATACGTTGGATTTTGAAGGGGTGGGGAAGGATGTCGGGATAGAAAAGACATTTTTGTATAAGGTGTCAGCTTCTTTGAGGTGAAAAGAGCTGACGAAGGGAAAAAATGTTGGTAATCGTTTGGCTAGATTATCCTTTCAGGATTATATAGACGGGGATAAATAGGAAAAGGAAAGCTAAATTGTTGAAAAATTAGACTATGTGAAAAATGTTTGATGTGTGGAATGTGATGTGATGATATATGTATGTTATCTGTTTTGAATTTTATTAATGATATTGGCATAGCTGTGACTGAGTTTACAAGTAAATTATATATAAGTTATTATTATCCATAATTTGTATCTGTTCTGTAATTGATGCTGCGTTTATCTCTGTTGATGTAAATCATTTCTAAAAAGTTACGTTTATGTTTGTTTTGTTCTGTGTGTAATATTTTTGGATTGTTGAAGTCGAAATTGTGTTTGTGTTCAAAATGGTGGGTAGCGAGTGCTGTAAGATTTTGTTTTGGTTTTTTGCAATCATAGATATGTCGCTTTACTCTCTTGTCCAGATATTGGGATGTAAGTTGCTGGACAGTTTAAACAGTTGATTATGTCAGATTTGTTTATTATTGGTGTGGGATCTTTAATTTTTGAAAAAAGTGAATTGTTTTATAATTTTTGAAAGCTATTTTGATGTTATCGGATGAGAAAAATGTGTTTAATTTATATGATAGGCCGTGAATAAATGGCATGGAAATGTATGCTGGTTTGTTTGTATTTGATAGACTTAATGTAGAATTATTAGTAATAGTGGATGGTGTTAGTGTTGAATTGTAGTTGTTGATTATTCTATTAATTATGTGTTTAGAGTAGAGATTGTTATGAAGTATCTGTTTGAATATCTTTATGTTCTTGTGGTGAAATGATTCATGGCTTAGAGTAATCATTCTGTGAAGTAACCCTTTGGCCGTGTATTATTGTATGAAGAGGATAGTGAGATGTTGAGGTAGTAATCTGTGATTAATGTGCCATCTGGTTGTTTTATTACAAGTGTATCTAAAAATGGTATTGTTTTGTTGTTTTTGATTTTATGTGTCAATGGTAGGTGTGAGTAAAAGCTTTTAAATGTATCTAATGTAGTTTGAATTTGATCTGTGGAAACTGCTGTCAATATATCATCTATGTATTTAGTGAGGAAGGGTAATGTGAAAGGAAGTTGTGGTATGACTGTATTTAATAGATGTGTCATAATTATGTCTGCAAGTATCGTGCCTAGGTTGCTACCCATGGCTATATCAAATAGTTGTTTGTAAAATTGATTGTCGTATGTAAAATGTTAATGATTGTTGTATGTGAATGTGTATTAATCCCAGGCCCTGAAGATGATCTCAATAAAGATCGAAATGTTGGCTCAATAAAGAAAATGTTTTTCTAACTAACATCACACCAGACTGCATCTCATGATCTCCAAATAATCATTACCTAACGGTAACTAAACACCACACATTAATGATTAGTGATGTTGGAAATATTAGTAGAAATGCCACAGATGTGCTGTGACAAAGGACTGTAAAATAATAAGGCTCAGTGCAAATTGTAGATGTGTTTATTTACATAAAATTAGGCAGCATGGGGATAACAAATGGGATAGAAGTTGTCGAAGAAAGTTCTGTATGTTTTGATACAGCTTGTTCAAAATATGTGAGAATGTATTTAATAGGGGTGTAAAAAATTTTTAGTTAAAAGCTTGCTAGCATCAAATGATGGGGAAATTTGCCATATTGCACACCTTTAAGAAATGCGACAACTCATTTAATTTTTTAATAGTGAAGGAGGTGAGGATTCACTGAGCAAACGATGCCTCTCACTCATTCTTTTACTTTCAAACACTATCTCTTTCTCACTTTTCGAATTTTTTCCAGTTCAAATTACTGGCATTTGGTGTTAGGGAGGTTCACATAAAATCATGTTCGTTATGTTCACTAATTTTATAATTTGATTTATAAATAATTTTATACACACAAGTTAATAATTTTGTTTAATTATAAATAAATGCATTTTAATTGTTACAGGCAAAAGGTGTAAAAGTTATAGAAGTTGATTTTAATGTAGAATTTATTTCAAGAGTTATACCGAAGTTGGATTGGGCTACGCTTCATAAAGCAGCAGAAACAGTGAGTGGTTTTTATTCTCCACGTCTTCCTTCCGGGTTGTTGGCTTATGTGAAGATGTTTTTAAATATGTTTTTCATGAACACACAACCATTTGACGTAGCATTTTATTGAAGCGATATCAATCAAATGAGACTGATGAGGAAAGGCTGGTGCCCCAGAAATCGATATCGCTTGAATAAAACGATTTGTCGAATGGTTGTATGTTCCTGAAAAACTTATTAAAAGAGATGTGTGATTGACTTTGTCAGTTAAAGTGGAAAATATGTTTGTCCCCCGTAAAATGGTAATGGGGAAAGATTTAAACAATTAAAAACAAATTGATTATGACATGTATTTCATTATATCAAATGAAATATTTGAATAAATTAGCGTAAATAATCTGAAAAAAAAAAGATGAATGTTTTTTCTCACAACTCTGAAATTAAGTATATACTATAGTATTTTCTAAATTCTTTGTTTTTGAATAGTTGATTATCAATTTATCATTTTTGCATCTTTATCTTTCCTAATTTTAAATTTGATTGATCGAAATATTTTTCTATTTTAAAAAGAGTACACATACAAATTATATTTTAAGTGGCTTAATTTCAAATGTTGATACTTGCTAACCTGCAAATCAAAATCTTTTTTAATATATTCAAGAATCCTTTTCTGTGCGGTTAAAATAAAAAATAATTTAAAAAAAAACCCAGGAAATCAGTGTTCATTAATTTGTTTTCTATTTAAAGTTGGGCTTTGGAGATGATATACCACAGACCCTTGTGGATAATTATGAAGAAAATGAAGATTTTTTAAAAAAAGTCCATCATGTACTTCTAGAGGTATTTATGTCATTTAAGTATCTCCAACATAACAATAAAATGTTATTATTAATTTTAGGTGGATGTTATAGAAGGAGACCTTATTTGCCCTGAAACTGGAAGAAGATTTCCTATAAATTTTGGTGTCCCTAATATGTTATTAAACGAAGATGAGGTTTAAACGTTATATGTAACAGAGAATATTATTTAATTTTTGTTAATATCATTTTAATAATAAATCATAAAATGTATGGGTAATTTTATTTGTTAGAGAGTAACATTTGTAATTAAATGTTTATACAAAAAATTGTGTATTGCTATTCAAGATTTTTTTTTTTCAATTGATAAATTTTCTTCTTTTGTCTTTTTTGTTTTCTGTTATTGTCAATCCATCTTATTTAATTGTAGCATTTTGGATATTATTTAAAAAAAATACTTTGACAAAAATTGCATCTTCAAACAAATCCTATCTAACATAGGATCCATCTTCTAACAAGAGGAAAGAGGGAAAGCACAATCCCAAATAATCAACTAATAATACAAATTATTATTTTATATTATCTTACAAAAAAGTTCACAGCTTCTTAATTAAAACGTTGTGGAATTATTGATCATTTTCATAATCTTCTGTTTTCATATCATTAATTCCCAGTTCTTCATTTTGCTCATCAGAACGTTCATAGTGTGTTATATTTAAACCTTCATCCAATCCTTCATCACATAAACTCTGGAACATAAAATAAATAAGCTTACAATTAAGTGATTATTACATATTTCATTAGACTCCTTATTTTAATGGTACATTATATCTTATGGATTCTTTCCCCTTCTCATAACGATCCTATGGACAGGAAGTTTATTTGTGCATCCATATCGATTATAGGATATTTTTTACATTTGTATCATGCTGAAATCAACTTAGTCAAGTCTGATCTAAATCACATCAGTTCCTTAAATGTCGGTTGATCCTTTTCCAAGTATGGTCTTTGAGGTACATGTGGCGCATGTTTAAATATCAGGTGTTCCCATTTCTGTGGTCTGTCTGGGGATAGATGTTGCCTATATTCAATTTCAAAGCAAATGTTGGTAATCCCTGTCTTCCATGGTCACTCAGAATGTGTGCATGGACTATCTTGTTTGTATGGCTTCTCAAACAGCTCCGTTTGTTGGTATGTTGGGTTCGAAAGCCAAGCTGCTGGATTCGAACCTGGGTCCTTTATCTTAATGTGATGAGCACCGTGTCAATGCCTAAACCGTTGAGGCCACCGATGACCCACCACTCAAGGGTTACAGCGATGTTCCAACATATGCCCATTACAAATCCACTCTCCCCGAAATCTGGAGGGGTCCACTAAGATTTTCTTTTGATTATTGTCGTATTACTGACCGAGCTTATTTCTTATAATATTGTAACTTCTGATTGCTTCAATCAAATGAATTGGAGCAGCAAGAAATAGTACACTACTACAACTAATCCTACATCATTTTCAATAACAGTACTCTCTTCCTAATACTAACTTCAGTAGACAAACGTTGCAGTAATTTGGATTAAAAAAATTGAAAAAGTGTGAATTTTTAAGGAAACAAAACATTATTTAGAGGGAAGAAGAATAGAGCGAGAAAGAGCGGATGCGAGATAGTGAATGAGGGAGAATGTGTGAGAGAAAAATAAACGAGAATGTGTGGTGATTTAGTGACCGTTAGTTGACTATTATTCAGAAATCGTGAGATGCGGTCTGGTGTGATGTAGGTTTCAGAAAAATATTTTCTTTACTGCGCCAATGTTTCGATCTTTATTGAGATCATCTTCAGGGCTTGGGATTTACAAACATTGTTTAAATTTAATAAATACATGTTAACAAATTTAAACAATGATTGTAAATCCCAGGCCCTGAAGATGATCTCAATAAAGATCGAAACGTTGGCACGATAAAGAAAATGTTTTTCTGAAACCTACATCACACCAGATTGCATCTCACGATTTCTGAAAAATAAAAGAGAATGAATATTGTTTTATTTTAAAATATCACAAATTAGTTGATGCAGGGTGAGAGTATGAGAGAGTGAGTGAGTGAGTGTGAGAGGTTGTTTGAAAGACCAAGACCAGCCCAGATTATACGAATTTTCAAGAATTTCTTTTGTTCAGTGAATCCTCACCTCCCTTCACCGATAAAAAATGAAATTTTAGATCAGTCTACATTTAATTATTATTATTATTGTTACATATGTATTTTTTAAAACCAAATAATCTGCTGCAATAGTTCGGATTAATGAGAGGGCACTGTATATCGCAGGCTTTTTTATTAACAGGCTCAATGAAGATGCCTGATTTAGCAGGGTGATAATGAGCTTCAGAAAGTTTGTAAGTAAAGTCTGACATTTGAAGTTTTAAATTTATTATGGACATAACATGCACTTACTTGAACATAACTGTTTCCTGCAGGATCATCCAAAACCAGAGTGACCGATTTTTTCCCCAATAATATTTCCTCAATCTGCGAAATACAACTACTTATCGCCTTATCCGATTTACTATTCCTTGAATCACCAAAGATTCCAAATGCGGCTCCACCCTTTTCAAGGCCATCTTTTATATCTTTTAAGATACCCTCGACAGTTGTAAATTTACCCCCGAGAGTCATGGCACCAGCTTCAAGTTCTAATTCCGGTATGAGCATCCGACAGGTGTCAGACTAAACAAAGAACAATTAATTAAAAGAACAATTTAACCAAAAATTTATAATTAAATAAACTGACTTTTAAAAGATCTCTTGAGAAGTCCTCTTCACCTTTAACTAAAATTTCAATTTTAATTCCTTTCGGCTCTATGCCACCTGCTGACTTAACTTCATTTGTCTTATGACCACATACATCACATGTTGTCGCCATTATTACAACTTCTTTAAAATAAGGAATTTCTGAAAAATTTTATGACATACATCACATTCTGAGCAAGGCTGTATGATTCCATGGGCTATGATGGCTGTGTTACTTACGTGTAACTTTCATTCTTGTATCACATGGGCTTCCACACTCTGGACAATTAGTATTAAATGATAATATTTCCCCTTGTAAATCCTCTAAGGTACATGATTCCTTTGGACTAGAAGGAAGTACACCTTTTTCAGAAGATCCATCAATCTAAAAAAAAAAAAAAAATCATTGTGCTTGATTTAAGTCGTCTTATGATTAATCTGTGTAAAAACTTCTGTTGCAATGTAACTAAATCAAAAAGTTAAAAAGATGTTTTATTTTTATTGCTGAATGGTGCTTTATTTTCTGTTATGGAAAAATGCTTGTTAAATTATGACAAATTTAGTATATATGTATATGACAGCTTTAGGTGAATGATAGATTTATGCTGATATATGTGACAAAAGGATTAACCAAATAAGAAAAAAAATATTTTCAAAAATCAAACATTAAATAGAAATATTAATAATAAATATAGTAACTCATATCTCAAGGGCAAGTGTATACAATACTCTCACTCTCAATAAACTGAATGATTGCAAGGAAGTATTCGAATTACTGAAAAATTCAGATTAGAGGTGTCTAAAAATACTTTCATATGTACAAAAAAATTAATATACTTGATTATTACTGCATACACAAAATGTTAAACCTATTAGAATATATATGTACTATCAATTTTTCTTTAAAAATCAAGTTTTTTAAAACATTTTTGTCATTGCTCCTTCTTCTTTTTCCAATTTTTAGCAATATCACAATAAAAGTGTATATAGATCTAACATTTCATTTTGTAGTAGTGAAGGGAGGTGAGAGAGGATTGAATTTTTTCCAGTTTGGATTAGCGAGTGATCACTGTATTCCAATTTATTACTCAGGTAAGTTAGGAATCTCAATATTTTACTCTCATCTCATTAAACTATGAATGTAATTTAATTATTACCATTTCAGATGTGAAAATTCCCAAAATATTATCTTGCTCTTGATTTCGTTTAAATTTTTCAATTTTGCAATTAGGATCTGCTGCTGGGCTAAACCTGTTTTCGACAAAACTATTTCCACTTATATCTTCCACAATCTAAAAGGATAAAATTTTATGAATACCACAAGAAAAATATACAATGTAAAATATGAATAATTTATGTGAAATTGGTATTTTTTGAAGTGATTTGCCAGCAGATTCGAGAACCATCCACCCCCGGTGTTGGCAGCCTGGGGGGAGGGGTGCTATGCTGTCAACAGCCTGGTCAATTCAGCACCCAACGCATGCAGTTCCAAACCCGTACCTATCATATTATATAACTAATCTAATTGAGGGTTGATGGGGTATTGGATATTCTACCATTGACACTCTCACATCACACATTCACGCTAATATATAATTTCACTCTCAACACAAAATAGGTATATACAATTATTATTGCTATATACAATAGAACCATCGATACAGGGGACCCAAATATTAGCTCTTGTGCTCAAGCATAATTCTCAAATCGGGTGGCATTCCTGTGCTCTCTGTATAGAATTGCACCCTTCAATTAGGTAATGCACATCAAGCAACCTTTCTCTCCACGCAGGCCACATATGCATGCTTTGGCTCAAAAGTAAGTGGTGGTGTGTCAACCTCGCATGGCCTATTCTTAATAGGTTGAGGATAACCCTTCTTCTATGAGTCAAATCGTCCGAGGGCCACCCGTCAACAGTGCTCTTGATAACCTAGAGCTTCTCTGTTGATGTGATCTAGCCCAGTGATGCTGCCAACTATTTTTAATCTATTTATGCGTATTTATTTTTTAATCTATTTATGCATTCTTAGCGTCAGAGGGCGGATCGGTTAAGTGGTTAGGTCCGGAGGTTGGGACGTCCCAGCCTTAGCTGATTAGAAATTGTTATATTTGGCTAACTTTGATTGCTCGTACCATATTTTTATGTTGTTAATTACTGTCTATTCAGACCGAATATACTTGAGTTATTTGGTAACTAAAGTTTAAGGTTTTCACTTTAATGGAAACCATTTTTTTTTATTGCACTATAGTAGTGTCTTAATATTTATAGGAAATACTACATAACTAATTTTATGCAAATTAAGTTGAAATTAAATAAAAAATATTGTCACGAGTGACACTCGAAACCACGACTCAGTGCTGTATAAATTCCCATTTTCCACCAATATATAGGGTTGGCAACAAAACAATGACTTTTTTTTACAGTAGACATATATATTTTTTAATTCGGAGATTGCTCATTGTTTGCAATTACTTTTTGCCATCTTTCAGGTAGCATGGGTAGCATGTATCATTATTATTCCTTCCGCATAAACATGTCCATCTTTTGAGTCCTCCAACATTTGAACATTGTCAAAACTTTCAAAGTTTTGGCAAATTAAAATTTTTTGCAATAACTGAAAAAAATAATAGTCACAGGTGAAATGTCTGGAGAGTATGGCGGGTGTAATAAAATTTCCCAATTCAGTTAATTGTTTCGCCTTCAAAGCAACATGGGGCGGGTGTTGTCATGGTGAAAGACCACCTTTTCTGTTTGCTAGTGCAGCCCGTTATTAGTTTATTTGAAAGTCTAAACAATTTAGCTATTCACATTATAGTTCACTATTAACTGTTTGCCCTTGTGGTAAAATCTCAAAATGCAAGGGGCCGGACCTGTCCCACCAAATGCACACATGGGTTTTTCTATTTGTTGTTTTGTAACAAAAATAATATAGACAAAAAATATAAATATTGAGCTAATTACTTCTATAATTGAAAAACAACATTAATTTCTTGCCAAATCATACAATTTATATTTTTTACTGTTAAATAATTTCTTTTTGCAGACATCTTAATTAAAATTACCAATTTAAATGGTTGTTCAACTTTTTGAAGTTGTTTTAAAACATTGATAAACTCGTCTATTTTAGCAGCATCCTCAGGATGTTGGATTTGGCGCAAATGTTGATCTTGAACCAAACCTTCTATCGTTCGATTGATTATTCCTTCAATTGTAGTGATTTCTGTAGAATCATAGAACAATTATTAATTAATAGTAACACGAAACATGTAAACTATCATATTGTTGACACCATGTTATAAAGAAACGAAGTGGATTTCTATACTTTTCAGGAAAGCAAAAAACTAATTGAACCTTGATTAAGGTATTTAGCGAGTTTTTACATTTTAATTTAATTAGGCCTCATAAAGTGCATCAATGTTGTAATTTGCCATTGATTTTCATAATTTTTTAACTAATTACTAAAATTAGTTTAAAATATTCGTTACTTTACTGTATATGGAGATTTGCAATGTTGTGGCATAAAAATTGAAGGCAAAGTATTAAATGTGCATTCGCAAGTTTACAATGAACTTTTATTGCAGAGGATCCATTATTTTGATACAATTAATTGTTTGAAAAATGGTTAAAACAACTGAGAAATTGAAAATTCTTGTAGGTGCAATACAGTAAGTCCATATCATGTTTATTTATTATTAATCAACTATGCTGAGGTAACAGTTTATAATTGCAAATTAGTAGATAGAAAGGAAGACATTAAAAACATAAGAAATTGAAGGTGAGATTGTAATTGTGAAGTTGCCTTGTAGAGTTCTACAGTAAACTAACAAAATTGAAAAATGTAATTTTTCACATTTATGGTGTCAATGATATATTCACATATAAATGTCTAATAAGTTATGTACGATGAGGAGGCCAAAGTCCATTAAAGGCTACATGGCCTATATAATGATAAAGTGATATGATAATTAACATACCTCCTTTTTGAGATTGTGAAGGGATCTCAAAATTAATATGGGGAATTTTAACACAAGTATAATCAGATTTAACAACCTGCCTGTTCATGTCATTTTCAGTCTCCACATCAACAGTGTATCTTACACCAAATTCATCAATCTGACCTAAAAATATGGATTATATTGATTCTTCGATCTGTATTTTACTACGTACAGAGACTAACAATATTTGATTAAATCAAAACTACCAAATTTAGTATGTTTATTTTCACAATTCGAGCAATTTATTAAACATTGGATTTTTATTTTATATTTAATATTCTATTGTCTTAATGACACTCTTACAAGGTGTTGTATAGAATAACTGGACTTTTCATCAATTTTTTTTTAAATTTAATTATTTACTTTTTTAGTTATTCCTCCATAACGCACCCATAGCAATCATTAAAACAATATAAAAAATACTGGTTACTAGTAATTACTATAGAAATTATCCTTACCGCCAGATTGGAGTTCATTATTTTTGTATCCACAATTTTCACATTCAAATGACATGACAATAACTTCTTTATAGTAAGGAATTTTTGTGAGAAGTATTCTTGTCTCTCCCTGAAATAAGGAGTTTTGTAAAAAAATTTGTTTGATGAATTAAAAAAAAAAAAAAAAAAAAAAAAAAAAAAAAAAAAAAAAAAAAAAAAAAAAAAAAAAAAAAAAAAAAAAAAAAAAAAAAAAAANGTTTTTTTTTTTTTTTTTTTGTAGATGAACCCCATCAAATGATTACTCATCCTTGGATGTCACTATTACTCAACAGTATTAAAAAAGGAAATTTATTATGTAAAGCCTAACACAAAAACCATTAAAATAGTAAATCCGTTCAACTCTCTGGGTTTTTGGAACGCTTAAGTTATGAATAAACTTATTCATACTTACATTTTTTCTGCAGTTGACACAAAAACTTTCTATAACTGTAGTTTCAGGGTCATCATCTGGGTTTAGATCACGGAAAAGGGCTTTTTCTTTAGACATCTTTCACATTAAACCAGTGACTAAACAAAAAAAATATAAAAAAATAATTACAATAAAAATATCAATTTAGTAACATTTGTATACCACTTAACAGTTTTTTTAATCTTATAATACACTTTTTAATTTCAGAAGTATAATAAGCTATAGTACAATCTTTTCCTCATCTGAATTAGGTCTCTGAACATACCAGTATTCCAAATAATAAACAAATTCAAAATGTCAAAATTTTAAATTAAATATTATTTGGGGGAGTTGTCGCATGACGCGGACAGGACTCAATAAGCTGAGGGTAATAAATATGGCAGCATATCAGCCAGATGAGCTTTGTACACTGTTCACTGCAAGGCAATCAACAAAGGATCAGAAGGCTGCGCAGTACAAATGCCCTAAGAATTCCGAGTTGTTGTGGAGATGGTCATAACCAACCCTTATTGGGAAACCAATATAAAAGAAAAAGATTGAAAAAGCAAAGACAGGCAGTTGGAGAGTCACTCAGACAGAGAGAGAAGAAACAACATGAAATGTGGAGGGCTGAGACCTGTCAGATAAGTTGACTGTCAAAGAACAGCCTGATCAACTGTCAATTTTCTTAAAAGAAGGGGAAAGAAGAACAGACTCAGTCAGTCAGCCAGAGTAAGAGGACTTAGGTGAGGTGACTCAGTGAGAATAGTCGACTGTCGAGTTGCTTGGAAGCAGCGAAAAGGACAGATTCAGTCAGTCAATGAGAGGACTCGTCAGCCAGTGCTAGAAAGGACACAACTATCAAACTAACTGTTGAGTGTCTTGTAAGTAGTGGAAAGGAGGACAGAATCAGACAGTCAGCGCCAGGAAGGGCACAGCCATAGAGTTGACTGAACGGAAAGGAGAATAGACCTCAGTCTCTGAGTGATCAGCCAGGTCAGAAGACTCAATCGACAAGACGAAGGGAGAGAATTCAGTCAGCAAGAGCTAGAAAGGACACATCCATAGAATAAACTATAATACAAAACTGTTTTGGAAGCAGCAAAAAGAGGACAGATTCAGTCAGTCAACAAAAGGACTGTCAGCCAGAGCAAGGAAGGGTATAGCCATATAGTTGACTGTCGAGTTGCTTGGAAGCAGCAGTCAGCCAGAGTCAGAAGGCTCAATCAACAGGACTAAGCAAGAAGATTCAATCAGCCAGAGGTAGAAAGGACACAGCCTTCAAGATGATTGTCGAGTGACTTGGATGCAGTGGGAAGGATGGACTGAGCCTGAAGTGTAAGGACTCAGTCAATGAGACGATGAAGGGACAAATCAGACAGGCCTGAAAGGACACAGCCATTTATCGAGTGTCGACTGTCAGCGTCCAAGAAGCAGCAGACAGGACGCTGAAGGATGTGGATGCTGATGTTGGCGAGTGCCATTTGGGTTGTTCTTTGTGTAAATAAGCTCATCCCCAGAGTTAGATGTGGCTAACTTCCAATGTTTATTCATGTTAATATTATGACAGTCAAGAGAAGTGTAAAAAGTGTAGCATCATATCGTTTATTTTTACACCATGTACAGTATAATTATTCAGAAATCGTGAGATGCGGTCTGGTGTGATGTAGGTTTCAGAAAAACATTTTCTTTATCGTGCCAACGTTTCGATCTTTATTGAGATCATCTTCAGGGCTCAAAGTGTTTGTCTTCTGTGTAATTGTGCCATTATTGCGTGTCGTGTTGAGATTGCCAGTCGCATCTCACGATTTCTGAATAATTATCAATTAACGGTCACTAACCACCACACATTTGTACAGTATATTTGTGTAATGCAAAAAATTAATCACCTTTCAAACAATTGTTCGGTTAACAAAAAGAAAAAACATCAAAGGCAGTTCAGAACATTATTGTAGTGACGTTCTTTCTCAAGCATGGACCGGTTACAGCAGCGTGAGGTTCCACTATCGAGAATAGGTCGATGATCGATAGTCAATAGTACTACCAACCATCGATATCCTAACGCTTTTAATCGTATTATTTATCGATTAAATAATCTATTACAAAAATATCTACTTAAAAAATATTAAAATTTTACTATGGAAAAAAAAAAACTGTACATACTAATAATTAAACAACGTCTTTGAGGTAGAAGTTGGCGACCAAAGTAGTCCTTAGAAATGATGAAGGTGGGCTAAGTATGCAGATTCTTTTTTTTTTTTAACGATGGTCCTACTTACAAATTTCAATTTTTTTCATTTTCAAGCATGCCCCTTTGCCCTATATATTTTATATTAAAAGAATAATACAAACAGCTTTGGCTAAAAACAATGTATATTAAGGAATTTTTATTGATAGTTGCTAGTAAAAAGAATAAAAAAATAACTTTAAAAGAAACAACGATCACACTCAGCCATCCCATCAAAAATGAATCTTAGGTTTTCATTGCTTGCCAAACATTGGTGAACTATGAAAAAATAGGTAAAATTTTTAAACGATTAGGTTTTAGGATATCTTTTAGAAGTACTTCTTCACTTAGAAACATCCTCTCAAAACCTAAAGACAAGGTTGACAACTTGTCAAAAAGCAGTATTTACAAATTTAATTGTAATGATCACGATGTTAAATATATATGACAAAACGGTAGAGAAATTAAAATTAAAGTTAAAGAACACTTACTTAAATTGAACAAATATTCTGAATTTAAGAACCATCTAAATGAAACAAAACACAACTTCAATTTAAATTTAAATACAACAGTGTTACATGTTTCAAAAAAGGGTGGAAACTAGAAATAAAAAAATAAAAAATTAAATATGGAGATGAACACATAAATAATATTACAAATTTTGATTTACTCCCTATTTTAAATATATAAGAAAATAATATTTGACATACAAATTAATCACTAATTTAAAATTGTTTTCTTACAGTATTTATTGGGATTATATTTATTTGTGTTGTAATTCATGTTTTTGCAAATTGAGTGGTATTAAAAACAACTGGATGTGTTGGCAGTCGATTGTCAACTTTTACAATTAAGGTCATGAGACGTGTTTGTAACTCCGTCAGCATGATGATGAGCTTTAAGCTCGAAATAAGGTCGTGGTGAACGACAATTCTGCGAGCAGTACAATCCATTACAAAAACTGAAAAAAGAAAAGTAGGAATGTCAGGACAAGACTATTTCTTTGTATAACTAATAGCAATAATTATTAATTGTGTAACTAATTAATAATTAATTGGGTAAAGATTATTGTATTAATTTTATTGAACCGTTAGTTTCTTTCATTATAAACTATTTATTCAACCAAGTCCAAACAAAAGATTATATAATATTCATAAAATATCGAAAACAGTGGAAAATGTCAAAAATGTGCAAATCGCCCTGTTTTGGGTTTTGCAGATCCCCTAATTTCAGGACTTTTTACATATGTTATTGGTTGCTTTTGTTATAAACTAATTGTTCAACCTAGTACAAATGAATAGATTGTATAATATTGATATAATAATTGTATAATATATATAAAAGCGGCAGAAAAATAAAGAGAGTTTAAAAAAAATTGCCTAAATTGAACAAATTTTCTGAATTTAAGGACCAGAACCAGCCTATCTTATCTACTGTCGTAAACATCTCAACTTCGGTACACATAAAATTTAAATTTGTTGAAAACACCTACTTGTTGGATTCGCAATGGTTGTGTGCCTTCAGTTTTTATAGTTGACATCGATTTATGGAAATAATTGGTGAAGTCAACGGTATCGTAGATTTAGTCGTAGATAATAGTTAATAGTAATTAAACTTGGTTAATTTGTTCATGTTATTACCTTGTATATTTGTACCAAGTTTGTTCAAAATAATTTTGAAAAAATAGCTTCTTCATTCGTTGATTTTTTAAAAATCATATCTGAGAACCACTGATTCTTTTAAAGTAAAAATTACAAAACTTTAAATTGAGCTGTGTAGCCAAGAAATCGTTCTGGAGCGGCGCCCTATAGGAATCGACAGGAAAATTTAAAAAGCTTCCACTTTGCCCAATTTTTCAACCGTTTCCGAGTTATTCGTGATTTTTGAGCCAAAAACGTGGTTTTTTACGTGCTCAGGAAAAAAAACCGATCACTCTCTCTCTCCCCCGATTTTACCATACATAAACCGATTATTTCACTACGTTATTCGAATCCAAACTGCCAAAACTCACCTGTGAAATGGGAAGGAAAAGTTGAATTTCCGAGAGGAAGTAAACAGGTCATTATCGACAGCAGAATTCCGCATCCCAAAAGGTCAAATTTAGAATTGTCGCTTCCCTGTACACTTTTTCGAAAAAGTCCTCGAAAGAAAAGTTGTAGAGCGTAAAATATGCAAAAATATGACGGTTTAAAATGTATGCATTCTTGAAAATCGGGAGAGAGAGTTTCTTTCCCATTAGCAAGTAAAAAAACCACGTTTATGACCCAAAAATAGCGAATAACTCTAAAACGGTTGAGAAATCGGGCAAAGTGAAAGGTGACCAATTGAAATCTTATTAAAATTTCCTATCGATTGCTTTTCGGTGCCGCTTGATGAGCGATTTCCTGGCTCCACAGCTCAATTTGAAATTTTCGTATAAAGAGTAACAATTAACATGTTCCCGAATTTTTGAATTTACTTATGAATGACTGAAGCTACGAAAACACATCGTGTTCAGCGTAAAATTCGTTAAAAAATGAGACCCAGCGCAAATCTGTGACTTAACAGGTTGAGAAAATATGCATTTTCAAAATTGGCAGTGTAATAGTTTAAAAAATTATCTATAAATAATTTGGAACAATGTATAATGATTTGGTATCTCGGTGGCTATTAAAATGCTTTATGTAAAACGTAATAGTTATTAATTAAAATTACAACAATTCATTTATAGAACAGACATTCCAAAAGCTGATTTACTATTTATTTTCCAAACAATATATAATTAAATATATCATACATTTTTATACAAGTAGATTTTTTAAACAATAAGTTGCAAAGGCAGCATTTTTATCTTACGCATTATTAATCATATAATATACAATAAAAACATAAATTTATCACAATTTCGTTATGAAATGGTAACACATAAAACCTACTATTGCAGTAATTTGAAAATTTCTATTTTACACATTCTTTTGAACATATGTTTTTCTTTATGATTATTTTTTTCGTCATTTCATCCGGAACATGATATTCACATGATTAATACTTTGTATTTTCATTTACACAACCAACACATATTGCTTTTTAATGTTTGTAATATTAATTGTATTCCGTGATTGGTGATTTTGAATTTAAAACAACTGAATCTTATGAAAACTAGGTACTAAAATCTATTGAATGATTGCCTCTACTTGTTTTAACAATAATGCAATGCACTAAAAGTAACACGATGTTAAACAGAGCCAAAGTAAATCCAAATTGTTTGTTTATTTGAACGTTATATATTATTAAATCAATTATATTTAGCGGTCTGATTGACCAAATGACTTCTTTCAATTAATTATTCTTTTTATGTAAGTTTTGGTGGAAATGAAGTCACGAGCGGGATTCGAACTCACGACTCCAAGGTCGTGGGTTCGAATCCCGCACGTGACGCTAACCTTTTCATTTCAGCCAAAACCTTACATAAAAATATTAATTAATTGAAAGAAGTTATATATTATATTGTTTAATACAATATTTACATTATTATTTGCATTTTTGCTATTTTTTTAGTTTCCATTGCATTTTGTCTTTTTTCTGAAGCGCATAATGTTTTGTCGTTTTATCTGATACAAAATTACGAGTTTAATATCTAAAATGGGTCAAGCTATTCCCACTTTGCCTCAAAATCTGCTGAATTAGGAAGTCGGTGTTTTTATTACTCACTCAAGATTATTATTTACATTCATAATAATATTATTTGCTTTAATAATTTAAAAAAAAATAATGATCAAGTATACCAACTCATACCATGAAATCAATCTCAACCAACTATTCAAGAAACTATAGATTCTTTATTAGCACTAAATTTAGAATTTTTAAGAAGCACATTTTATGTATTTTTTATTATATAAATTATATTAAAATGCTTAAAAATGAATACAATTGTCATATCGATTATACAACATGTTAAAAGAAATGCCATTGCTGAATGACTTCATGAATTAATTCACGAAGCCACGTACGTACAGTAAATTTCTTCTTGTTTACAAATCAATTATATAAACCTATAATTTATACATAGTAATTTTATCTCCAGGAATAAGTATTGAAATTCAATTTTAAACTCAGAACTAATAACAATTATGGCTTCAGCTCGTTCGAAAGTGTCGATCATTGTAATGCAACCCAATCTCACGGCTGTACGATTATGCTAAACCTGCATGACTTGTAGTTGTTGCGAAAGTGATGAACTTTGCGCCGTGTAATTTATTAGTTATTAATTCTTACCTCTTCCTCACTCTCACTCACTCTCTCTTTCTATCTTTCTCTCTCTCTCTCTCTTTCTTTTTCTTTCTCTCTCTCTTTCTTTCTTCCATTTACATGTATACAATGTACTGATTGCATTACTTTTTTTTAAGAGAACACTACAAATTGAGTGGTACACAAAATATAATGGGATGGCCAGCACTGTACTGTGCACTGTAATATAGATATTATAAGTATGCTTTTTTTTTATAATAAGCAAAATAATTGCGGCAGGTATTAACGTTCGTTACAGTTGTTTAACGATGATAACATTTATTTACTAATGATAAAATGTACTATGGAAGAACCAATCTATACTATGATTCATCTGATTTATTGAGCACATTTATATATACTTATTTATGATATTCACTTTTAGTAATTACACTGATAATATACGACCAAAATCTCAATTTGGTAATAAAAATAAGATAGTAAAATTTATCTTAAAAATAATACATAGGTAGAGATTTGATGTATAAAAGATATGTGTTTATAATTAAATGAAATATATTTTATTACAGAAGGGATTTTTTGCATTGATAGTTATTTTACACTTTTATTACCGTTACAAATGTCACGGTAATTACACACTCCCTCAATCAATCTCTCTCCCTCCCTCCCTCTCTCTCACTCTCTCACACTCACTCTCACTTTCTCTCTCTCTCACTCACTCAATCTCTCTATCTGTCTTCTATCTATATTTCTTTATTTATTTATTTCTCGCTCCTGTTCTCTTACCCCTATTTCTTTTTAATGTTTTCAATGTATTCACAGTTGTAAAAACTATAACTGTGTCCGATTTATTTACAATTATTTAATTTATTGATATAAAACGTTTGCCCATTCTTATTGAATTTTCAATTTATTCGATCAAACATATTGAATAAGGCAATATAATGATATAGTCTTCGTTTTGTTTGTTATATCATCTTTCGTGTATTTTTTATTTCATTACTTTTTTTTGTTAAATTATTTTAATGGTATTTGTAGCAAAAATATTTATTACATTGAAAAATATTGCTATTGGGAAAAAACTTTTTTTTTTAAATTAACATTATGGGACTTGTTTATCAAACATTTCACATGATTTTGGCATTGATAAATTACATTTTATTTCACTTCATCAGACAAAGCTTTACTTTCTTCTCTTCTATGTTTGTTGTCGTAGTGATTCTTGTAAACATGTACAACATAAATTAACATATAAATACATTATATTTACTTTGGAAGAAACAAGATATAGTATGATTTATTGAGCAGATTTGAATCGATACAGACATTTGTTTTTCATATCCGTTTTTACTAATCACACTCATAGAGAATAAATACAAAAAACCATCAATTTGATGAATGAAAATTATTAATTAACAATAACAATCAAGATTGTTAAATATATCATAACAATAATATTTAGATGTATAACATTTTAAATGACAAAGATATGTTGTTACAATTAGATAAAAAATAATTTATATCATTGCTTTTTTATATGGATTTTTCCATATTGATAGTCTTTTTACAGTAATATCAACAGATTTATCCATAAGGACAGTTGACAATAATATCAATAGATTTTTCATATTGATAGTTCTTTTACAATATTATTAATAGATTTTTCCATATTGATAGTTCTTGAACAACATTATTTATAGTAGGGCAATTAATTATTCATTACAATGAAATTCTTTAAAAAAAAATAAAAATGAAAAAGTATTAGTCGGGGGATTTACTCTGTTAAAAGTCTATTCCATAAATATTGATTTGCACTTTTGAAAATTACAAATCTAATAGGAACCTGATTAAATAAATTTGCATTAACGTAATCGAACAAAAATGCATCACTAAAACCTTTAATAGGCATTCTTTCTTTTTGACAAGAAATCTAATTTAAAGCCAGTCTATTCTGTGACTATTTCTATTTGCTGGTTTGTTATAAAATTGCAGCCACTGTAAGAAAACTTATAAGTAGTGCTGATGTGACGGCTTGATTTGCCGAGTTACAGAGATCACCTGTGCATGAGCAATATTGTGCATGTACATTATAGGTTCCAGATCGATATAAACACTTTTCGGCATTTAAATTGCTGTCTTGTATGTATCCACAGCCACGGACGACTCTGATTTTTCCGTAAACTGCAACAAGGAAATAAGTATTAATTTATGTCTGTACTTGAACAGGAGTACATGAATAAAATTCTGGGTTTATAATTCCCATCGTCAATTTAATTAGCTTCCAACCGATTAATTTATTTGTTTGCAATTTATTCAAATATTGAAGTAATTTATAAAATCCTTATATTAAACTTAAAAATTCTCAAAAATAATAAAAATAAATTCACTAGTTTCGTGGTTCGCTTGACCGAGTAATATCTTACAATTAATTAAGGTTTTTAGTCGAGATAAAAATGGCAAAAAGGAGGGAAAATTCAAAAGGTGGGGTTGAGATAGGAAGTTGGTGTCCGAGTGGATCGAGGTCACGATAGCTCAAGTGGTAGAGCAGCGGCGTATCAAGCCGAAGGCCGTGGGTTCGAATCTTGACTTTTTTATCTCGACTAAAAACCTTAATTAATTGTAAAATAAAAATAAACATGAAATCGGGGGGGGGGGCATCGGTGGCCGCAACGGTTTAGGCGTCGACACGGCGTAAGGTAAAGGTCCCGGGTTCGAATCCAGCGGTCCTGCATTCTTATAAATGGGCTTTTTTTCAAAAACACCGGCACCCCGAGAGTTTATATAACCTCTGCTGTTGCGAACCCTCGAAAAAAAAAATCAACAAGAGTTGCATACAGTGTGCGTTAGTTTTAGACGTACCGTAAGGGTAAAAGCGTAATTTGCGTTCAAATTTGACTCACCTATGCTTCCCTAATGTAAAATCAGAAGAATCACGTAATTTTTTAAATTATTTTTATCTGGCAAAAGCTTTACTATGTTTCTTTTGATATTAATATTTTTTTTATATTTTTTTATTTCTATAAATGTTTTTAATAGATATGTCACTTAAATTTATGCGATTAATACAAATTACAAGCAGAAAAACCGTAGTGGAAAAATTAACTATGATTTTTGATGATTGGAAAAAAATCATTTTAAAAAACTAACTAAAAAACCAATGCAGTTTTCCTGTGGTAGTTCAAAACTGACCCTGTTTGTCACACTGGCCAGGAAAATGTATTTCTAAAGTACACAAAAATGTATAGGATTGTGTTATTTGTACGTTACTACAATTTTGTAGCATTTACTTTTGCATTTTTGTTATATTTTTATGATGAATTGAAATAAAATTTATTAGAAATTGTGATTATTTGGAGATCGTGAGATGCGGTCTGCTGTGACGTAGGTTTAGAAAAACATTTTCTTTATCGTGCCAGCGTAAACCTACGTCACACCAGCCCGCATCTCACGATCTCCAAATAATTATTAATTAACGGTCACTAAACACCAGACATTAGAAATTATGTTTTTACTGATGTAAAATTTAATTAAGGGATTTTGAAAAATAAAAGGTTTTAATTCCATAATTATGTTTATCGGACATAATAATTTTTTTGAACAATTAATACCATGTATAACGTCCTCTGTTAGCTAATATCTCTGTGCACCTGCAAGGCATACTGTTAATAAGGGTGTCACTAATTTCATAAGGAATTTTACTCCATAGATGTTGCAAGTCAACTGGCTGCAGATGGTAATTTAAAAGTCTTCTCTGCGACGCATCCCACAATCTCAATATGATTGAGGTCCGGAGAAAAGGGTGGAAGAGGCAGATGGAAAATTCCCTGGTTTTCTAAACAACTCTACCTATATGAGTTCTGGCATTGTCATCCAGAAATCGAAAATCCTTGCCAATGAGATCCCTGGTTTGAGGGATGTATTTCTTGATAATTTCTTGGACGTAACGGATTGAGTGAGGTTGCCTTCAACAATGAGTCCAGTTCGTCCTCCAGTGTAAATCCTAGCACAGATCATTACACCGCCTCCTTCACTGCACTGAAGGGAGCACGATGTAGATGTAGATGTAATAGTCGGGGTGTAGTATACTGCGGCCTTTAAGAGCTATTGAAACCCCTGTTCTCTGCCTAAAGCACACCGGTGAGTCCTATTTCATCATTGAACTTGACTAATAGGCCTGGTTTCAATGGTTGAATCTCTTCCATGGTCACATGGTCAAAGCACTTCCTCCTGCGGGCCAGTATAGCACCGCAGTTTGTTAGTAGGTGTGTTGGTGTCTCCTCTGCCTCTTTGCAGAATCTGCATGTGCCGTCTTGGATTATTAAAATCTTCTTTAAACGTCCATTTAGCTTGCAGTGTCCTGTTAAGAATCCTGTTAGTTTGTTCCATCTTTCTTTGACATATTCTGTAATTTCTTTTCTTCCGAAATTTGTTAGGAGATTCTTTGATCGCCTGTGTCCAATGAGTGAATTCCATTGTTCCTTCATTTTCTTTTTGTCCTTCTATTTGAGATACTCATTGATAGTGTGAGTTCCTATGCCACAGAAGGGTTTGGGTCGTATCAGCGGTGTAGCAGCTCCTTTCCTTGCAAAGGTATCCAATTTCTCGTTGCCTTCTACTCCCATGTGTCCTGAGGCCCGTCAGAGGCTGACTTGGTTCTGCGTACCTAATTTAATTTGGTTTTTCAGTTCAACACCATCTTTGATCGTGATATTTGAGCTTAGTACTTTGGTGGCTGCTTGGCTATCTGACATCTGTGTTCTTGTTTTTGTACCCAAGTTGTCAAGTTGAGTTGGGTACATCTGTCGATTGCGTGAATCTCAGCTGAGTATTTTGTTGCAAGACCGAATACTCTTGCCCCTGTACCTTCTTGTGTTTTAGATCCATCTGAAGGGAACACGAACATTATATGATATTGTACGCATCCCCTTGTCTTATTTGACTCTTGAGCGCCTGCTTTCACTATACAGACTGAATGCGACTCATCAGTGAACATAACAGCTTCCAATTGGTGTTTTCTTCTAGGCGCTCGCTGCACCATATTTAGAGTTGCTGCAGGTCGTCTCAAAGGGGCATACTATATGAGGTCAACTTCCTACAAACGATTACAAATCGTTTGTGTTGATAAACGCCTTGCCAAAACATCTTGTCGTTTAGGATCTGGTGGGCACTAAGAACGGGTTTCGTCTTGCAGCATTGACAATATTTCTGTCCTCCCTTATCGTCATAGTGCGCTGAGATCCACTACCAGGCCTCATGGCACTTCCAGTCTCCGGAGACCATGCTCTGAAAACTGCCTCTGCGATATTGACCTCGATGATTCATTCTCAATAATATTGCAAACTTCTGGTGGTCGAACGACGAACGAAGATGATGTTTTTCCATGATTAAAGAGAATACAACTGGATTAAAAGAGAGAAAAGACGAGAAAAGGACTTGTTTACAAAATGAGTAATCTTCATCTTTATTTATTTATTTATTTTTAATATTTTTATTTTATTTTTATTTTTTTAACGAGGGTTCGCAACAGCAGACGTCATATAAACCGTCAGGGTGCCGTTGTTTTGAAAAAAGCCCATTTGTCAGTATGTCGGGTTCGAATGCAGGGCCACTGGATTCGAACCCGGGACCTTCACCTTACAGTGGTGAGCGCCGTGTCAACGCCTAAACCGTTGCGGTCACCGACCCCCCATCTTTATTATTCTTATGTAAAATTATTAAAAATGAGGATTGAAATTTGTTTGTTTTTGGTTTGTATTTTCTAGTTTGTTTTATCCAACTAACAAGAATATATCGGTTAATTTAATTAAAATTAATAGAATAAGAATAAATTACAAATATCCCTATTCATTTTTGAGAAGTTTACTAAACTTTTTAATGTAATGGCAGTGGAAATTAGTAGTCAATTTATTTACGTTAACAATTATCTAATACTTGAAATTACTTTCTAATATAGAGAAAATAATGAATTTTATATAAACTATTTCGCAGATTACAACAGAAAATAATTCTAATATGGAGCAGGTTAGCAATTCGAGAAGTTGATTTATACAGGGTGTCCTATTCCCTTCAATGGTGTAATTGTATTTGTTGTAGTCTCAACATTTTGGAAGTTGTAAGGTAGTGAAAAGTTGAAAAAACGTAAATTGACGAATATCTTCAAAATAGAGAACTTTACGAAAATTTTCTCCTGAGCATTTTTTGCTCCAAACGAAGAGTAGAATCGATTCCCTGAGTTTCGTCAGAAGGAACTGGGACACCCTGTATAATATACACTGAACAATCGTAAATGTTTAAAAAAAAACTGATGACAGAATTAGAAAAATAATGATAAAAAGCTTGTAATTATTCATTGGCAAGTTCCATGAAACAAGCTTCAATTTGGCATTATATTGTGCCATAAATAATCTTCTTGTGAAATCTCTTAAAAAAATAGGCTTCTAAAGACAATATATTCACGGTCCAACGTATTAAAGTGACAATAAATTCCCCAAGATCTATAACGTTTGATATAGACTCTCCATTAGAAAGTTATAATAAAACAATAAAAAAGGATTAAATATATTAGGTGACCTACATATCGCACGCAGAATACTATGAAACATTTTTCAATCCTCAAAACTCACAACAATTAATTAATCTTTATGTAAGGTATTGGTTGAGATAAAAAAGGCAGTGTCACGAGCGTGATTCGAACCCAAGACCTTCGGCTAAATACGCCGCTGCTCTACCACGATCCACTCGGACACCAACTCCCCATCTCAACCCACCGTTCGAATTTCCCCTCCTTTTTGCCATTTTTCATCTCTTTTTTTATCTCAACCAATACCTTACATAAAGATTAATTAATTGAAAAAAGTTATTTGGTCATTGACCACGAACTCTAATGGATTTAACTCGCAACAATAATTACCTTTTTGTACATTTTTACGGCAAATAGATGGACGTTGACCTGGAAGGTGTTCTAAAGGTTCTACTAAGCTGCAGTTGACTTTTCCGAGTGAGTACGGATCGAACGGGTCCCCACATCGGGGGTCGTACTCTGAGTTACATTGGTAGCACATGATCCAAGACTGTTCTGCAGGTGTGGTCACTTCTGCCCTCGCCTCGATCCCACACCCTTCAACATGAAAATCACACAAAACAGTATCATTAACTTGATTTTTATTTTTTATAATTTTTTTAACTTTCTCAATCAATTAAAAAAATAAATCAATACATACAACCATTTCAATTTGAAATAGATTTCATATTTATTCTAAAAAATAAAACCTCTTGCCCATTTAAAATAAAATAATAGATCGAAATTTCCTGATTTAACATTCCAAAACTTGTCTTTTCGTCTGGCTATCCTCGCTGTATTACTCTGTCAGAGGCGTTTCGGCATTTTGTCATCTTCGGTGTTGGGTCTGGGTGATTTTTGTGAAGTCAAGTTGATGAGGTCGTAAAGTGTGTAGTGCTTATTTCTGTGTCCTTAGGTCGATTAATTAAGTATAAGTTTTTGGCTTGTTCCGGTTAGCCTTTGGTCAGCTTTTTCCTTTTTATTAGTTATAATTAATTATTCTTTTTATCTACGGTCTTGGTTGAGATGAAAAAGTTAGTGTCATGAGCGGGCTAGCCGAAGGTCGTTGGTTCGAATCCCGCTCGTGATACTAACCTTTTAATTTCAACCAAGACCTTAGATAAAAAGAATAATTAATTGAAATAATTAATATTATGACCACTAAATATGCATGGAATAATATAATAATTAGGTATAATGTTTTAAATAATGTATGTGAACCATTGTTATTTTATCTGTTTATGAATTTTTTAGTGCTGAATATTTTATATTTGTATATTTTCATGTTTTGAAGTATATTAATTTTTCGTCCTTTTTGTACGTCAGTGGTTTCATGCTAGTCTGTATGTTAAAGGTTCGGGATTGTTTTCTGTGAGTGAGTCGCGTAGTTCGATTTTACTGTTCCTAAATAAACTCACATCTTTGCATATATTAAAGATGAGATGATGGATCGACCTACTGTTGAACAACGTGGAAAAAGCATCTTCGGTGAGGTCACAACAGAACGACAATTCTTTAAGTTTTTGCCGAGCTTTTCGACGATTATCGTCATCATCAGGGCCTATTTATTTTATTTTATTTTTTTTTTTTTGACAGGGGCATCCGACAGCTTGGTCATTTTAGCCCCGAAGCACTAACATAATAACGATACACAATCACACCAATAAATACATTGATCGCACTCATACTGTTTGGTAGATCTCGATATTCCTCCATCTACCTATTCCCTATAATAAACTAACCTAGATTGGGGTAGATGGGGTATTTTTATAAAATTTCCGCCATCAGCCCAAGTCATACATACAACCTGAGAGCTACTATCAGCCCCTCCCCATTCACACCAATAAATACATTCACTCATACAAGACACAGAAACACAAAACACAAACCTTTATTTTTATATACAATAAAAAATTCCCAATTCCTTTAAAAAGCGAAACAGAGGCTGCTGTGTCCGAGAACTCTCTTTAAATCTGGTGGCATGCCTACTCGCGCCCTGTAGGGAGCCAAGGCACGACACGCTTCGACTATGTGGGACTCGTCGAGCAACCTTTCTCTGCATAACGGACACCTGCGGGGGATTGGCCCATCAGCAAGTGTCCATGTGTCAACCGCGTATGGCCTATTCTTAATCTGGCAATAACTTTTCTTTCTTTACGGCTCAGATCTTCGGGAGGCCATCTGCAGGTCGTGCACTTAACACGAAGGAGCCTCTCGGATGATCCTACCCACTGGCCTATTTATTATAGGAAAATATAGCAGTTAGAACACATTGTACAATTTAGAAACACAATCAAAAACAATTATATTATCTTACTTTAACTCGATGAGTGTTAAAATATGTCTTGAGAAAAAACTGCATTTAAAATAAGATTATTTAAATTAGATGAAGCTCAGCATCTACATATTAAAAAGATAAAATATAGAATTAATTAAAAAACAATAAAAACAATATAATATAAAATTTAAAAAAAACGTGGTCGTGTAGGTTACTTTGGTTAAAATATACATATAAGTACATGTAAGATAATATAATTGTTTTTAATTTTGTTTCTAAATTGTACAATAAGTTCTAACTGCTATATTTTCCTATAATAAAAAGGCCCTGATGATGACGATATAATCGTCGAAAGCTCGGCAAAAACATAAATAATTGTCGTTCTGTTGTGACCTCATAGATCCTTTTTCCATGTTGACTTTGCATATATATTTTGTTTTTCGTCCTTTCTGTCCGATTGCATGTTATCGTGTCAAATTTTTTCACTGTTTTATCTAAGTAGTTTTTTGATTGCCTTTTTTTTCAGTGCTGCTTTAATACCCAAATTATTAAATAAATTCGTCTGTGTGTCTATTACTTTCTCTATGTTTATGAATGTGGTCTATTTATTGTCTGTTTTTGTGATATCGTTTGTTGTCGTTATTGTTGACCTTGTTTATGTTGTAGCCGTTATTGTCTTTCTTTTATTGCTCTTTTCTTTTTCTAGTATGTTTTCGTATTTTTCTTTTATTGTCATGTTACTGTTTTTATTGTCATGTCTTTTAGCGCTGTCTTTTATTTCGATGGGGGTGGTTTTTGACACCTTGTGTAAAATTGTTAGATCTTGTCGGTTTTCTGTATACGTCGAACAGTTGTTGACGCAAACCAAGCGCCAAAGATGGAAAATGTGTTTGGCACACCAAAACGACAAGAATAGGCAGACCAAAAAGATCGGAAATGGAGCGATAAAAAAATGTTAGAAATATCAGTTGAGATGAGAGGTTAGTGTCCGAGCGGATCGAAGTCACGATAGCTCAAGTGGTAGAGCAGCGGCGTATCTAGCCGAAGGTCGTGGGTTCGAATCTCGCTCGTGACACTGACTTTTTTATCTCAACCAATACCTTTTATAAAGAGTAATTTATTGAAAAAAGTTAATTGGTCAATCGGACCACGAACTGTAATGTGTTAGAAATAGCTTGATGATAAAATTGATCTTCTATAATTAGCGGATTATTTAATCGCTTATCGACTATTTTAAACTTTAACTTTTCTACTGAGGGAAATACTTTAATTTGATCGTATAAAATTCTAAAGCACCTAATGTCTGATTTAAATATACATGTAAAGAAACAAAACGTTTCTTTTTTCCAGGGAGTATACCATTCCTAAAGACCTCTAGGCATTGATGGTTTAGTATCTTTGTTCTTAATTCAAATTGATGAAAAGTCATAGGGCTGATTTTTTTTAAAGTTTTATTTGTAAAAGTTATATTATTATTTTTTATTTTAATCATCGTCATCATCGCAATCATAAATTTCTTCCACCGTCTATAGTTGGGAGGTTCCAATTTTATACATCTTCCTCCAACCATTTCTATCCTCCGCCAACGTTCTTTAGTTTCTCCAAGCAATTCCTCTTTTCTTACGCGTCCTTCACAACGTTATTAATCATATCGTAATAAAATAATTATTTTTGAAAAAGGATTGGATGGTAAAGTAGTTTTGGGTAATCGGCATTAAAGAGATTTTTCTCCAAGCAGCAGAATAGCTTTTTATATATTGACGTTAGTTATTCTAACCGCAATAAAATAATTTCCACTGTGAAAATAAGTCATTAAAAACAAACAATACAACCGTATCAGGGGTTAATGCTATCATTATAAACAATATGAAAACCATTTAAATTTCAGTTATGCCACAAAATTCATTGCCATAAGGTCGGATAGAAATAACAACTAATGAAGAAGAAGTTAGTAGAATAATGAAGAAGAAGAATCACAATATATTCAGCAGTGCATGATCTATTGAAAAATTGGTTTGTAGTTGATTTTTAGCAGAAAACGAGCTAATAGAAAACAAAATAAAATCAGAATAAACAGAAGAAAACATGTAACCTACAATACACTTTTGATTGCATTTAGGTTCAAAGGTTAACGTGTACCAAGAGCAATAGTTTTCATAAATCTATTTTTCTGAATTCTCTTTTGTAGTTTTCTTTTGCTATTTCAAATTTTGTGTTTTTGTATTTTAAGTTTTCGTTATAACAATATTAAATAAAGGACGTAGTTGTTTTACAGAGATGTTTTTATCTATATGAAGACCTAACCTAAGCTATACTTAGACCTTTAAACTAGGGCGTTATTGATTAGTTTCACTTTCCGTACTAGACAGTACCAGCCTTCTAGATTTGGCCTATCATGTCAGACAGTTACATTTAGAAAAAAAAAACGGAGGATTTCGTCAAAAGAACCAATACAATTCTAGCGTTGATTTATTTGAAATCAGTTTATTTCAGAAAAAACAACTTATTCTTGAGATCTCGGCTGATAAATTATTAAAATGTCAATATGATTTGTATTTTATCTTGTAAAAGCAATATTTTCATAATAATTGCAAATGCTCTTGAAAGAAATGGGTAAAAAATATACAATTTAATAATTTATAGAAAGATTTTATATTATCGCATATCTGATGAAAACATAAATAATAATTCAACTTTAAGTTACAGCATTAACGTTTAATTTTTAGTACCATACTTAGTATTGGTTTAATTGTAATTATATATTAAATTTTTAAAAATGGAATATAACAATACTGTTCTCTTGACGAGCAATTGTATACCCAGTATGAAAAATATACAGATCGTTTCATTTGTAAGAAAATTATTAGCCTCTTTCATGGTTCTTAAATAATTACATTACTATTTTAAATAATATATGCATTGAAAAAAGCTGTCAACTACTATAAAGAAGCAAACCTAGAACAACTGCTATTCACTATACAGGGTGTCCCAGTTCTCCTTCTGACGAAACTCAGGGAATCGTTTCTACTCTTCGTTTAGAGCAAAAAATGTTCAGGAGAAAATTTTCGGAAAGTGCTCTATTTTGAAGATATTCGTCAATTTCGGTTTTTTCAACTTTTCACTACCTTACCACATAAAAACGCTTACAACTTCCAAAATGTTGAGACTACAACAAATCCAATTACACCATTTGAAAGAACGCTAAATTTTCTGTAAGATACTTCTATTTGCAATAATTTGAATGACCTAAAATATTAGCCAATATCAGTTGAAACATGCC